AAAAAATTATTTGACCTGTCAAAAATTGACAAATGACATACATACATATGTATGTATTCAGAATTTAATTTTGAATGGAAATATTTAAAAATGCATAGGGTGTTTCATTAAAAAATAAAAATTTAAGACCATTTCCGGTGAAACCGGAACTGACAAAAATATGTTAAATATGTCAAAAAGTTCTAAATTACACTTTATAAATGTCTCTACAGTTTTATTACCCTAGATAAGGCCCATCTACGAATTCATGGCAACATAATATTAGGTATAATATAAATGTTTTTTACTAAATTAAAATGTTTACAATTTTTACGTAACTCATTACTAAAATGTGTTTTTATTGTATCTAATAGGTACAATTTATATTTACAGGGACTGAATGCAATTTATTTCTTCATTCGGATTTCCACTGTTTATTTATCAAGTTATCTAAAAAATACGTGTTGATACAGTTGATTATTAAAAGTTCTAGTTTGGCTACAAATTGTAGCCTACAATGGTGGTGGCGCCACTAGCGATGCTTCTTTTAAATCGCTATAAAATGAGGAATCTGAAAAAGAAAACTATTTGTATTAGTTTCGTTAGTTAAAAGTTAATTGTTTGAAACATTTTATTAATGACTCGTTTACCTGTGCCATTAACAAATAATAAAGGCCTGTAGAAAATCGTTTGATCCGTTTGTTACCTAGCAGATGTTACTAATAGTCCTAAAAATCTTTCAATTATCAATGGTAACATCCTTTTCCGTACCTTGGCGTTTAAATATAGCTTTATAATGTAGTTATAACGTATGGTGTAATATTTACCCCTATTAAATTACATAAAAAACGTAAAGGTGATTCACCCCATTCTTATATATGACAATCATTTATTTCGTTTTCTATTGGTCAAAACAAAAATAAAATGGGTAAATTTTTATCTATTTCTATTTTATCTAAAAACTCTCTAAAAAAATTTGTCGTCCAAGCAATAGGAAACGTGATGAAACTATTTGATTTGGTTTATATTACAAATGCGTTAGGCAAATAAATCAAAGTGTGGTTTGCGAAAATCGCCCTCCATTAGCGCGGGCTCGTTTTTAGGGGTCCTCAGCAGAAGGACCCCGATCCAGAAAAAAATATAACCTGAAATATACGTTGCTTTGATTCCATTGTCGAAGTTGTTTCGAGCGTGAATTTTACCGAACGTTCAATAGACAAATTTCTATGAGAAATAGATTAAGAATTATTGTCGATTCCGGGTAATTTATGAGGGCAGATTGTGGAAAATTGTGTTTGTTTGAATTGGGATTTGTATGATTTATACTTGACGTTAGGTGGTGACTTATTTTTTGGGGGGCAACAATACCACTTTTTTGCAACATCAAACCATGCATGAATTAAATAATAAAAATAAATTGTGCATAATTAGTAGGTAATGTCTGGAAAAAAACCTTGGTATTAAAAATATCACTTTTAACCGATGAAAACAAAACTACACCATTTGTCAAAAGTCAATTTTTTGAATATTTTACCACACTACCTAGAGCTTGATAAAAAACGTATGATTTGAAACCTAATTTCACTAATTATCGTCTTTTGTCTGGGTTACTGACCTAGTTAAACTTTTAGATTAAGTACTCTAAAAAAAAGAAGGGTCAAGTTATAGCCAATTAAACTTTTTAATTAGGAGTTGGCATGTAGTACCTAAAAACACAATTGTTATTTCAAGGATACATATTTTTATATTTATGTTATTCAATATTTTATAATTACTTAACATTTTTAGATATTGCACCACATTTTGAAAAAATCTAAAAGGAAAAGCCTGGAAAAATGCGTCGACCATAAATCATTTTGTTTGGTGCATAATGCGCCACCTAGTAGTCAATAGCTAAACATGGTACAGAATACTATAAAAACAATGTATAAGTAACGCTATCTACTGGACGAGGTATAATTCAAATAAATAAAATCTGTTTGAAGTTTATTCATTTTATAGCATATTATAATTTTATAGTATAATAAAGAACTAATGTCATAAGACGTCATTTTGTCGCACGCGGACAATTTATATTCTAATGGACGAGTGCGACAAAAGGTCTTATGACATGAGTTCTTTATGCTATTTTATCTATTTTGCAAAAATTCTATAAAAAAATTTATTTAATACCTTAAATTTAATTTGGTAGAATTTTGCTTTAGATAGTTTGTATCACAGACATTGGTTTGTCAACATCGATTCGCCATGCCGTCCTTAATTTAATTATTTCCAATAAGGCTGTTAATGTTAAAAAAGAAATAAGGATTTTCTTTGGTGTTAAACAAAATTTATTGCCAGAAAAGCCCTGCAAGTACTAGAAAAGTCATAAAAATATTATATCCAATATGTGTTTAAAGTATAGCCAAGCTATAAAATCAAAATTTTGGGTGGGATAAATATCTCATTACAGCACCGAAAGCGGTGTTATAATGAAGTCATTAAGGACGCAAAATAGATAATAGTTATTTATGTCCCTGTTGTAAATGACCGATTAATTCCTGTAGAAACCAATTGAAGTATTGGTTGGTATCAATGGGTCTGAATTGGACTTACTGGTTTTAATTGGGCGCGATATAAAACAGAAATTGGTTTTTACTGGTATTTTCCATGATGGAAAATACCAGTTAGGATTCTAATGGTTTTTATTGGTTTCGATTGGATAAAGCTACCTATAGGTAATTTCCAATTGAATTCAATTGGGCATTGCCAGTGTAAGATTTGAAAAATCTGCTAATTGGTTATTCCCAATACAATACAAATATCGCAAGAGGGCTCTCGTGTAGCTGCGCAAAATCAACGAGGTTGAGACGCCATCATAAAGAAAAAACAACAAGTCTTTGGACGCCATTTATTAGCGGTTTATTTTATTAGTCGATTTCAGTGTTAAGTGCCTAGTGTTAGTAGTGTACTTATATATTAAAAAAATGTTTATATGTGTAAGATTTAGGGATTTAGGCGATAGTAAGTTATATGTATTAATACATACCTACATATATCACAAAAAAAATAATAAAGAAATAAAATTACTCAGTAACAATAAATTTTTTGTCTCTTCTGTAAAAAATGAATTCTGGTTTTTACCCGGTTATCCTTCTGCGATCTAAAATTATTTTTGAATGAAAAATAAACTGGTAGGTATTTTCTAATCCAAATTTTAAAAAATGAATTGGTTTAAATTGGTTGGAATGGGTTTGGTGCTATGAATTACCAATTCATTCCATGTGCATTTCTATTGGATTTAGCCAATAGAGACAAGCGTAGGATTGGTATTTTCCAATTCAAGCCGCTGACTTCATTGGAAATTACCAATAGGAATTCAACTGGAATGAATTGGTGATTCATAGCGCCAAAACACATTTCAAACCAATTCAAACCAATTCAAACCAATTACTTATTTTTTATTGGATTCTATTGGTATTTTCCAATTCAAGCCGCTGACTTCATTGGAAATTACCAATAGGAATTCAACTGGAATGAATTGGTGATTCATAGCGCCAAAACACATTTCAAACCAATTCAAACCAATTACTTATTTTTTATTGGTTTCTATTGGTCATTTACAATAGGGGTATTAAGGGCATAATAAGGTTTTTATGGTTCGTGGCGCTATTTCGAGCCCGAGCGCGTTAGCGCGAGGGCTATAAAAGCGTTGTAGGACCATAAAAACCAGTTATGCCAGCAATGCATACAAAACTTTATGCACGATTAATATATTATTATTTTGAATATATTATTGTTTTTAAAGACGTTTACGTCAAAGAATTTTTGTTATAATTGTCATATCGATGAGTTTCTGCCAAAGTATCGCAAGCAACATAACTTAAATTTAGGGAATCGAAAACATTTTTTGTCTTAAAGTCTGTTTTAAATTAAATATAGTCTTAAGGTTTCATAACAAGTAAATAGCTTATAATTATATTTATTTACCTGTTATAAAACATATAGGTTTTATATGGTTTAAAACAGACTTTAAAATAAAAAATGTTTTCAATTCCCGACATTTGAATTATGTTACTTGCGATACTTTGGCAAAAACTCATCGATATTATAAAGTCAACTGACATCAGTCAGTTTTAAAGTTTAAAGATGAATGAAATTGAGGAAGCAGCTGAAAAGGTGAAAAATTGCGGCCTGCTGCCGGAAAAATCAAAATCTTTATACGAAAAAACTTACTTCGAATATATCAAATGGTGTAACATTGTTGTTTTTAATTTTTGACGTTTCATTATAGCCCGCTGGGTCATAATAACGCCCGCGGGCTATAAAAAGACGTTTACGTCAAAGAATTTTTGTTATAATTGTCATATTATAATGTCATCGTGCATACACGATATTTATTAGATAAAATATTTAATTATAAAATAAGGACCAGGTCAGTTTCAATTGTTTGTTTTCTGTATTAAAAATATTAAAAAAATTAACTTGAAAATGAAAATCCGTAGAACATTTCTTGCGAAAAAAAAACATTATTTATTATTTTTATCAACAAATTTTTAAATTAATGGAAGATACATTTAATAAATTGGTCATTTTTAGAATAAAACATAATGCAAAATAGTCCATAGAAAAAGCATATTATGTAACAAGGAACGAATGTTAGTGTGAACCAACCTTAATGGTATTATTGACAGATGTGTTTTGGTTTTGAGGTTACGTTTTATAACTCTATTTTCTATTTATTTTTGGGATTATTTGGTTTTAAAATTCAATTGTGAATTTATTAAATTAAATTTTTGAACTATGTTTAAAATCATGTTAATGAAAAAATGTTTCATCTGCATGTGCAAATAGCTGAGATTTATTATTTACATTTGTCGTCTTTTTTATTGTTGCACTAGTGGAACAATATTTTCATTATTCAACTAGTTTACCTACTTTGTGTGGGACAAAAAGACTTTTTTCGGACTAATAAATACTATACTTACCTTTAGTTTAATACTTCTTAAAACTGAAAATAAAAAATAGTAAAACTCCTGTATTTATAAAACCATATATTTATTTAAAATTATAATGAAATACTCCAGAGTAGTAATTGGTATATTACAGTTTTACAATATACTGACAGAAGGTTTGAAAATAAAATAAAATCGTCTTAATACTTTGGAGAATTGCTACAAAAGTAATTGTACTTTTTATTATTATTATTATTATTAAATTATATACATAAACTATAATATTTTTTTACAACTTGCAAAAAACTTGTTACAAACACACCCATTAATTACTAACTTTAAGTATAGGGTTTGTAACAATAAAAACACATTTCACACCACCTAGAGAAATATTAAAAAGTATATTTCTGAATACACCAGACATTCTTTCAGATTGTTAAACATATCATGTATTTATATACAAATTCCAAGGTACACATCACACAACTCTAAAATTAGCGAGAACGTCTGTTTGCACTCTCAAACAGTTAAACATACGCAAGATTTAGTGTAGAAGCAACTTAACCGACTGCCTTGAACATACAAAAAATCAAGGAGCAAAAACTCCCGTCAAAAAATAAAAAAAAATAGCGATACAGGCATCATCGAACCCCAAACGGGGGCGTCGCGAAAAACCTGAGTGGGTCGAATAAAAATTACTTCTTGGCGCCTCGAGCAGAGTTTTGCTGCGCGTACTGCTGCGCAGACCGGGCCCAATCCTGCGCGGTGCCGGTCCCAGTTTGGCCCTAATTATAAACAACAGTCAATTTTTTTCAACCTCGCTGCGACAGTAACAGAATCAATATGTGAGCGCGTGGGGGTTTGAAAATTCCGAAAAAATCGAGTTTGGGGAAAAACGGAGATTTCGGTGATTTACCGGAACGCATTTCGGTAAATCCCCGAAATTGTTTTGATTCGAGTTTTTCCCCAATTTTTCGATAATAATTTTTTCCTAGTAGTTTAATGCCTGTGTGCACACGTTAGTTAGGCCTACGTTTTGTTATTCGTATTGTGTAATATTTCAGCTATTGTTATGTAATATCTTAATAATTTAGTTGGTTTTAGAATTGTCTACATTAACGTTATTTTTTTTTATATTAATACTATGATCTAAGTAGGTACTGATTGCGATGGTTCAGGAATCTTTTTTGGCTGGTTTCTGAAATAGAGGCAAATTATTAACTTTGGTTTGGTAAGGGACACAAAACGACTACGAATTTACCAAAGCAAGGTTATAACAAAAATAATAAAAAAACATGTAAATTATTTATTAATATTGATTCTGATACGTAAATTGTATTTTTTCTCCTCATTTAAAATTCAATGGTAAATTTAATTATTTTAACTTGTGTTTAAAGTAATCTTAGACCTTGTTTTACTTAAAATCACGAAGTCTGTAAAAAGTTACCTTCATTGATTTTTGTTTGTTTTTTTTTTAATAGTAAAAGGAGTAATTTAAAATGACATAAAAAAAAAGGAAAAAAACTTGTTTTTGGTAAGTTTTAAACCTTCTTACTTTGAACACAGTATTAGACAAACTAAACCCTTAAAACTAGTATTGCAAATGGAAATCAAAATCTTGCAATTTTAAAAATAATTTTGTAAATTGTGTAAATTTTAGGGATTTCAAAAAATTCAACATTTTGAAAACTATATTTGGATATTTTGGGCTTATTTAATTAATTAAAATAATTTAATTTAATAAATTTAAAAAAAAAAACTGGAAATTTTTAAAATACCGAAAACTTTGGGGATTAAAAAAATAAAAATTTTGAAAAAAAATTGGAAATTATGAAATTTTGGACATTTTGAAAAATTTGTAAATTTTAAAAATTTGTGAAAATTAAGACAAAAAAATAAAAAAACTTGGCAACTATAAAAATTTTGGACAAAAAATATAAAAATGCATTTTGGACAAATTGAAAAAAATATGAAAATTTTGCAACAAATTTGAAATTTACAAAAACTGGGGATTTAAAAAAATGGAAATTTTGAACAGTTTAAAAAACTGAAAATTATTGAAATAATGAAAATTTAATTATTGAAACAATGAAAATTAAGAATTGAAAACTTTAAAAACTAAAAATTTGGTAATTTTGAAAAATGTAAACTAAAAAAATTGTGAAAATTTTGGAGATTTAAAAAAAATTGAAAATTTGCAAATTTTAAAATAATTGTGGAAATGGATGTTTTGAGAAAAAAATATGAAAATTTAGCGAATTTTAAGAAAAACTTATTTTGAAAATTTGGACGAAAAATTTGAAAATTTGGACATTTTGAACAAAATTGAATAAGTGATAAAAACTGAAAATTATTGAAATAATGAAAATTTTAAGGAAAAATTGAAAAATATGGAAATTTTAATAACTGAAAAATTGCGGATATTATAAAAAAATAATGGAATTATTGCAAATTAAAGTTTTTTTATTTGAAAATTTACAAAATTTAAAAACTTGGAAATATTAAAATTTTGGATATTTTGAAATAAAATGAAAATTTTGAAAATTATAAAATTAAGAGGATTTTGGACATTTTGAGAAAAAAGTATGTAAATTTGGCAAATTTTAAGAAAAACTTGAAAACTAAAAATTTAAACAAAAAATTTGAAAATTTTGGAAATTAAAGGGATTTAAAAAAATTGAAAATTACTGAAATAATGAAAATTTTAAGGAAAAATTAAAAATAAGGAAATTTTAAAAACTGAAAAATTGCGGAGATTATGAAAAAAATTATGGAAATATTGCAAATTAAAGTTTTTTTTATTTGAAAATTTACAAAATTTAAAAACTTGGAAATAAATTGTCAATTTAAAAAAATTGAAAATTTTGAAAATTACAAAATTAAGAGTATTTTGGACATTTTGACAAAAAACTTGAAAACTGTAAAAATTTTAAAATTTTGGAAATTTGTAAAAATTAGAATATTTTTGTGATTTATTAAAAAAAAAAACACACATACCTGTCCCCAATTCTGGGCGTACTGGCCGTAGTAGTTCCAGTTGCCTCCGTAGCCGCCCTGGCCGTACCCCTGGCCGCTGCCGCCCCCGTACTTCCACTGGTTCCAGCCCTGGGCGGCGCCCTGGCCGCCGCCGGCGCCGTACGCCTGACTCGCACCGAAAGCCTGCTGGTTCCAGCCGCCGCCCTGCCCGTAGTTCTGCCACACCTGCGCGGGGCGGCTGCCCCCGCCGCCGCCGCTGCTCTGGCGGTGGCCGCCGCCGCCGCTCGACGAGTGGCGGCTGTCGCGCGGGCGGTCGTGGTGCGGGCGCGAGTCTGAATCAACAAGAAAATAATCATATCCCATACAATTACTCTTAAAAAGTAATTGTGTTTTAACACAATTACCAATTATTTTGGCACAAAGATGTAAATTACCAATTACCATGAAAAGTAATTGATTATATAGGCAATTACTATAATTGAATTACTTATTTTAATTCAATTACTTCTTATAGTATTTTAATTACTTTTAAGTAATTCAATTACTTTTAAGTATTGAATTGCTTATAAATTTGTTGAATTATTTTAAAATTATAAAGCAATTACTTTTTAGTTAGTTTAGGTAATAATTTAAAATTAATTTAACTTTTCAAAGAAAACATATTCCTATTTATAACTTTATTTAATTAAAAAAAAACACAAATTTAACTGAAATAAAAAAAAACTTAAAAAATAGTATAACTTTTTGAATTTAACTTAAACCCATAAATGTATTACACCCACTCGTAAATACGTTAAAAGCCCTCGCAAAAATACTCTGAGATTCTAGACCTTCTAAGAATTATTCATTTCAACGTTTTTTATTTGTATTATTTCAAAAAATTTTTGGTGGACAAGCAAAATTATTGGTTAATTGAATTAAAAATAAATAATATCAATTACTTTAAACTAATTTAAATACTAAAAGTAATTTAATTATTTGTAAGTAATTCAATTACTCTGAAAGTAATGGAATTACCTAAGAATTGTTAAAATAAATTATCAATTACAATTGAGGGGCTTGGAAGTAAAACGGGTCAAGTGCACTTTTTTAAATAAATTGTCTCACTACAGAATATCACACCTAAAGAATATTCTACCTTATAGGTCAATTCTGCTCACATCTGTAAGCATCTATAAGCAAATTTGTAACTTTCTATAAGCTTATAGACAATTTGCAATTCTGCGCTTCCTGTAGCTTACAGAAAATCTTATAGAATCGTAAATATTTACGATCGGGTGTTTCCCAATCGTTGCTAGGTACAGTTTGTTTGTGTTAGGTTATGTAAAGCTATTTTAAAGATTAAAAACATGAATATTTTTAATAATGTCAATGTGGATATGATAATAGTAATATTTATCAATTGGAACAACTACATTGGAAATAATTTCAATTTTGACTAAATAAAACAATAATTGTATTAATATAAAAACTTTATATTTTTATTTTACATATGAAAATAAAATAAAATATTATTCTTAAAAAAAATAAACCACAGCCTACTCGGTCAATAAAGAAATAAACAACAAAATAAATAAATATTCTAATTAGTCAAAAATTAATAGGTCAAATATCAAAATTTCGATTTAAAAATTTAATTTTTGTTATTTCAAATGCTAATTGTTCTTCTTTCAGCTGTATATAATTTTCTAAATAGTTTTTAATAAGCTCAAAATGTTTTTTCTGCTCCTTCTTCAAATTTATCCTGCCATGGTTGGCCCAATGGATAATCTCCATCCATTGCATCCAAATATAGTTCAACTGTGAGGAGTGGTGTTTTTTTATTATTTTTCTCTTTGTTGCTTTTGCGTTACCACTAATCATTGATTAACTTCTTCACTCAACGCACTAACAATTTTATTCATTATATATTATATGTTCTTTTAAATGTAAAATTATCTTACCTCATTTTATTTCTCAACCAGTTTAAATTTCTTACTTTTTGTATTATATTATATGCTGATACATAAATGAAAACCGATAAACTGTGGATAAACCAAATAATACATATAAAAATATAGGTTATGTTTGATCGTAAGTAAATAGGCGTGAAGTTGCAGTAGTTCGTTTATACTACTTTAAATTAGACATTTACAGATAACATCCCAGAATTGCCACTTTTACGATTCTATAAGCATTATAGTTACAGATCATCGTAAGCTATGGATTTACGAATTTACAGAAATTTTACGAGAGAACCCAGAATTGACCTATTAGTGGTAAAATTATATAAGTACATTTTACATTCTTATCGTCTTTAAAAACCTGTCAAAATATTTTAAAATATATCTTTGGTAAAACGATTTAGGTGCACCTTTTACTGCTAAACATAGGCTATTATCTATGCTGCTAAAGCCTTCACAAGTATTTTAAAACATGTCAAGTGATTACGTGTTTTCACAGATATGTTTCAGTGTTAGTAGTCCCTACTGACATTGATCCGACGTCGAAATAGAATCGGTCATAGGATGTTGGCCAGCAGACGTCGGACGTATGTTCGCACAAGCCATTCTGATTATGAATAATACTTTTTGTTGTAAATTTTAAAAAATAAAGTTTTGTTCTAGTACAGTTATTGCATTTAAATCATTTTACCACTAAATTTTGTCTTACATGCATGACGATTTAAGTAAATTTTTGTAAAAAAAAATTAACAAAAGAGCTATATTGAAAAATTTCTTTTTCTTTATAATCCTTTTTTGTCTTTAAACAAAACTAAAATATTCACACAGTTTTTTAAACTCTTTTCTAGAATTTTAAAATTCAAGTTAACTTTAAAGCCATTTATCTCAGAACTAACAAAAATGCACTTAAACCCTTTTACTTCTAGGCCTCTCAATTACTTTTTTTCAGTAATTTAAAAATCAACTACAATTACCATTTTTTCTCGGTAATTGAATTAAAGTAATTCCATTACAATTTTTCAATTATTTTAATTCAATTACTTCAATTAAATAATTGAATTACCTAAGAATTATTAAAATCAATTATTAATTAAATTTTTTGGGTAATTTAAAAATCAATTGAATCGGTGAGAATAAGAACAGTACAAGTCCAAAAATTTAATTTTGACAAGTCATTTTTTTAAATATTTAAAATATTCTCACAAAAATATATATTGAACTTTAAAATTGATTTTAAAAAATGACTTGCCAAAATAAAATTTTTGGACTTGTACTGTTCTTATTCTCACCAATTCAATTACAACTACCATTTTTTCTCGCTAATTGAATTAAAGTCACAAAATATAATTCAATAATTTTCATTCAATTACTCTGACAATACAATTCATTATAATTAGAACCAATAAAATGCCAGTATTCCATGGTTACGCATTTTATCACAGCGACAATATTTTTTATCATCTTGTTTACACGTTGCTAAGGATTTTGACACTTTTCTTGATTTGACATTTGTTGACATTTAAATACTGTGTTTGTTAAATGATTAAAATAATGAATTATAAACTCTAAAAGATCGATGGGTTGGTGTAAACGATAATAAAATAAAGGTAAGTTTGAATAAATAAGGTTTATTAAAGCCTTTATATATTTTAAAGCACATTTTAATTTCAAATGTCAAACTAACAATTCGTTAAATCCTAAAATTCATTATATTTTCTCACTAAATATAACTCGTGGTATGATTAATTATCGATGATATTTACTTATTGAAACCGAAGCAGCACATTTCACTCGTCCTGCGGACTCGTGAAATCTGCAGCTCGGTTTCAATTCGAAAATATCATCGATGATAATCATACCACTTGTTATATTATGGGTGAAAATAATTGAATTACCTAAGAATTGTTAAAATTAATTATAAATCACAATTACTTTTTTTCAGTATTTTAAAAAACAATTACAATTACCATTTTTTCTCGCTAATTGAATTAAAGTAACAAAAATAATTCAATTACTTTGAAAATAATTAAATTACCTAAAATTTGTCAAACTCAATCATAAATTAGATTTACTTCTTTCAGTAATTTCAAAATCAATTACAATTACCATTTTTCTCGGTAATTGAATTAAAGTAGGTAATTCAATTACAATTTTTCAATTATTTTAATTCACAAAAACTCACCTCTAGGTCTCCAATCTCGGCCTCCGCCCATGGAATGACGCCCTCCAGGTTCTCTCCTGTCCCTGTTCCAGCTACCCCCACCACCGGATCTGTTGTTCCACGGTCGGTGCGGAGCCCTGTTGTCGTATCTCGGCTGGTAACCCCTGTTGTCGCGGTAATTCCTGTTCCTCTGGTCGTTTCCTGCAAAAACGACGCGGTTATTCGAAAAAGATGAAAAACAAAACTCTTCGTCGCTCACTTTTGTGCCAGTCGCCTCCGCGACGCTGCACCCTTTTCTGCCCGGTCCCGTATCCGGCCGCCTTGCCGTCCTTGTTGTACTTCTCGACCATTTCCTTCGAGGCCGCCTCGTCCAAATCGGTGAACACGATTTCGTCCACCCACTCGCACTTCTCCGGCAGGCTCATTATCGCTAAAAGCCAAGCGAACACCGTCATCCAAAAAATCCTTCCTTCGATTTTTTTTTGTGCGAACGTTTTGTTAATATTGCACAGCTATTTTGTACGAGTCATTTTTTCAAAAATGAAGTTACACAGGTTGTTATCCTTGAAGGGGATGATAGTACACGCCAAAGTAAGAAAGTTTTTTCTCCATCATTTTTGCATTTTTTAAATGACAACTGTGATTGTGATTTTTTGGCCAGATGGGGACTTGTTACAGGCCCCGCGTTATAATTTTGCGAGGCTCGACCACAGACCACCAAAACAAATGGACGGCGCATTGCCATTCAATAACAATGCTTTGTTTGCGGTCAACAAACGGTCACAGTCTAAGCGTCAAATTGGAGATAGAATTTTATGTTTTCTTCCAGTGACGTCAACAAACGGTCACAGTCTAAGCGTTAAATTGGCGATAGAATTTTATGTTTTCTTCCAGTGACGTATTGGGATTAAAAAAATAATAAGTAGGTAGGTACTTACAAACGATGTTTCCATGTATTGTTATTTTTAGTAAAAAATAATGTATTTAAACTCCATAATTAACTTAAACAAGATAGAAATACACAAACGAAAACACAAAACAAGCTGTCAACCTTTTTCTATGCTGTCAAATATGACGAATTTACCAACGTTGTTAATATTTAATTTTAATAATTATTAAATGATTTACTTTCTTTAAATGGAGAAAAACATCTAAAGAAAATGATGAACAAATCCTTTTTACAATTTTTTTATTATTCAAACGAATTACTGGTAATTATTAATGTTCATTATGTTATGATGAACGTCCAAAAAAGCGTGTAATCTATACTTCTGACAACGTTGGAAGCCGTGTTTCTTTCGACGCGTCGGTGTTTAGAATGTGAAACTATGCTTTACTAACTTTTTAAACGTAAACAAATCCGTCCATTTGTTTTGGTGGTCTGTGGGCTCGACGCATGTGGGCGTAACCCTTGATACTTGTATACTGCCTACCAGAGGCGTCGAAAATTAAGATTTGGAAGAGTGAAATAAACAAAATAAGTTACAATTCGCTTCTGAAGATGCCAACATCGTTGGCGAAAAGTACTTTAAGCACTTTGTGTTTTATTTTGGGAAATATTTCTAATATTTGTCCAATTTAAAAATGACATTTCTCCAAACCACATTGTTCTGTATCCCACAATCCACACAACAAGGTCTGTTCTATCTCATGCTAAAAATACTAAAAATCACTGCAACACTGCACAGAGTTTAACGGCGGCCATTTTTGTTGTTTACAATTCTTGTGCTTTGGGTTTGTGCTGTTTAATAATTGTTTTAAATGTTGGGTTTCTTACAGAGGCACTTGTAAGCCTCAAAGCCTTCAAGTGCTAAGGACAACCATTTTACTCCTCTTTTATAATAAATATACCTTATTCTATCAGGGCTGTCAAATGACGATTTGAAGGTTAATTTGTGGGTTATAATTTAACCTTAAAATTGACATTTGACAGTTTTATGACAGCCCTGATAGAATAAAGTTTATTTTTTACAATAGAGGAGTAAAATGGTTGTTCTTAGCACTTTAAGGCCTCTTTTAAGGCTTACTATGAGAAACACAACGTTTAAAACAATTATTAATCTGTATAAACAGAGCACAAACCCAAAGCACAAAAATTGTAAACAACAAAAATGGCCGCCGTTAAACTGTGCAGTGTTAAAGTGATTTTTTGTATTTTTAGTACGAGATAGAACAGACCTTGTTGTGTGGATTGTGCTGTATCCCAAGTAAGCTCAAAGGGTTTTCCAATCTGTAAAAAACACTTCAAAGAAATGAAGGATTTTGAGAGATTAACATTATAATGTTAATATTGATACACTGGTTAGTGAAAACCAACATCCCCAAAACTGTGGCCAACAATTTCTTGATTGTCATGATTTTTTTATTCAAAAACAGTAGCACCAACACAAAATAGATAGAGGCAAAACTTTTTTACTTTGCCGGGCTTACCCTGTGTTAAAAAAACGTCAAATTTAAACGGTTTTAACCCCATCGCTCAAATGAAAATTAAACAAAAATCAGTCTGTGTGTCTGAAACTGCGATAACTTTATGTACTGTGTTCCACACCAAAAAGTCCCACTTTGACATTTGAATACAAATCTATCTGTCATTTTAAAGCTAATTTCTTCTTATTAAAAAAAATAATACTATATATGCATTTTTTATGTATTAAGACTTAATTTAGAACACAAAAAATAAATGTATAGGATTATTTTCAGAAAATAAGACAATTATTTGTATTCAAATGTCAAGTTGGGACTTTTGAGTGTGAAGCATAGTTAGTACCTTAATGTAATATATTAGTTTAAGTAAAAAAAAACTTTGTACAACTCCCCAGCGTTACCAGAATCTGTAAAAAAAGTAATAGATTTTGTGTGAATTTGCCTTTACTAGGAAAATTTACAATTTGATGTTACTCAGTTACGTAAATTTCTAGTAAAGTTAAATTCGCACAAATTCTATTACTTTTTTGTCAGAATCTGGTAACGCTGCAACTCCCCCTATAAACATGTATTTTTTCCGAGGATGCAAAATAAATAATTTGATTGATTATAATAGTAATATTGTTGGGGAAAACTGCATTTCAGGTTTAAAGGATTGTTACTATCGGACGTTTCAAACTAGCGGCATCTTCGGGGATTAAAGTGAAACTAAGTTTCCGTTTGATCCCTGAAGATGCCTCTGGTTTTCGGTGCAGTTTTCCCCGACAAATGCGGCTGAAATAAATAAAGTGTAGGGTATGCTGTACCTTTCATTTCGAGTATGGTGCTATCTGGAACATCTTTACCGTCCTGAGCCTCTTGCAACGACTGACGTTTGGCTTGTTCCTCGTCGGATACTACAATAACCACTGCCTGTCTCTTGAAGCCCTCAAATGGCCGCAATTTACGGCGTTGGGCCGATGGGAACACGTTTGTCTGCCACAACGCTCAATATTATAGTATCGTTCTCATTCAAATTATCAGGGACATTTTAACTATGTTGCTAGTCGAAAACCACGATAGTGGTTTTCGTGCGGCCTTTTTACGACGACCCTAACCGTAGCTTTTCGATTCGAGTCGCGATGTGGGAAAATCGAGCGTTCGCGCGGTCGGTCGAACTGCGCAGCAGCAGCATTTTATCGACATTTTTACATTTTAATTACAATTTAACTGTGCATATTAAAAAGGGAAATACATTTTGCCAAAGGCGTATCCAGTTTTTATAAAGTTACAGTTACAACATTTGAGAAGTACCTTTTACTTAAAATAACATTTAAAAGTTTTATTAACTTCTTAACGAAATAGGTATGTTATACCCTGCATTTTGCGAGAAATTTGTCGATTTGTTCCCTGGTCAATATTTTCCACCTGAGGAGCATCCGTGCAAAACCGGCTAAATCCATTTTATTCAGTTTTTGTTTTTTTTTTATTTCGCATCTTTGGGTTCATTTCTATCGACAACCAAGATAATTCGGTTTAAATCCGACTATATCCATGTTAAAATCACATTTAAAAGGTAGCTTTAGGAGCAAACCGGCCAAATCCACGTTTTTATAGCAAACCCGGCTATATCCAATAAATAATAATGATGATGAGCATGTGGCTTGGATATGTCGATACTACTACCAAAATCTGTTCTGTTTTTTCATGTTTTCACAAAATTTATTTTGTTAATATTTAATAATAAGGTTTTTTCACATTTTATTCGTAGGTTTTTGAGCAAAACCGGCTATATACAAAACATTTTTTGAAATTTTGGCTTTAATATAAAGTTTTTGAAAATAAAAGTATGTCTTATAAATCAAGTACCATAAAGCCCACAAAACTCAAGTTTGCTTTTTTTTAATCTGTAAAGGCCAGAAAACCAAGAGTTTTTGCCATTTCCCCAACATTTTATTAAAGTGGATATAGCCGGTTTTGCACGGATGCTCCTCACTTGTACTGTTGCTTTGCCTTACTAAGCTATAACCCGAAAGCAGCTTCTTTGATTTCCGCCGAAAGAAATTTTCTTTCCATGTCACGAGGTTAATTGTCAACAAACCTCGGCAAAAATAAAGTTCATGGACAATTTGATTTCAAAGTGATGTTTTATTTTGTTTTAAACTTCCAGGAGATTAGCACAAAATTCACTGTGAATATTTTATCGGGCTCGCTTTTTTAATTGGACGTTGAAGCGTGGGCTAAAGCAAATAAATTAAGCCACTTTTTAATTTAATCTAATGAAAATGTAGGATTAGAGGGGATTTTTAAATAATTTGTTAAAAACTAGATGAGCCTTTAGGTTAGGGTTTTAAAATTTCCGGAAAATTAAACCGGCGAAAACACGGAAAAATGGGAAATTTTCAGAAATATTATTTTTATTTATTCAAAGGGTAATACGAAAAAATGCAAAAGTCAACTTTTCTGGATAGCATCCGTACACTGATATCGAGAAAAAAGTGAATTTTCCACGCTAAATATAATCACAATATTGTAATTATAATTCATTAAGAATATTCTACCGGGTCGCAAAAAAAACATATTCGGTGCTATTTCGTTTTATTTATAAATTATAATTTTGTAATTTAACTTCATAAATCATTCATTATTTTGTAAAAAAGATCCTGTATCTTCGTTATCAACTTTTGTATAAAGTATAAGAATATTTAGTTATATCGCATAATTTCGGCCTCGAGAATATGTGGTATCATTTTGTACAGGCATTTTATTTTATTTTTTCTTGTATAATTTCGTAGTAATATTAAACCATTGACGCTTGAAAAAATAATATAAATTGAGAAGTAGAAGTTTGTAGTACTCTATGAACATTTTCAGCAGCCTTTTTTTCTTCTTTTATGTTCTCGAACGAATGCTAAATAAGTTAAGTAGCTACAGGTCCATTTATGCATCATGCTTGAATACAGATAGACATTTACCTACTGAACTTATTCAGTATACGCCTGAGCGCGACTGGAACCTTTCTTGTGTTTAAAAAAAAGGCATTAATTCAAATATAATGCGGTTTAAAAATACACAGCTAAATTGTTTTATAGGAAAACATTTTGGCAAATGAAAATTCACATTTGACTTTACAGAGTGGCAAAAATCGTTCATAAATTAAGCGTTTAATAAAAGTGTAGATGGGGGAATCCCCCACGTTGTTTACCAAAAACGTTTTTGAAAATCCTGATATCCCAGTCGCTGTCATCCATATAATCCACAGTAAATCCTGCAAAAAACTCATTAGGGGGCACAAAACAAGCACGTAACTTGTTTGGGTTCAATATTTATGTTTCCCTCTCAAAATATAAACGATTCTTGCCTCTGTTTAGAAAAAACGTACGCTATCGCAACTCGTTCGCAATCGAAAAACCACAGTTGAGCGGTAAGAGGAAAAAAATGTGTGCGGCGCAAGTAAAAAGTGCAATTCAATGGTAATTGCACGTCGTGGGGGAGGGTGGGGTCCATGTTCGAATATCTAGGACATTCCAAACTAAACAAACATCATGTTGACAGATTAAAAGTGCGATCACAAGTGCTTGTGAACGTCACCATCCTCAAATGTCTAAGAGACTCACCTTTAAACCTCAACGCGCAATACGTTTTGTGCCCCATAAATGCGGCATATTTACCAGATATAGACAAATAAACATTTGTTTTTATTCAGTGTAAATCTAAATTATTTATTTGGTATTTAGTAAATGTTATTTACCTTAAAACAATATACAAGGTGCGTCATAACTTTAAATTTTGAAATATCTCAGTTAGTATGCATTTTACGAAAAAATGTTTAAAATAAAAATTAAATGATTCGAGGGGGGAAATCAATCAGTACTAAAATTGGTCCTCATACTCTCCTCCTTATAGGGGGAACACGACTAAAATTATGTAGATTGTCTAAATCATTTTTTCATATTTGTAATAGATGGCGCTGTAATTTTTCTTCTGTATACGATTCTCCAATAATTTTTGAATAAAATACTTGGTTTTATTTTTTAAATTTTAATTTAAGTAGGTGCTCAAAATGGTGGCCTTCGACTTCAATGCATTTATTATTTCGCATTTCGTTTTAATATTCTCCTAACACTGCTCTGGGATATTCCCAAATCTCTATATAATTCTCGGGTGCTTGAATGAGGATTAGCGGCCGTTGCTGCTAATACGTTAATTTCATTATTTCCACCTGTGACTGTTGCTCGACGAACTCTTTTTTTCGGTTAAACACTCCCGTTTGTAGTAAACTGCTTGACTGTACGGTGAAATGATGTACGTGATCGAATTTTATCCGGAAAACGCTGAGCGTAGATATTAACAGCATCATCAAGATTCCTGCCTGCTTCTTCTTAAATCAAAATCATTTCTATTTTTTCTTCCATTGTTAAAAAATCCATTACGAAGAACTGCTTAACGAAAGGAGGTATTTTAGTTTGGAAATTAATCTTCGAACTAAATTGATTAAATTATGCTAAACTATAAATGGTTTTTTTATACCTCAATTAGAATTAAATTAATTAATTGACAAAATATTTTTTTTTACCTTAAATGATGTATTTTTATTAAAAATAGTACAATAATCCTTTAAATCAAAGGATTTAATGCTGGCAGGTAAAAAGTGACCATGGTGCGCAACTGATAATTATCACTGAATGAAATAGGTAATGCATTAAACTTAAACCAAAGGAAACTTAAATATTAGTTAATAAATCGTGGGGACTTAAAAAAATCAGATTTAATTTAATAAGATAATTATTTCCAAAAAAGTGATATTTTTATAGAAAAATTATTTCAGAATCGTATACAGAAGAAAAATCGAACCAAATTGATTTTTTTTATTACAGTGCCATCTATAACAAATATGAAAAAATGTTTTAGACAAAATCTACCTATTTTTAGTCGAATGATCCGAATCTGCAATAAAAATAGGGTGTTCCATTGGAAATTTTAAAGTTACCCCCTGTTCCCCCTATAAGGAGGAAAGTATGAGGACCAATTTTAGTACTGATTGATTTCCCCCCTCGAATCATTTAATTTCTATTTTAAACATTTTTTCGTAAAATACATACTAACTGAGATATTTCAAAGTTGTTTGATTGAAAAATCATATAAAATATTTTTTCTTCATAAATATTATTTTCTTGAAGTGATAATATTGTGACTGGATCGTTTTTTACGTGTGATCTTCAAATTATTCGACAATTTAATCTAAAAATCGAATAATTTTATAGAAATTTTGATGAATTTCGTAATAATATAATATAATATTTAAATTTGTTGCTTTCTTGTACCATGGTTACTTCCAATTTTTGACTTCCTGTTTTCACGGAGCAACGGATCGACGTGATTTTTTGCACCGAGGTAGTTTATAAAAAACGCAAAGTTCCTTAAAATTCCCCAGCTTGTTTTTAGACATACACCGAATAACTGGTAAATTTATTTCGCAGTTTCTAGCATATATACGCATTTTACTGAAAGGAGACAAAACTTATTGCGCGACTGGGCACACTTAAGACTAAACCGACGTACTGCTGAAAGAGATGTTTTACCTGTTTTAACTTTGGTGACCTTTGAAAACCGCTGTTTTTTCTCGAAAAATAAATACTTACGACACTTGAACTACCTTTACCTACAACGACCGATACTTACTTATAAACGTTCGATTTTATTTTTGCTATGCTTTTAATCGACGCCTAATACTTTAAGTTGTTTTTTTTTCAGGGTTGGTTTAGGTGAAAAACTCACCTGATCTATGATGTAGTTTCTCCTTCTTTGACAAGCCCATTCCAGAATTTTATTTATGGATCTTTGCAGGCGGTCCATCAGCAAACTCCAGCGGCCTTTGAAGGCCGATTTCAAGGGCTTTCCGGAAACCTGGATAGAGGTTTACGATGTAATGGAAACATTAATTGGATAGCGTTTATCGAAAAGGAAACAGGGGCCAAAAATTTTTTCTGGGGTGAAAAAAATTATTTGCAAAATCATTTTTATTGCTGCTCAAAAAATTAATTCATTCTATTTATGTTTATTTTCTACTAACTCATTTTTTAGTAACGAAACAGAATGGTATCACCCAAAGCAAAGTAAAATTTCATAAAAAAAATAGTAAAACGATATTTGTGACAGTGATTATTTTGTATATGGTTAGTAAATATTATACTTTTGGAGGCCTGTAATTTTTAGGAATGTTTCCCTAAGAAAATTCGCTGAATTTTAAATAAATGTAACAATAGTCAGGACATATGCTAAACTGTACTAATTTTACAATTTAGATAAAACAACTAAAAACGTAGAGAATAAGGCACTTGCTAAAATATTATTTCAAAATACATAAAAATTTAGAATTAGGTTGAAGAAATTACAAATTTTATTAAAGAATTTAATAGGTTTTTTGGTAATTTTTGGAAAAATAAAGTATGCAAAATTCGCATACTAGTTTCTTCAAAAATTACCAAAAAACCTACTAAATTTCTTAATAAATTTAATGAAATAAGAAAATTAATGAAATAATGTAATTAAATAAAAACAACTCAACTACTTAAAAAAAAATATTATTTTTAACAAAAATATAAATAAACATAACTTCTTTTGTACAAATATGTCGCATTGACTAGTTTTTTAGCTAAATCGCTCGACAAGTTTTTTTTTAATAAAATTAAAAGTGAGGTAAAATTACTACTTTTGTTTATATCTGAGGTATATACACAAGAAAAAATTTCAACACACTTTTAATTTTATTTAAAAAAAAAACGCCAGAAACGATAGCTATGGCTAAAAAACTAGGCCAAAGTTAAAAGATGTTATATTTATATTTTAAGAAAAAAAGTGTTAAACGTTTAGTTAATAACTAACAATAATTGTAATGTGGTTCTTGTTACTCAAAAATCTCATAATAGAAAAAATATAAAGTTTGCATAATACAGCAAAACATTCTTTAGTTTGTTTACTATTTTACCTATCATTTAAAAGAAAATTAAAAATCCTTTTGGTTGATATAGAACACGGTATATTTTTGCCGAAAACAAACGAAATGTGGCTAATGATGACGAATTTGTAGAAGTCTAGGAGCTACTACATGGATTTTGTTTTTAGGTATAATTTGTTGTTTTTTAGGAAAAAATTGGTTGTCAAATATTATTTTAAAAAGAATTTAATAAACTATAGTTTATTAAATTCTTCTAAAATGATAAATTACAACCTAAATTAAAAAAAAAAATTACTTTTTTAGCACAACTACCTTAGTCAGGTTGGCCTATACTTCAACTTATATCTAGGTTTTACGGTTTTTCGAGAAAATATTTTTAATAATATTTAATAATAAAAAAACGTTCGAAAAATAACTTTTGGGGATTTTTTTTAAGTAAATAAAAAATATGCTCTTAAAAACCGTATTTTTGTTGGTATACCCTAAACATTTTGTACAAATCAAATGAACATTAACGAATATACAGCGTTTCAAATTCGGTAAAAGTGACCCCTTTTTGATTATTCTGCTTTATTATTAAATGAAAGGGCTTTAAAAATATTTTCTCGAAAAACCCTCAAACACGTAAACTGAGATATAAGTTGAAGTGTTTTTATACAAAATTTCATAGAGATTGCTAAAGGCGTTTTAGAGCTAGAATTTTTTACTTATGCGTTAATTTTGACACGTATTTAAATTTTATAAATATTAAGAGATTGATGGCAATTTTAGGAGAATTTTAGGAGGTGAAAATAAATGACTTACTAACGTATGCTAAATTTGCATACTTTATTTCTCCAAAAATTACCAAAAAAACCTACTAAATTCCTTAATAAAATTTAATGAAATAAGAAATTTAATGAAACTTAATGAAATTATGTAATTAAATAAAAACAACTCAACACTGTAAAAAAAATTATTATTTTTAACAAAAATATAAATAAATATAACTTCTTTTGTACAAATAGGTCGCATTGACTAGTTTTTTAGCTAAATCGCTCGACAAGTTTTTTTTAAATAAAATTAAAAGTGAGGTAAAATTACTACTTTTGTTTATATCTGAGGTATACACAAAAAAAATTTCAACACACTTTTAATTTTATTTAAAAAAAAACGCTAGAAACGATAGATATGGCTAAAAAACTAGGCCAAAGTCAAAAGATGTTATATTTATATTTTAAGAAAAAAAGTGTTAAACGTTTAGTTAACTAACAATAATTGTAATGTGGTTCTTGTTGATCAAAAATCTCATAATAGAAAAAATATAAAGTTTGCATAATACAGCAAAACATTCTTTGTTTGTTTACTATTTTACCTATCATTTAAAAGAAAATTAAAAATCCTTTTGTTTGATATAGAACACGGTATATTTTTGCCGAAAACAAACGAAATGTGGCTAAAAATGACGAATTTGTAGAAGTCTAGGAGCTACTACATGGATTTTGTTTTTAGGTATAATTTGTTGTTTTTTAGGAAAAAATTGGTTGTCAAATATTATTTTAAAAAGAATTTAATAAACTATAGTTTATTAAATTCTTCTAAAATGATAAATTACAACCTAAATTAAAAAAAAATTAAATTACTTTTTTAGCACAACTACCTTAATTAAATGTAGTCAGGTTGGCCTATACTTCAAATTATATCTAGGTTTTACGGTTTTTCGAGAAAATATTTTGAATAATATTTAATAAAAAAACGTTCGAAAAATAACTTTTGGGGATTTTTTTTAAGTAAATACGAAATATGCTCTTAAAGACCGTATTTTTGTTAGTATACCCTAAACATTTTGTACAAATCAAATGAACATTAACGAAGATACAGCGCTTCAAATTCGGTAAAAGTGACCCCTTTTTGATTATTCTGCTTTATTATTAAATGAAAGGGCTTTAAAAATATTTTCTCGAAAAACCCTCAAACACGTAAACTGAGATATAAGTTGAAGTGTTTTTATACAAAATTTCATAAAGATTGCTAAAGGAGTTTTAGAGCTAGAATTTTTTTACGTATGCGTTAATTTTGACACGTATTTAAATTTTATAAATTTTAAGAGATTGATGGCAATTTTAGGAGTTTTCACGATTTAAGCAAAATTTAAGGAATTTTAGGAGGTGTAAATAAATGACTTACCGTCATTTTCTCCAATAGCTGCGTGTTTCCGATGACGAGGTAGCGATTTTCCTTGTTGTTTTTGATGTGCTCGCGCACCCAGTGGGTTTTTCCGCACGCCGGCAGGCCGCACATTAAAATGATCTAAAAAAATAATTACAATTAAAAATTAAAATTATTTTTTTTTAAATCGGTCTCTTACTTCGCAGTCGCTGCGGTTGACGGGTCTCTGCGGTCCGGCCACTTTTTCCTCGACCTTGTCCAGTAGCGGATAGTCGGCGAGATCGTCGGGCGAGGGGAAGAAGGGCTCCTCTTTCTGGCCCAGGTTCGCCTCGAAACCGATGTTTCTGGTGACGACGTGCGGGAACATGACGAAGTTTTCCGGCAGTTCCGATACGGGCACCGAAATCGCTTGCGGCTGCGCCACGCCGTTCACCGTGTACGTGATCGTCATGTTCGTATCGATGCTCTAAAATACGGATTCGCTTTATTTTGACAGCTTTTTGAAAACAAGTGTGTTTAAGTATTGCCAAAATTATTCTCAAATGCATACTTTATAAGTTATTACAAAGAGTGTCAGCAGGGAAAAAATAGATTTTTAATATTTTTGGGGTATAAATTATTTTTGGTGCGTGAACGAAGCTGTTTGTTACACATCTTACAAATTGTGTATTTTATCTTGATATAAACAAAAAAGTTTTATTAGGAAGTGGCAAAATTGAAATAATTGTATTAAGGTCATTTTTTTAACATTTTTGTTCGTAAGCAGGAACTGCTAAAATTGAATTAATTGCATTTCCACATTTTTTGAGTTTATAAGCGAAATTGACAAAACAGTTTTATTATTAACTGACAAAATGAAAATAGGTAATTGCACTTTACTCATTTTTTCAACCTTTTTCTCCAAAAAGTTTAGAAGCAACATTGACAAAAAAGTTTTATTAGGAACTGCCAAAATTGAAATCATTGCATTTACCATTTTTTTAAACTTGGATTTAAGAAGCAAAATTGGCAAAAAAGTTTCTTTAGGAACTGCGAAAATGAAAATAATTGCATTTTACTCATTTGTAATCCTTTTTGGGGTGTAGAAGCAAAATTGGCAAAAAAGTTTTATTAAAAACTGCCAAAATGGAAATAACTGCATTTTACTCATTTTTTCAACCTTATTGGAGATTAGAAGCAAAATTGGCGAAAAAGTTTCATTAGGAACTGGCAAAATGAAAATATTTGCATTTTACTCATTTTTCAACCTTATTGGAGTTAAGAAACTGCCAAAATGAAAATAATTGCATTTTATTCGTTTTTTTAACCTTTTAGGAGTTTAGAAGCAAAATTGGGAATAAAGTTTTATTAGAAACCGTTTCTAATTTGTAATAATTGTATTTTACTCATTTTTGGAGTTTGGAAGCAACATTGGGAAAAAAGTTACATCAGAAACTGCCAAAATGAAAATAACTGCATTTTACTCATTTTTGGGGTTTAGCAGCAAAATTGGCAAACAAGTTTTATTAAAAACTGACAAAATGGAAGTAATTGCATTTTACTAATTTTTTCAACCTTATTGGAGTTAAGAAGCAAAATTGGCGAAAAAGTTTCATTAGGAACTGCCAAAAAAATCATTTCATTTTACTCATTTTTTTCAACCTTTTTAGAGTTTAGAAACAAACTTGTAAAAAGTGCCAAAATGGAAATACTCATTTTTTCAACATTTTTGTTGTTAAGAAGCTTAATTGGCAAAACATTTCATTAGGAACTGCCAAAATGGAAATTACACATTTTTTCAACCTTATTGGAGTTTAGAAGCCAAATTGGCGAAAAAGTTTCATTAGAAACTGCCAAAATTAAAATCATTTCATTTTACTCATTTTTTTCGTCTTTTTAGAGTTTAGAAGCAAACTTGTAAAAAGTGCCAAAATGGAAATACTCATTTTTTCAACATTTTTGTTGTAAAGAAGCATAATTGGCAAAACAGTTTCATTAGGAACTGCCAAAATGGAAATAATTGCATTTTACACATTTTTTCAACCTTTTTGGAGTTTAGAAGCAAAATTGGAATAACAGGTTTCATTAGGAACTGCCAAAATGGAAATAATTGCATTTTACTCATTTTAAAAAAAAATTACTTTAGAAGCAAAATTGGGAAAAAAGTTTCATTAGGACTGTCAAAATGGAAAAAAAAATCATTTTACTCGTTTTTTTTTTAAGATTCTAGTTCATTTTTCAACCTTATTGGAGTTTAGAAGCGAAATTGGCGAAAAAGTTTCATTAGGAACTGCCAAAATTAAAATCATTTCATTTTACTAATTTTTTTCACCCTCTTAGAGTTTAGAAACAAACTTGTAAAAAGTGTCAAAATGGAAATACTCATTTTTTTAAGATTTTTGTTGTTAAGAAGCATAATTGGCAAAAAAGTTTCATTAGGAACTGCCAAAATGGAAATAATTGCATTTTACACATTTTTTCAACCTTTTTGGAGTTTAGAAGCGAAACTGGCAAACAGGTTTCATTAGGAACTGCCAAAATGGAAATAATTGCATTTTACTCATTTTTAAAAAAATTTAGTTTAGAAGCCAAATTGGGAAAAAAGTTTCATTAGGAGTGTCAAAATGGAAAAAAAAATCATTTTACTCGTTTTTTTTTCGAAATTGGCAAAAAACTGTCACTAGAAAGTGCCGAAATGGAAATAATCGTATTTAGTTAGTTAAGTTAGGTAAGAGTTAAGATTACAAAATTTTAAAATTACACAAAATTAATATGTTAAAAAATTTAATTTTTTTGAAAATTTTTAAATTTCCAAAATTTAAATACAAACTAGATTTTAAAATTAAAATTTAGACAATTTATGAAATGATAAAATTTTTTAAAATAATTTATAATTTGTGAAATTTTATTTAAAAGTACTTACCAAATAGGCACCGACGACATCTCCGACGGCAAATTTGACGCCGTAATCCTCGAACTGTTTGTTGGTAACGAACCTGCCGGAATTTTCGTAACCATACGAATGCTCGTAGTCGCCCAACAACAGCTCGGAATCGATGATGGAGAAACCGATTCGAATCAGATGCGACGGAATCGGTTCCGCTTTCTCCTTGGCCTCCTCGCCCTCCTTCTTCTCCTCATCATCCTCCTTTTTCACCTCTTCGCCGTCCTTTTTCTCTTCCTCGCCGTCCTTTGTCTCTTCTTCTCCGTCCTTTTTCTCTTCTTCGCCTTCCTTTTTCTCTTCGTCTTTCTTATCGTCGGTCTCCATCGGTTCTGGAGCTTCTTCCGCCTTCTCCTTCTTTACTTCCTTCTCCTCTTTTGCTTCCTCTTTGTTTTCCGTCTCCCCGTTGGTGGAGTTCTCGGCCGAATCCTCCTCCTTCTTTTCCTCCTTCTTCTCTTCGTTTTTCTTCTCGGCATCTTCCGTCGACGACTTGGACGATTTCTTCTTGTCGCCGTCGCTTCTTCGGTGGTCGGTTCGGTACACGTCGCGGTTTTTGGGGCGGTCGCGCTGCGTAGAGAAGTCCTCCCACTTGAGGTCTTCAGTCAGTTTCACCTCGAAGCATACCTAAGAGAAACGGGCATCCGTCAAGTTCGTTTAAACGGCGCAAAACCTTTTTGGAGTTTGGAAGCAAAATTGGCAAAAAAGGTTCACTAGGAACTTCAAAATGGAAATAATTGCATTTTCTTCATTTTCCCACATTTTTGAGTTTAGAAGCAAAATTGACAAACAGGATTTATTAGGAACTGCCAAAATGGAAATAATTGCATTTTACTAATTGTTTCAACCTTTTTGGAGTTTAGAGGCAAAATTGGGAAAAAAGGTTCATTAGAAACTGCCAAAATTGAAATAATTGCATTTTACTCATTTTTGGAGTTTAGAAGCAAAATTGGCAAAAAAGTTTCATTAGGAAATGCTAAAATGAAAATAATTGCATTTTACTCATTTGTTCAATATTTTTTGTATTTTAGAAGTAAAATTGGGAAAAAGTTTCATCATAAACTACGAAAATGGAAATTATTGCATTTTACTATTTTTTTCAAAAGTTGGAGTTTAGAAGCAACATTGGCAAAAAAGTTTGATTAGGAACTTCCAAAATGAAAATGATTGCATTTTACTTATTTTTGGAGTTTAGAAGCAAATTGGCAATAAAGTTTCATTAGGAACTGCTAAAATGGAAATAATTGCATTTTAATAGTTTTTCCAACATTTTTGGAGTTTGGGAAAAAAGTTTCATTAGAAACTGAGAAAATGGAAATAATTGCATTATAATCATTTTTTCAAAAATTTTGAAGAAAAATTGGCAAAAAAGTTTCATTACAAACTGCCAAAATGGAAATAATTGCATTTTACTTATTTATTTAACCTTTTTGGAGTTTAGAAGCTTTAAAACATTTTATAAAATTTTTACTTTCTAAAATGTGGACTTTTAAACATATTAAAATCACTCATAATTTTTAAAATTCTCAAAATTCAAAAAATTTCATGAAATATAAAATCTTGTTCTTACAATACTTTTTTTCGTCCTTAACGCGATTCTATTAAATATAAATTTTATAATATCAGTTTCATAGTATAAAAATTTAGTTTTTGTCGACTATTTTACAAATAATCTTATTTGTATGATTTATATATTAAAAAAAGCAGAAAATTATTTTAAAAAACAATTTTTTTTAAGTATCTTTAAAAGACGTAAATTATAGCACATTTCAAGCAAAATGTTGCGAACAAATAAACATAACGATAAAAATAAATGTTTTAATTGGTAAAACATATATTTATAGATATTTACAATCTTTATGTAAATGTGACTCAATAATGCAATAAAATTGATTAAATAATAATAACGGAAACCAGGTTTGTTTTATTTTTCGAATTATACCATTATTTAAAATAAACATTACACAAAATTATCTGAACAAGCAAACAACATTTTATGTAATATTTACACAGTGAAAAAAACAAATATTAAATTATTTTTGTTAAAGTTTAAAGTTCGTTTTAGATTTTATTAAATAACTTGGAAAGCCGTTTTTGCACAAAATTTGATATTTAAAAAAACGGTTTTTTTTTAAAACCGGTAATTACAGAAAAATTGACTTTTGCATTTTTTTTATTTTATGTAAGGGGTAATACGAAAAAATGCAAGACAATTTTTCTGAAAATTTACAAATTTTTACGGACACTGATATCACGAAAAAAGTGAATTTTCGACGCTAAATATAATCATAATATTATGATTATAATAATTATTTATTTTATTTTAATTCAGTAACAATATTCTACCGGGTCGCAAATAATATGTTTATTCGTTTTATTTGACACTTTGATTTATAAAATTATAAATTTGTAATTTAACTTTATAAATCATGCATTACTTTGTAATTGGATATTTTCATTGGGCTCCTTTTTGCAAAAAAGACCCAACTGACAGTAACTCAATGCTGAGTTTTCTTCAAATGTGTATATTTCCTCAAAAATATCCAATTTTTCCAAGGTCTGGGAAAAACAGGTTTTTCCCCCAATTTTTTCGGTTTTTTTTCCAAAACTTTAAAACCCTAGCTGAAGTGTATTTCTTATTAATTTTTTAAATTTTATCACGCCAAATTTCTCAAGAAAAAAAACGAGTTTGATAATTTTTTTCCGAATTTTTGGAGCAATACTGCGATGCTCCGGTTTTAATTCGATATTTTTTTCTTATAGTCCAGAAAAAAAACGAAAAAAAAAAAAATAGTTTCCCCCCAATTTTTCCGCTTGCAGCAAAATGGCTGCTGACCTGTGTTACCTTTGAAGTTCCGGTGTAAAATAGATGGTGAAAAATATTAATAAAAGAAGAGTGGTGTTAACAGGAGAAAACTTGGTAGCAAAAAAAAAAATAATAATGGTACCTTTCCATTTGAAACGCCAAAGTTGGATCTGACTCCAGCCCAGGCATATCCAAAGGCCCCTTCGTTAAAGGGCTTGGCCGATAAAAACGATTCTTTATCGAGTTGCAGATGAAGGTCAGAATCATCTGAAATTAAAAACAAAACTCTTTTGACTCCTCACTCGCTACTTCTTTTCTTATCTTTTAATTAGCTTTTGATAATTTCGTTATATTAATAAATAGAACGTTAAAAATCAAAGAATAGGAAGACAAGAAAAAAGAAACAAAGTTTAACAAAAAAACATTTTTATTTAGCTACATACAACTGTACAAATAATATTCTATGCAAGTACATACGAAGATATAAAAACTTACTGCTGGGGAAAAGTGCATGCAAGTCAAAATGTAATCAAAATCGTTATCTCTAATAACTCAATAAACAACAAAGTTTCCATACCAAATATCTAGGTAAAACTACATAAAGCCAAAAATCCAACTAAATAATAGATATAAGCATGCAATTCCCGAAAAGTAAGTGCGTGTACTCTCTATACAGGATTTTCTACGTGTGTTTAAGTGTCTACTTACACCAGCTAAGTTGCACTTTGTCGTTGTCTAGGATCGGCTCGTCCTCTTTTATGGGGGATTTGCTTCGCTTCCGTTGGTGCTGGCGTTCGGGGGAAGGACTCGAACGCCTGCGCTTCTCGCCCCTTTTTTCCGGTTCCTCGGATTTTTCCTCCATCTTCTCGTCGTCCTCCTTATCGGACGATTCCCGCTCCGCCTTCACCTCTTTGACCGGAGACGGGAGTTCGCATTTAACCTCACTTCCCTGCAAGTGCAAAAAAGTATGTCGTTACATAGGCATACAACGAACGAGGATTTTTGTAGCCTAGTTCGTCATTTGCAGAGTCCTGGGCTTTGATAGCTATTGGTAAACGTGATGGACATTCAAGAAGATATCAAAAAAATAGTCGTGCTTTTTGGAGTTAAGCAAAATTGGCAAAAGAAGTTGCAATAGAAACTGCTAGTGTAAATAATTTCATTTTACATATTTTTTCAACATTTTTTGGCAAAATTGGCACAAAAAGTTTTATTACAAACTGCTAAAATGGAAATAATTGCATTTAACTCGTTTTTTTTTAAATTTTGGAGTTTAGAAGCAAAATTGGCAAAAAAGTCTCATTAGAAAGTGCCAAAATGGAAATAATTGCATTTTATTCATTATGCCCAAATTTAAGAAGCAAAATTGGCAAACAAGTTGCATTAGGAAATGCGAAAATGGAAATAATTGCATTTTACTCATTTTTTCAACATTTTCGGAGTTAAGAAGCAAAATTGGCAAAACAAGTTTCACTATGAACTGCAAAAATGGAAATAATTTCATTTTACTCATTTTTTTAACATTTTTGTAGTTTAGAAGCCTTAAAACATTTTATAACATTTTCACATTGTGGACGTTTGAACATTTTAAATTTACAAAATTTCTCAAAATTTTAAAAAAATTCGAAATTAGAAAATTTAATTTTTTTGAAAATTTAGACAATTTATGATATAGATAGAAAAGCAAATAACGCGTTTTTTTGTGAAACCTTTGGACAGTTAATTTTTACTAGACTATGCCGCCGCAAGGAAATTGTTTTCTTGACAATTGATAACATTGATTTGTAGACTACAGAAACGCAAATGCAACAAATGCATGTGAGAATTCACAAAATAGGAGAAGTTTCACAAAAAATTGCAAAATTTTTAAACTTGGAGAATTCTGAATGTTACACAGGAGAATTCTGAATGTTACTCAGCCAGAATGTTAGCGGAAAACAAATTGGCTGGAAAACTTCAGCATTTGCTGAACAGTATGTTGAACAATCAATTACCAAGAAACGTGAAATTTTGAAGCAGCTGTTAAAATCAACAGACAATTATTCTTTAACATAATCCTCAAGTGATAGCATATAACGAAAAATAGCAGAAACTCGATGAAAAATATCACAACAAAGATATTAACTTCAACACTTGCTCTTATTGTACCTAAATAATTATGTATTGTGTGTTTTGTTGTAAAATTAAATTGTAAATAATTTTTTACTAAAAAATGTTATTTTAACAATGTCAACTTACAGTTTTATCCCCGTTTTCTTCTACTGGAGAACTCTCAACATTATCTGTTTTTGTTTCAGTTTCTGGTTCTGATTTTGTCGGTTCAGGTTCTGTTTCTTTTTTTATAGGTGCAGTCTTGAAAAAAATGCATGAAAAAAATACATTATAGAAATTGGCAAAAGTATAATTTACAATGCAATTTTTGTCACCTAAGACACCACAATTTCTTCACTTACCTCCATAGGAGTTTCTGGCTCCTTTTTTATAGGTACTTTAGCCGGGGATGCTTCATCTTTCGTTGCTTCTTCTTTTTCCGCATTTTCTTCCGGTGAATCCGGTTCTGCTGGAGGTGACGATTCAACGTTCGAATCTCCTCCTGAAACATTTTCAATAAATCTTCCCGCCAAAACAATAACCTATTTTTTTAAATAACAAAAAACAAGGTGGGATGTAACTTTGTTTCAATAATGACTACAAAACTACGAAAAAGTAAACAAACATTTGGATAGGTACATCTGTTATTTTCCAAGTTGACTTTTTTCAGTTGGGTTTTATACCTGGAAATTATTTGTTAACATCTAACAATAAAAAAAATCCGATGTCCTTTAACCCTTTCCAAATCAAAATGAGGAAACATTTATAAAACCGTCAGTTTTTATGTATGGACATTTTTTTATTTAAAAAAAATGGCGTCGCCACTGCATTTATTTAAGTAATCTAATAATATAATATTTTAAAGTTTCTTTATGTTAGGTATAGGAGGAAAAATTCAGTTTGGTACAACTTTGCAAAAACTTGTCCGTCTCCCCAGTAACTTTTTCTATAATTTAATCTTGGCAAGTTAATAATGTTAAAATATAATCTTTGTCATCAATATTATTTTTTCATGTTTTTCAAAGCTTAATTTTTCTAAATTTACCATTTTGTCAATGCAAAAGCAAAATCTTTATTTAATACTTTGTATTAAAATTAATTAACATTGTATGTCCCTTCTGTCTTCTTTGTAGTTCTATGGATGAGTGGCAGATGGCGCCAGTTATAAATGCAACAGTTAAATAGTTGTTTATGTTTAAAAGAATCAGGTGCTTTTGTAAGAAGATGGTTTTATGTATGTAAATTAACTTTTATTTATTGAAAGTTTTGTTGATTTTAAATAGTAAATCTATACACTATGGGAAATGTCACTGAAAAAAGTAGGTACAGGGTGATCCCCTATAATGTCGCCCCCCTTTAACTTTTTTATTTTAAGTGTCCGAAAAATTTTTAAAGTGTGGTTATGTAGGTACTAAAAAATACTTTGTTTCTACGTAAAAAGAAAATTGGAAAATTAATCAGTATACAGGGAAAAACAAAAAGTTTATTTTTTTTCAATGGATCACCCTATATATGTATTTATTTTTCAATTCCTTGTAAAATTCTAAGCATATTTCATATAACTTACCATATACCTAAATTCAACCGTTTCTGAAATATTTAAATTATTTTCAAGATAATAAGTTGAAATAGTTTGTCTTTCTCTGTCTGAGTAGGCCATTTTTACTTATTTAACAAGACATATTGACATAATGTCACTATAATAATTTATTTTCAATAACAATTTTGGTATACTGAGGCTTCTTGATTTCTAACAGTTTAAAAAAACATTTAATGATAACATTTCGAATGCGAATATTTCAGAAACAGTTGAATTTAGGATATGGTTTGTTATATGAATTATGCTCAGAATTTTACAAGGAATCAAAACATAAATTCATATACAGGGTGATCCATTGAAAAAAAATAAACTTTTTGTTTTTCCCTGTATATTGATCAATTTTTAATTTTTTTTAATACGTAGAAAAAAAGTATTTTTTAGTACCTACATAACCAAACTTTTAAATTTTTTGGGACACTTAAAATAAAAAAGTTAAAGGGGGGCGACATTATAGGGGATCACCCTGTACAATTTTATTATATATTAATTAGTTTATAATTTTTTTACAAAAATTAAAAGGGACAAATTTATTATTATTTCCTTAAAAAATATTCTATAGATTTTTTTTTAAGTTTATAAATAAACAACTATTTAACATAGTAAAATTCAATATAGCTAAATATTGTATAATGTATTATTGCATATTATGTACATATACAGTGTTGGCCATAATTTTTGCAACCACTTTAAAAAAATCTAACTCTAAAACGGCTTTATCATTCTTCATGAAATTTTGCATAAAAATACTTCAACTTATATCTCAGTTTACGTGTTCGAGGATTTTTCGAGAAAATATTTTTAAAGCCCTTTAATTTAATAATGAAAAAACGTTCGAAAAATAACTTTTAGGGTAATTTTTTTGAAGTAAATAAAAAATATGCTGTTAAAGACCGTATTTTTGTTAGTATGTAGCGATTCAAAGTCGTCAAAAATGACCACTTTTCAGCAAAATAATCAAAAAGGGGCCATTTTTACCCACTATGAAGCGCTGTATCTTCGTTACTGTTCGTTTAATTTGTACAAAATTTTCAGGGTATACTAACAAAAATACGTTCTTTAACAGCATATTTTTTATTTACTTAAAAAAAATACCCTAAAAGTTATTTTTCGAACGTTTTTTCATTATTAAATAATAAAAATATTTTCTCGAAAAACCCTCAACACGTAAACTGAGATATAAGTTGAAGTAATTTTATCCAAAATTTCATAAAGAATAATAAAGGCGTTTTAGAGTTAGATTTTTTTTACAGTGGTTCCAAAAATTATGGCCAACACTGTACATCCAAATATCAATAATTAATATAAGTCGTATTTTAAAAAGAATAAAAAACCGGGCAAATTAGCAAATAATATTCTTGTTATATCAAAGAAAATTGTATCATCTTTTAGGCATCGGATTTTTTTTTCTAAAATTGATTTTAGACCGTTAATTAATAATTTAAATGATTCTCAAGTGAAAAAGCCAACTCATGAAATTCAGAAAAAAGATCATTTTATATTTATTTCTTTGACCTTCAATATCATTTAAATGGTTTGTTTTACGAAAAAACGCAAAAGGCGTTTTTTGTAAAGCGTAAAATTTCCTAAAAAAAACGTCTTGTATAACTTGGTAATAATTTTAATATTTTTTTAAACTTAACTTAAAATAAACTATAATAAATTATAATACAACAGTTCATAAAAAATCTTTCTGCGCCATTGACTGCTCATAACCACTTATGAAATGGAGCTGAAGTTGACAATTCTCTCTAAAAATGAATTAATCAAAAATGACTAATTTAATAGTTATTAGTGGCTGCTTTTTCACTTGTACCAAGGTTAACCATGGAATACCATGGTATCCCAAAATTTAACAGCAAATTCTTATGTAAAATTGTCCCCTGAATCCGAAAATACCGTCAAAAATTATGAAAGTGGAGCAGTTTTTGAGATATAGTCAATTCCATATTAAATGGAAAATTGACTATACTTATCTCAAAAACTGTTCTACGTTTTTGACATTTTCGGATTCAGGGGACAATTTTACGTAAGAATTGGCTGTTAAATTTTGGGATACCATGGTATTCCATGGTTAACCATGGTACAAGTGAAAAAGCAGCCACTAATAACTATTAAATTAGTCATTTTTGACTAATTCATTTTTAGAGAGTTAAGACAGTTATTTATAGCTTAAATTGACATGTCAAAGACATACCATAACTCCAGCTTTTTTCTATGGTCAAAGGCAAAAATGACCTTAATAAGCTATACGATAAGATATCAACAATGTTTGCAAAGCTCTTTATATTTTGGTAAATAATGGGTTTATATTTGTTTAGTTTTCAAAAAATTCAGACAGTTTCTCCAACATTTTGACCATGGAGCCTACACAAGGAGTTCAAAGTTAATAGGGGGGGAATTGACAATACCAGCCTAATAAATTGCACAAAATACGTGTTCTTTTTTACCACTAACGGCGCTGATTTTCATTTTGTACTGAAGTCTGCTGAACAGAAACCAGCGCCCCCTTATTTTGGGGTACTTCTTGTGTAGACTCCATGACCTTGACGTCAAATAATTAAAGATGTTAACTGCGACAAAGTGACAAATTTATTTTGTATTTAACGCTATTTTTAATCTTAAAAATCTGTTTTTAAGATTTAAAAAAAATCAATTAACATGGTCAATTTATCTTCCCGCCAAAACAATAACCTATTATTCCGGCGTAAACCTCTTTAATTCGCCGATAGCACTATCAGAGCACTAAAATCTATAAAATGCGATGAAAAAATGCTTGCAGCTACTCAGAAACAATGCATTCACCGGACAAAAAAACACCATGAAAAAAACCCCGCCAAACTTGTCAAAGTTGGCATTGACAAGCAAATAACCAACACCGAGGCGTTTTAACCCCGTTAAATCTTATTTTACGCACCTTTTTCCTCTTCTTCGGCGTCTAAAGCTTCCTGCAATCTTTGAACCAGCACCGCTTTGACTCCCTTGGTGTCCAAATTTCGCGCGGACAGCTCCGCCCTCAATTCGACCACTTTCAGTTTGGAGGGATCCAGTTCGGAACTCATTTTCACATAAAATTGTCTTTATCAGCTATAAAATACAGAGCACATACAAGTATATCCACTACACACGTAAACCACGCGCAATCTTTGCAAATGGCGGATGCGGTGCTTTTTTTGACAACGCAAGCGCCAATGGCGCGCCTGCGCGCTCCGCAACCAATCAGAAGCCAGCTCGATTCACCGCCAAAACTTGAATTTAAGACTCAAATTATTTTTTTTATTTATTAACATTAATTATTATTTACTTAAATGTATTCATGCAAAGCCCTATTAAACAACTTGAAAAAACCTAACGTAATTTACGTAAGAATCAAACAGGTTTTAGAAAATGTTAAAATAGAACAAAACTAAACAATGCTCACAATTCGATTATATACATATGTTTTTCTAGAATAACGGTTTTTATCGGTTAATTGAGTGTGGGAATAAATAAATATATAAATAAATCGTCTGGACCGGTTGCATGCAGCATTTCGAATTGAGAGTAGTAGGCAACGCTGTATGCGGGTGCCAACTGTAAATGTCACAATATAACCTGTGAAAAATTTTTGTTCCATAATTATATCACATTTTCGCGTAGATTGAGCATACATTTCACCAAAAAGCACTTTGTTATGCATTTATAATATAGTTAGAGTCTTAAATTCGGTTGTTGTTTACACGTTTTTATTTAAAGTGAAATAATTCTTTGTGGTGCATCTATTTGTTATTTATAGAATGTTTTCAAATGGCATCACATGCAACCTACCATTTAATTGTATGAGTGTGACCCGCGACTCTGGGTCAGAAGAATTGCTTTCCAATAAAATGGCAAGGGAACCTGTTCTCTTAAATGTGTATGATATGTACAAAATAAATGAGTATACCTCGAATATTGGATTGGGGGTTTTTCACTCAGGTAATACTTCCATTAGTTTTTATATAAGTGGGATCCTATATTGTGTTTTAGGGGTTGAAATATATGGTATGGAGTATGCATATGGAGGGCACCAGTTCCCGTTTACTGGTATTTTTGAGATTAACCCAAGAGATGAAAAAGAATTGGGAGAACAGTTCCGGTTTAGGTATGAACAATTTTAACTATAGTTCAAACCAAATCTATAGATATTGCCAAACTAAATTGGTAATGTTTTGTTATTAAGGTGTCCTTGTTAAATTTTCAAGTGCATTTTTTTATATAATTATTTTTTACTTCAAACAGTCTATAATTTAAACTTTATTGTTGTTAACACTCGTTATCAAAATGATTGATTATTGCCTAGGCTGTAAAAATTCATTATTTACAAAGTAGTCCAAAGGGACCAATAAAAAATTTGACCTCTGTCAGATCAATTTAACCTCACTTACTTTTAATAATTGTACGTTTTATGTATTATTTTCAAACTGAGCTCAGCACAAAAATACTTACTTCTTGGCCTAATGACATAAATAACTATTTTTTTACTTGCATATTATAATAAGCAACATAATGACACAAATTTAGCAACACAGTACATCATTATTATTGAAAACGTCAGTTAGCAAAATAAAGAAAATTTTTTACCATTAATATTATTTTGCCTTGAAAATCGATGTTAAAAACTTTACGTTCTTATAATTTTGTCAAATAGAAAAAATAGTACAAGCTAAATAAAACAGTCAAGAATGTCAACTTAAGCTGTACCTTGAGCTGGACATTACTGCCTTAAGAATGTCAATCTAAGCTAGATTTAACTGTCATAAGAATGCCAACTTAAGCTAGATAAAACTTTCTGAAGAACATTAGCTTAAGCTAGACTATAGCAGTCTTAAGAATGTCAAGTTTAGCTATACATAACTGTCTTAAGAATTTCAACTTGAGCTAGACATAACTTTATTAAGAATGTCAACTTAAGCTACACATAACTGTATTAAGAATTTCAACTTAAGCTAGATATTACTTTCTTAAGAATGTCAACTTAAGCTAGACACAAGTATATTAAGAATTTCAACTTAAGCTGAACACAACTGTCTTAAGAATGTCAACTTAAGCTACACTTATTTGCATACAGTTATATCTAGCTTAATTTGACTTTCTTAATATATTTAGAAAGTCAACTTAAGCTAGATATAACTCTCTTAAAAATGTCAACCTAATATAGATAAAATTGTCTCTAGAATGTCAACTTAAGATAGATATAACTGTCTTAGGAATGTCAATTTGAGGCAGACATTATATTAAGAATGTCAAGCTAGATAACTGCCTAAAAATGACAATATATATAACTGTCGCAAGAATTCCAAGTTATACTAGATAAAACTGTCTAGAATGTCAACTTAAGATAGATATAACTGTCTTAAGAATGTCAACTTAAGCCAGACAACTATATTAAGAATGTCAAGCTAGATAACTTCCAACTCAAGATATATATAACTGTCTTTAGAATGTCATCTTAAGCTAGATATAACTGTCTCAAGAATTCCAAGTTAAACTAGATAAAACTGTCTAGAATGTCAACTTAAGATAGATATAACTGTCTTAAGAAAGTCAATTTTAGGCAGATAACTATATTAAGAATGTCAAGCTAGATAACTGCCTAAAAAATGTCAACTTTAGCTAGATATAACTGTATTAAGAATTTCAAGTTAAACTAGATAAAACTGTCTAGAATGTCAACTTAAGCTAGCTAAACTGTAAGAATGTCAACTTTAGCTAGATATAACTGTCTCAAGAATTTCAAGTTAAACTAGATAAAACTGTCTAGTAGAATGTCAACTTAAGATAGATATAACCTTCTTAAGAATGTCAATTGTTAACTTAAGCTAGATATAACTGTCTTAAGAATTTCAACGAGCCAGACAACTATATTAAGAATGTCAAGCTAGATAACTGCCTAAAAAATGTAAACTTTAGCTAGATATAACTGTCTTAAGAATTTCACGTTAATCTAGATAAAACTGTCTAGAATGTCAACTTAAGCCAGCTAAACTGTAAGAAAGTCAACTTTAGCTAGATATAACTGTTTCAAGAATTCCAAGTTAAACTACACTCACGTGCAAAATAACACTAGTTTACAAAATTTGTTAAAGTTGTTCCTAATTTAACCAAAACAACTTTTTTTAAGGTAAAATTTTGTACTGATTCCTAAAATAATAGTAGTTTTTTTGGTTTAGCTCTAGATTTCGGGTTATGCATGAAATCTCGCAAAAATGCACTGTTACAGAATATTCAATCACAAATATGCAGCTAAAATTTTATTTGATATCAAATCAATCCCAAATCTTTATAGCTGTAAGGACTGAAGTTTAATACAAATTTTAAGATGTAAAGCTCCTAAATTGCATTAGTGGTTTTGTCACTATGACCAAAAATAGGTCAGAAAAAATCACTATTTTCCGATTTTCTTTCAATTTTTTCAACTTTGGTCCACTGTATATTAAAAAATATTTTGGAATATAAAAAGTTAGTCCCCCTATATTCTAGAGAATTTAATTATGAAAATTTTAAGCATACGTACGTCAATATATGATGAGATTTAGATTATATACGGTACATTTTTTGAAGCAATAAAATTTTTTATCATTTATAATATTACAATTTTTTTAGATTTAATAAGGGAAAAAATCTTTTTTTTAATTTTTTCTTATTTATTTTATTATTTTATTTAATTTACTTTCATAAACATTTATTTTTAATTTTAGATTTTATTTATTTTAGTGATTTATGAGGAATATTGCTACTTTCATAAACATTTATTTTTAATTTTAGATTTTGTTTATTTTAGTGATTTATAATGAGGAATATGTGTGGTGTTTACTTTTTTTCTGTACTGCATTGGATCCGTTTCTCTTTTTCAACAAATAAGCCTTAATAAGCCCAAATGATTTAATTAGGGACCTTAAGTTGTCGAAAATGGATAGTGAAGTGCTAACATCGCGCCTTAACCAATGGAAATGTCTTGATAATTCGGCTTGTGTTACATCATGTTTTTTTTCTGTCTCGAATTCATTTTCAGAAAAAGACGTATCAAAACTAGGTTCGTTTGTTTGATTTGTCATTTATGACTTATAACTTAAAGGATGTTTTGGTTTTGGTAGATTTTCATCATGTAGAACTGGTTTTTTCGCTGAAGTAACATCTGGATACTGAAGAGATCTTCTGTTTTTTGAGTTTATACCAGTAATATTTATCACACAAAAGTAACATTGTAAGTGGTTCTGCCCATAAAACTGGACAACCAAAACTCAAACGTTTTTTCAACGTTATATTGCAATTTGGACAAATTAAACTTGGTGTCCAAGATTTCTCTTCATTTCTTATTTCAAAACCAAAATAATGTAAATATGCAATCTTTAGGTTTGGTGTTATTTTTCTACCTTTTTTTCAATAATATAGTGTCCGCATATAAAACAAAACAAATCTGGGTCGTTTTTACATGAAAATTTCCTACTGGCCATTTTAAACACAATAACAACAAAATACAATAACAAAAACAAACACTATAAAAAAGAAATACCTATTTAAAATCTTTTGACAACTACCCACATAACATGCTATGGATATGGATATTTTATGGATATACTTAATATATTCATTTATGTATATCCATTTGTGAATATTTTATGGATTTACTCAATATATTTTTTCATGTATATCCATAAAATGTCCATAAATGGATGTACTTGATACATTCTTTCATGTATATCCATAAAATGTCTATAAATGAATGTACTTGATACATTTTTTCATGTATATCCATTTATGGATATTTTATGGACATACTTTGTATAACTTTTATATAATAAAAAATTATAACTATAGTATATAAATATAGTATATTATACTATAATAGTATACTATAGTTTTAATTTTTTACTGAAATTTTTAAATTTTATATTATAAGCTTAGAATATACACTGGAATCAGTGTATCCTTTGTTTGAAAAATTCCTTCTTGTATAGAAAAATATTAAAATTAATTAAAAAAATAAATAACTTTTAAACAAAAAACTAAGTACAAGACAAACCTATAAAAAATGAAACTATGTGGAAACATAAACACTGTAATATAAATTTAAATTTTTATTATTGCTGTTTAATTTTTGTGTAAAATTTATTTAAATTTTTGGGTATTTGAATTAGTTTTAAAAAAATCCCGTTTTGAGCTACTTTTTCCAACGATTTTGTGTTGAAAATTCCCGCTACGCGTCTGCACTATTTACTCACAGTATTTATAAGAGAACAAACTTAAACTTAACCTAACAAATATGACAGGTAGTTTAAATTTTAAAAATAATGCACAAACACCATGTGACATGCGCATTGAATTGACGTTTAATTATCGAAAATGCAGAAAATCTTGTTTAAGTTTTTAAGTTTTGAGTATGTTTTTGATTTATGACTGGTTTGGTAGTGGTAAGGCGCCTCCTTGCTAAATTTAAAAATCCGCTATGGGTAAGAATTTATTTTTATTTCTTTTTCAATGAGAAGTGCATTTATATTTTTTTTATTTTTAGGAAAATCAAGAGGCGTCATCTCTATTTTGTTTATTTAAAAAAAATATTTTTTTTGTTTGTTTATTTTTAAAAAATATTTTTTTTTGTTTTTCAAGATTTTTATTACATACCCTAATATAATAACAATATGTTATGGATATCCATTTTCGGGTTTTTTAATATACATAATATATACCATGGATATATTATGGACATTCAGGAATATACATCATGGATATACTATGGATGTCCATATTACGAGTTTTTTAATGTACTTGATATATGTCATGGATATATTATGGACATCCAGGAATATACATAAGATATACGTCATGGATATACTATGGATATCCAAATAGAGGACAAAATCATATTTTATGGATATCCATTGTATATCCATATGATATTCGCGAATATACGAATATGCATAGATGTATATCCTATGTATATTTTCTTGTTATGTGGGTAAAATCAATATAAACATTTATATTCTAAATGACAACTGAAATGTCAAATAAATACATCTAAATAACCACATCCTGACACCCTACAATTTTATTTCTCTTATTAAATTTAATTTAAGTAAAAATGTACCTACATTACATCACTTTAAAAAATTGACCGTATAAAATTTAAATCTCATCGTATGTTGACGTACTTATGCTTAAATTTTTCGTAATTAAATTCTCTAGAATATAGGGGGGGGGGCAACTTTTTATATTTCAAAGTGTTTTTTTTATTTACATTGGACCAAAGTTAATTTTTTTTTAAATTCAGAAAAAAACCGATTTTTTTACCTGTTTTTGGTCATAACGACCACAGCACTAATGTAATTTATAAGTTTTACACCTCCAAGTATGGGATGATTCAACAAAACTGTCACTGTCATTCTCCATAGCCTATGGATGGACCATAGCAACCTTAGTTTTTCATACAGAAAAATATTGGAAATTGCAATGTTTTTTAAAAAAATCCATATTTTCCACAAAAATAAATTTATCGAGGTGAACCAAAGACAAAACTGTTAAGAATAGATGTGAATTGATAAATAAAACTTAATTTAGAACAATATACGGTTTTGCCACTCTACAGAGTGTCTTAAACTTTTGGTAAAAAACATCTTTTTGTTTAAACCTGTATATTATAAACGTACGTCTATTTTTTAGTAATTTTTTAAAATGTGAGCGATTGCAATCCATTAATTTATCTACAATATTCTTTAATATTCGTTTAAATCCGACATCAAATAAAAAAGTTATTTGCTCGGTTATTTGCGATTGAAATTCATCGAAAATTTGTGTGGAACGATTATTTTGCACGTGTCTAGAATCATTCTAGTAGAATGTCAACTTAAGATAGATATAACCGTCTTAAGAGTGTTAACTTAAAATAGATATAACTGTCTTAAGAATGTCAACTTGCCCCAGACATAACTGTCTAGAATTTTAGCACCCAGATATGTCTTAAGAATGTCAACTTAAGCCAGCTAAACTGTAAGAATGTCAACTTTAGCTAGATATAACAGTCTCGAGAATTTCATGTTAAACTAGATAAAACTGTCTAGTATATCAACTTAATTAAGTTGTATCTATCTTAAGATAGATATAACTGTTTTAAGCCAGACAACTATATTAAGAATGTCAATCTAGATAACTTCCAACTGTCTTTAGAATGTCAACTTGAGCTAGATATAACTGTCTCAAGAATTCCAAGTTAATCTAGATAAAACTGTCTAGAATGTCTACTTAAGATAGATATAACTGTCTTAAGAATGTAAATTTAAACTGAATATAATTAATTCAAAAATGTAGTTTCTAAAAGTGTTGACAATGTTTTGCCATCAAAAACAAAAAAATACTAAATTAGTTTAGGCAATTGAATTTTTTCTTCTACATATTTTGTGTTTAATTTTACATTTATATTTTAGACAAACTATACAAATCGGTTATACGGATTTTACTGAGGATGACGTTAAAAGAATTATAAATGAGCTTGGAAAAGAATTCAGAGGTGACAGGTATCATTTGATGAACAATAATTGCAACCATTTCTCAGGATCCTTAACAAAAGTAAGTTCGTTAATGGGTATAAAAAAGCGTTATCGGAAATAAAAATTCAGTAGAAATCTTTACTCTTGAATTTTATTTCAACTTTATTTAAGTATTTTAAAGAAAACAATATCGCTTTTTTAGATTTTATGTGGTCAAGAGATTCCACCGTGGGTAAATCGGTTAGCTTACTTTAGTAGTTGGGTTCCATTTTTGGAAAGATGTCTGCCCAAAGAATGGTTGATGCCAATGGCTCTGCAACACACAATAAGTTGTCGAAAAGATTCCACTTGTTCCGATGCCTCAACACCAAATTATTAACAACAAACATGCCAAAACTATAAAAACCGTAAATATTCAAAAACTATAATCTATTTTTGAGCCGTCAAGTAATTTTTTTACCCGCATTTAAATTTATCAACAATAAAAAGTAGATAAAAATAATTTGGTTTACATTTTTAAAAAATACCTGATTTAGGTATTTTTTATTTTATTTATTGTTATTGCTAGTCTAAATTATAACTTATTTACCAGAGTAGAATCATGTTGTAAAAAATTAATTCTGTTAGTTTATAAGATTAGTTCGTTTTAATTTAAGAATATATCAATAGGTTTTATCCAATTATAATTTTAAAACTATTGTAACAAAATTTAATTATACAAATTTAAATAGGCCTTAGGCTAGAAAAAAACGTTAAAGGTGTGACTGTGGCCCATAAAAATAATTTTTATAAAATTAGCTAAACCATTTAAAATACTGCCATTGAGCATTTAATACATTTATTATAGAGCTAGGTAGTTGCAGTATAGGAATGTTTTAGATTGAGATTTTAGCAAAAACGTGCAATTTTATGCGGATATTTTGATTTATAAAAACACCAAGACTGCAGTGACTAAACGCTTAAAACTGTGCATTTGTTTGATGTTAGTATTAAGCATAATTATTACATGTTTTTTTTTACTAAAATTAAACTTAAATTGATATGTTTATGCTTTGTTGCCAATGCTTTACTATACTCAGTTGGGATCTGTCACGCCGCCTGGTGGCGAAATATGTTACTAGTTACTAGTTACATATTTTTTAAAGTCCCTCCCACCTGATGCAATTCTATGATCATAACAATTGAAGGGGTTAGCAAAATCCCTACAATACCAACCTTAAAAAGTAATATGTTTTATGGTTATAGAATGTCATAATGTGAGGTTTTGTGTTTCTGTAGGTTTTAAAATGTTTATTTACCTAAGCTTTTTTTTATCTAAATAATCTTTAGGCATACAGTAAACTTCCTAAGTAGAATTTTCATAATATACCTACCTAATACCTAATACAGAAAACCTTAGGCTTTGTATTTTGTGGATGCATCTTGTTAGTAGTAATATCATAAACTGAGGGGTTCTTCTTAAACTTTGCGACTTTATTTTTTGTAAAATCGCAAATTTCAAAAAACGCCCCCCAGAAATTTATTTTAAACTACAAATTGGGGATACATTTGTAGACAATATTCTAAAGGTAACGCCAGGATACTAAGTATGTGGCCTATGTAAATTTGAATATAAGTATTGACGTTATAATTTGTCCAAAGAAAAAAGACTGTAACTTATTTATTTTTAATTGACACCTATCAGCAGTTTTCTTTATTTAAAACCTAGTTGGATGTTTATTCATGGAGCCTACACAAGCGGTGCGAACTCAAATGCTATAATTAACAGAATCGCGCAAATTATGTTTTCTTTTTTCACCACTAGGGGTACAAACAGAGTACTAGCGCCCTCTTTGGTATAAATGAAGTTTGTACTTCTTGTAGAGACTCCATCTGTCGAGCTCCAGTAAATGTCAATGTGGTATTAAATGAACCAAAAATCGGCAAACTTAAAAAAATCCTTTAACCAGTACAAAAATATATCAATTTTGTTGGTATAAAGCACTATAATAAGCCAGCCAACAATAGCTACAGTGATATAGAGTTTATGGTGTTTTGTACTTGAGCTCAAAAATAAAATGAGATTTATATATACAGCAAGTACATACCACTTGCCTGTACATACATGCACAATACATTTTCCACAAATTAAAAATGGTGTATTTATAAAGGTGTTTTATATATATTATTTAATAAATTTTAATTCATTTGGTGGGATTTTTTATTTAATAACCAATGTCTGCTTTGCACCAAATTTTCTTTGCAAAGAAAAGACCCAGCGTCAAAAACTTAGGCAGTGTTGCCGTTACCAACATTATTTTTTCGGTAGGTTTAAATTTGACATCTGAATAAAAATAATTGAGGTTATCTATCTGTTTAACGCTTATTTTCTAAAAATAACACAAAATGTCCATGTATTTTTTGTGTTAAAAACAAAAAATACAAATATTGAATTATTTTTAGAAAATAAGGCAAAATTGGCGTCAAACAAAGTACACATAGATAACCTCATTTAATTTTATTTAAATGTAAAGGTAGTACTTTTGGGTATTTTAGTTTAGACATTTTTTGACAAAATCTGCTATTAATGGGAAGTTTTCTAAAAACTGTTTTGTTTGACAAATGGCCAGCTGAAAACACATTTTCCACGTTGGTAAAATAATGCAGTAGAAAATCAAAAGAAAAAAAAAGTATTTTTTGTAGATTACCGAAAAATCGATAATAGTGGCATCACTGCGTTGCGATTAGGTTGAGATTATCAATGCTGCCAATTTTCGTTTATTATTAGATTAGGTTGTTTATTTTTTTGAATAAAAAGGTTTTTTATTCCAATTTTGTAATTATATTTAGTTAATATATGTTGTTGCTTTTTGTCTTTTAGTCTTTATAAACGTAGAAAATTACGAAAACCTTTTTCTCGTGAACGTGAACATTTGAACTACCAACATATGCAACCGCGATTGCTTGCTTTGATTTGTTTGTGTAAGTTTTGTTTTTGTTAGGTTGTCGCACCTGCGTGTCAGATTTTTCCTGTCTACGTGTAGAATGTTTTGCGAATTCCGGTGATTTATGGAAGAAATCGCGTGAATTGAACGTTTCTAGCTTGAGCCGGAGCTACGGGGTGCGTTATTGTATAAAAATGCACGTTTTGGGGAAAATTCTTGTGCTTAGTCTCGTCGCTGGGGCCCTAGCGGACGAACATACACACACGGTATGTGTACTTACCTGAATATTTTTTGTTTTTATTGATTTACGAATTTGGGCTCGAAATTATTTGAAACGTGTTTTAGTATGATGACAGTGAAGAGGTAGTATTATGGATGAACACAGTAGGTCCCTACCATAACAGACAGGAAACTTATGGGTATTTTTCTCTGCCTTTTTGCATTGGTTCGAAGGAGACCATAAGTCATTACCATGAGACCCTCAGTGAAGCCCTGCAGGGTGTCGAACTGGAGTTTAGTGGAATTGATATTGAATTTAAAAGTAAGTCAAAAAATCTTATCTCACATTTGACATAGTAATCCAATTTTATGGTAATGTTTCTTATCAATATAACACCCAAGCAAATAAATCTTATTTAAGACTTTACACTTTAAAACAAGAAAAAGACTTTTTAATATGTTAATTTAATGCAGATTTATTCTTTATTAACCATTTTATTGTATGTAAACAATTTTAATAAATGTTATTTAATTGTTAGTGTAAACTTTCTTTTCATAGGTCAATATATAATTAAATTGTTAAAGGTCATTTTTATTAAACAGATTTGCATACATTAAATTGATTTAGATATTTATTGGGCGAAACAAATTATTTTAAATTAACTATTTAGTGTAAAATATAAAAAACACATTTATAAACTAAAAATTACAATATTATTTTATTATTTATTCACATATTTTTCAGTAACATAGATAAACCTGAGAGCATACAATATGGGGAAATTATTTAAAAAATCATTAACATGGATTTATTTAGGGTTTTATAAATTATAAAATTACAATACAATTTTTTTTGTTGTAACTCCCTTAATTTTTGTATTATTTAAATACAATTTCTAGTTTCACCAAATAAAAAATATGCCCTTTTTTATGTAAAAAATTTGAATAGCTTTTTTATAAGTAAAGAATTCATTTCAACATTTTTACAAGAATGAACAAAAAAATTAGCATAAAACATGGATAAACCTTAGACCTTTTTTAGTTGATACTCCCCTAATTTTTTGTATTATTTAAATGCTCATTCTAGTTTTCACTAAATAAAAAATATGAATTTTTTATGTAAAAAATTTGAATAGCTTTATAAGTAAAGAATTCATTTCAACATTTTTACAAGAATGAACAAAAAAATTAGCATAAAACATGGATAAACGTTAGAGCAAACAATATGGAGAAATTATTTGAAAAATCATGGTTTCATAAATGAAAACATCACAATTCACATTTTTTTGTCTGTATTTGTATATTTTAGTTTTCCCAGCATAAAAAATATGTTTTTTTATGTTAAAAAATTAAATACCTTTATAAGTTATTAAGAAGTTATTTAAACACTTACACAATTATGGAAAAAAATCTGCATAAAACATGGAAAAACCTTAGACCAAACAATATGAGAAAATTATTTGAAAAATCATTAAGTTGGTTTCATAAATGATAAAAATTGAAATACACATTCTAGTTTTCACCAAATAAAAAATATGCACTTTTTATGTTTAAAAGTTAAATGGCTTTATAAGTAAAGAGTTTATTTCAACATTTTTACAAGAATGAACTAAAAAATCCACCGTTTTTCGGTAACCAAAAATTGGGATTTTCCAACGTCCAAACTGTTTTTTAGACGACATGAAGAAGGGCGAATACTGCGCTCAAAAACTGGACGAAGAGAAGTACAAGGAGTTTGTCTATGCGGTGAAAAACCACTATTGGTATCAAATGTACATCGACGACCTGCCCATATGGGGAGTCGTGGGCGAGATGAAGGACAACCAGTATTACATCTGGACCCACAAGAAGTTCGAGATCGGCTACAACGGCAAGCAAATCATCGACGTGAACCTAACCTCCGAGGAAAAGGTGCTTCTGACACCCACGGCCATGCTGAGGTTCACGTACGAGGTGATTTGGAAGCCCACCCATACGAAATACGAGGACAGGTTCGACAAGTATCTGGATCACAATTTCTTCCAGCACAGGGTAAGTGAAGGGGACTTAAAACGATTCAAAATTTTTGACGTACGCCGTTTTTAGATCCACTGGTTCAGCATTTTCAACAGCTTCATGATGGTGATATTCTTGGTCGGTCTTGTTTCGATGATTTTAATGCGCACGCTCAGAAAGGATTACGCCAGGTACAGCAAGGACGAGGATCTTGAAGATATGGTGAGAAGAAATGTTTTGGATTCAAAAATTGGGAGATAAAGCATTAGTTTTCATTCTCCCTTTTTTAAATCTAAAACGAACATTTTTTTGTAGGAAAGGGATTTAGGGGACGAATATGGCTGGAAGCAAGTTCATGGTGACGTCTTCAGACCTGCGTCACAATCTTTGGTGTTTTCTGCACTTATCGGGGCCGGGCATCAGTTGACAACGGTGGTTTTTAGTGTTATTGTGTTTGCCATCATGGGAGAGTTGTATACAGAGTGAGTAACAAATTTGATGCACTTTTTTATTAGATTTAAGGTTCAGATATCTTACTAAAATAAATAATAAATAAATTATTTTAAAGATTCGACTAGGATTTTAAAATATCCGGAAAAATTAATCATATAATATTATGATCAATATAATTATTATTCCTTTTATTTTATTTCATTAAGGTTCTATTTTTTTTCTACCGGGCCGCAAAAAAACATATTCGTTGCTGTATTAACATAACTTTTGTTTTATTTGGCACTTTGACTTACTAAATTATAATTTTGTAATTAAATTTATTATTTTGTAATTGAATATTTTCAATGGACTTTTTCAAATCAAATCAATTCATTTAACGTTTTTTTTTCTGCAATAAAGGATTTTTTTTTAATTAAAATAATGTTAATATGTGGTTTGCTACTTTTTTTAAAGTGTGTATATTTTCCAAAAAAAAAACTATTTTCCCATAAAAGCCAATTTTTCCAAGGCCCCAGGTTTTCCCCCAATTTTTCCGTTTTAAAGGAAAAATTAAAGGATATTTTATTTAAATTAAAATAATGTTAAGATGTTGTTTGATACTTTTTTTAAAAAGTGTATATTTAAAAAAAACAATTTTTCCAAGGCCTGGGAAAAATAGGGAAATTCTCGTAAGTAATATCATAAGGGCATCTAATTTTTCCGAAAAATATCGAAAAAACACGTTGCTAAGTAATATTTTAACAAAAAGCATGAGTGCTGGTGGCAACAAAAATCCGAGTCGAAGAGGAGGATTTTTGCACCTGCACGAATGCATTTTGTTAAAAAAATATTACTTAGCATTGTGTTTTTTCGATTCTTTTCACAGGAAAAATTAGATGCCCGAATGGTATTTGACAAGACTATTTCATGAGTAACACTTAACAATTAAAATATAAATTGCAATTTTTGGTGACAACAGCTGTCAAGTTTTGCCGCGGGTAAACTCGAAAAAACTGCTGACAGGTGCTGTCACACAGTTTTTTCACCTAGAAACCATTTGTAATTCAAAATTGCGCGTTTGTGATTGGTGGAAATTAAGACGAGGGAAATAGTCAGAAAAATTGCCTTTTGCATTTTTTTCATTTTATTCTAAAAATTTTAAAAAATTTACGGATAATATCCGTACAATGATATCAAGAAAAAAGTGAATATCCGACGCTGATTATAATCATATAATATTATGATGAATATAATAATTATTTCTTTTATTTTATTTCAGTAAGATTCTATTTTTTTACCGGGCCACAAAAAAACATATTCGGTGCTGTATTAACATAAATTTCGTTTTATTTAACACTTTAACTTATTAAGTTATAATTTTGTAATTAAATATTTTCAATGGACTTACTTTGCTAAAAAGACCCAATCGACAGTATATTTAACGTTCACTTTTATTTTTTTAAATCAAATTAATTCAATTTAACTCAATTCAATTTTTCTGTAATAAAGGATTTTTTTTAATTCAAATAATTTTAAAATGTGGTTTCCTACTTTTTTTAAATGTGTATATTTTCAAAAAAAAATCCTATAAAACGGCCATTTCAAGCGGATGGACGGGACAAATTACAAAACTGTTTTTATAAAAAAAATTGTAGCTAATTTATTATATATTATTTTTGCATCAAAATTGTCAAATATATTCATCTATTATTAGGGTATACATTAAATAAAAAAAATCGCAAGAAATATTTTATAAAAGTAGAGATAATTTCAATAATTGACAGGGATGGACGGGACAATATAAATCTTTTTTTTGTCCCGTCCACACCTTTCAATTATTAAAATTATATCTACTTTCATAAAATATTTCTTGAGTTTTTTTTTATTTAATGTATAACCCAATTAATGAAGAATATTTTTGACAATTTTGAAGCCAAAATATTATATAATAAATAATCTACAATTTTTTTTATAAAAACAGTTTTGCAATTCGTGCGTTTCGCGCGCTTGAAATGGCCGAAAAGCCAATTTTTCCTAGGCCTCGACACTTTTTTCCGAAAAATTGGGACATTTTCAGAAAAATTGACTTTTGCATTTTTTTCATTTTATTCAAAGGGTTATGCTAAGAAAATGCAAAGTCAATTTTTCTGAATGTTTACAAATTTTTATCGAGAAAAAACTGAATTTCCGACGCTGATTATATATATTATATATTATGATGAATATAATATTTTTTTAATTCAGTAAGATTCTATTTTTTTTCTACCGGGCCTCAAAAAGAACATATTTGGTGCTGTATTAACATAACTTTCTTTTTATTCAAAACTTCGACTTATAAAATTATAATTTTGTAATTAAATTTATTATTTTGTAATTGAATATTTTCAATGAATTTATTTTTGTTAAAAAGACCCAACCGACTCTTACTTTCTTAAATTAATTTAATTTAATTTAGTTTTATATTTTTTCTGTAATAAAGGATATTTTTTTGAAATTAAAATAATGATTGCTACTATTTTATTGATTGCTACTTTTTTTAAATTGTGTATATTTACAAAAAAAATCAATAAAGGCATAAAAAATAGGTAAAAAACAAAAAAATTTTCCCAATTTTTCCGGTTTTTATCCGACACATTAAAACCCTAGATTTAACCTTTTTTGTTAAGGACTAAATTTCATACTAAAAATATTTTTTTTCTCCAAAGTCCATCATTTACAATTTAAAAATAATAATTTTGTAATTTAACTTTAATTTATTATCTTGTAATTCAATATTTTCATTTGCAAAAATGACCCAACCGACAGCATATTTTACGTTTACTTAATTTTATTTTCTTAAATCAATTTAATTCAATTTAGTTTTATTTTTCTGGAATACAGAATATTTTTTTAAATTAAAATATGATTGCTACTTTTTTAAAGTGTGTATATTTTACAAAAAAAATCGAAAAATCCCGAAAAATACAATTTTTTCAAGGCCTTTTTTGCCAAGGACTAAATTTCACACAAAAAATATTTTTTATTTTTACAGTTAACAGCAAAAAACTATAAACAAGCTTTTAGCAATATTGGGATTAATTTTTATTTTAACATGATTTTCCAATGAAATGAAAAAAAAATGATCGTTTCAGGCGCGGTTCGATGTTGTCTACCGCGATGTTCGTTTACGCAGTCACCTCGCCGATAAACGGCTATTTCGGGGGTTCCCTGTACGCGCGCATGGGCGGCAAGGTGTGGATACGTCAGATGGTCGTCTCGGCCTTCATGATTCCCGCCTTCGTGTGCGGCACGGCCTTCTTCATCAACTTCATAGCCATCTACTACCACGCTTCCAGGGCGATACCCTTCGGAACGATGGTAAGAAAAACTTTACGTTACGTTTGCAAACAACTAATTCTCTCTGTAGGTGGCTGTGACTTGCATCTGCCTGTTTGTCATTTTGCCGCTGACGTTGGTCGGCACGGTGCTGGGTAGGAACCTTGCGGGACAGCCGGACTACCCGTGCCGGATAAATGCCGTGCCTCGGCCCATTCCCGAGAAAAAGTGGTTCATGGAGCCGGGCGTCATCATTATTTTGGGCGGGGTCCTCCCATTCGCCAGCATTTTCATCGAAATGTAAGTTAAATTTTTGTTGTTGTTTTTTATAATTCAAATTGAAATTATCCATTATTTGATATGTAACATTGTATACAATCCATTACTTCTTACAACGCATCGGTCAATACATTTAAAAATATAAACGGAAAAGTAGATTAAACAAATCCCACCGCAGAAGAAAAAATTGACTAATGCTGAAAAATCTAATATAAATAGTGTAAAGGATAAACTAGATAATTTAGACACCTTCGAAAATATAAATGAAGATGTAAAACAAACAAACCCCACCACAGAAGAAAAACCAGTTAAAGTGAGGAAGTAGAAAAAGCTAATCCTGAAAATCGTAAACCAGACAATTTAGATGATGCAGAAGAAAATTTAGAAACCTTTTACAATACAAACGAAGATATAGAACAAACAAATCTCATTATAGAAGAAAAAATAGTTAAAGTTAATCATTGGAAAAAGCTAATCCTGAAAAACCTGAACTAAACACTTTCAAAGACGAACTAGATAATTTAGACACCTTTGAAAATATAAATGAAGATGTAGACCAAAAAAACCTCACCGCAGAAGAAAAACAGTTAAATTAATAAAGTAAAAAAGGATAATCCTGAAAATGGTAAAACAAACAGTTTAGATAATGCTGTAGAAAATTTAAACACCTTTGAAAATCCAAATGAAGATATGCATAGAATAAACAAATCTCATTACAAAAAATAGTTAAAGTAGGATAAACTAGATAATTTAGACACCCTTAAAAAATATAAATGACGATGTAAAACAAACAAACCCCACCACAGAAGATAAAACAGTTCAAGTGAGGAAGTAGAAAAAGCTCATCCTGAAAATCGTAAACTAGACAATTTAGATGATGCAGTAGAAAATTTAGACACCTTTGAAAATACGAACAAAGATGTAGAACAAACAAATCTCATTACAGAAGAAAAAATAGTGAATCATTGGAAAAAGCTAATCCTGAAAAACATGAACTAAACAATTTCAAGGACGAACTAGATAATTTAGACACCCTTGAAAATATAAATGAAGATGTAAAACAAACAAACCCCACCGCAGAAGAAAAAAACAGTTAAATTGAGAAAGTTGAAAAAGCTAATCCTAAAAATGGTAAACTGGACAGTTACGATGACTCAGTAAAAAATTTAGACACCTTCAAAAATATAAACGAAGATATAGGACAAAGAAATCCTACCACAGAAGAAAAAAAATGTTGAAGTGGCCAAATGGAAAAAGCTAATTTTGAAAAATCTAAAATAAACAGTTTAAAGGATAAACTAGATAATTTAGACACCCTTGAAAATATAAATGAAGATGTAAAACAAACAAACCCCACCACAGAAGATAAAACAGTTCAAGTGAGGAAGTAGAAAAAGCTCATCCTGAAAATCGTAAACTGGACAATTTACATGATGCAGTAGAAAATTTAGACACCTTTGAAAATACGAACAAAGATGTAGAACAAACAAATCTCATTACAGAAGAAAAAATAGTGAATCATTGGAAAAAGCTAATCCTGAAAAACATGAACTAAACAATTTCAAGGACGAACTAGATAATTTAGACACCTTTGAAAATATAAATGAAGATGTAGAACAAACAAAACCCACCGCAGAAGAAAAAAACAGTTAAATTGAGAAAGTTGAAAAAGCTAATCCTAAAAATAGTAAACTAAGATGACTAAGATGACGCAGTAAAAAATTTAGACACCTTCAAAAATATAAACGAAGATATAGGACAAAGAAATCCCACCATAGAAGAAAAAAAATGTTGAAGTGACCAAATGGAAAAAGCTAATTTAAAAAAATCTAAAATAAACAGTTTGATAATTTACCCTTGAAAATATAAATAAAGATGTAAAACAAACAAACCCCACCACAGAAGATAAAACAGTTCAAGTGAGGAAGTAGAAAATGCTCATCCTGAAAATCGTAAACTAGACAATTTAGATGATGCAGACAGAAAATTTAGACACCTTTGAAAATGAAAACAAAGATGTAGAACAAAGAAATTTTATTACAGAAGAAAAAATAGTTGACTATTAAGTGACTAAGTGACTAAATGGAAAAAGCAAATCCTGAAAAACCTGAACACTTTAAAGGACGAACTAGATAATTTTGACACCTTTGAAAATATAAATGAAGATGTAGAACAAACAAACCCAAACCCACCAAAGAAAAAAAAACAGTATGGAATTAAAAAAAGGCTAATCCTGAAAAACGTAAACTAGACAGTTAAGATGACGCAGTAGAAAATTTAGACACCTTCAAAAATATAAACGAAGATGTAGAACAAAGAAATCCCACCACAGAAGAAAAAAAATGTTGAAGTGACGAAATGGAAAAATCTAAAATAAACAGTTTAAGGGATAAACTAGATTATTTAGACACCTTTGAAAATATAAATGAAGATGTAGACCAAAAAAAACCCACCGCAGAAGAAAAAACAGTTAAATTGAGATAGTAGAAAAAGCTAATCCTGAAAATTGTAAACTAGACAGTTTAGATAATACTGTAGAAGATTTAGACACCTTTGAAAATACAAACGAAGATATAGAACAAACAAATCTCTGATTATCGTAAACTGCACAGTTTAGACGATGAAATGGAAAATTTAGACGCCTTTAAAAATTCAAACGAAGATGTAGAACAAACAAACCTCCGACAGAAGAATAAACCGTTAAAGTGAGGAAGTAGAAAAAGCTAATCCTGGAAATCGTAATCTGGACAGTTTAGATGACGCAGTAAAAAATTTAGACACCTTTAAAAATACAAACGAAGATGTAGAACAAACAAATTCCACCACAGCAGAAAAAAATAGTTGAAGTGATCAAATGGAAAAAGCTAATCCTGAAAATCGTAAACTGGACAGTTTAGATGATGCAGCGGAAAATTTAGACACTTTTAAAAATACAGACCAAAAAGTAGAAAAACAGACAGTTAATAATCTAATCTTTAGAGGATGCTTTGATGGGATAAAATACCTTCCAAGCATCTGGCCTCCAGCTACTAAAGGCTGTGTTAAGATGTAGTTTTGGATGTAAACGTTTATTTTTCTTTTTTCATTCATGTAGGTACTTCATTTTCACGTCGTTCTGGGCGTACAAAATCTACTACGTCTACGGCTTCATGCTGCTAGTTTTCATCATTCTGATGATCGTCACGGTCTGCGTGACGATCGTTTGCACGTATTTTCTGCTGAACGCGGAAGACTACCGCTGGCAGTGGACGTCTTTTCTGGCGGCCGCCTCCACCTCCGCCTACGTCTACGTCTACGCCATCTATTATTTCTTCTTCAAGACCAAGTAAGTGCCAATTCCGACCGCGATACACAAAAACCGGTTTGCTGGTTGTGAAACGAAAACTCCTCGTGACGTCACGTGCGAACCAGATTCAAATGTTACAAACAGTTTTGCGCTATGCACGGGTGTTTTACTACGATGGTTTTGCAACGTTTTTCGTAAAGTTTTTACTTCATTTTTGAACAGCAATAACTATTTACAAGGTATTTATAAGCCACGCACAGATGTTTTATACCAGGTTATTTATTAAGTTTGTGTTATATTTGTTGGACTTAATAACTATTTAAAATATGCTGGGCTGTGCTGTAGCACCCAACCTAACCTAACATTAAATATTTTCGATTCACAAAAAATAAAGATCTGGCAGCACAGTGGATGAATGCATGCAAGAGAAAGGATAAAATGAAAACATAAAACGGTAAGCAAAGACAATTTTTGGTATACCAAATTTTCTGTTAGGTACTTATACAGGGTGTTATGTAATTAATGTAATATTTTAAAATACTGAATACGTTTTGAGATAAGGTGTAAAACGTGTAAAAAATATTTTTCCAAAGATAAAGAAAAAATACCTATGCATTAATAGTTATTTATGTATCAAGGCAGTAAAGTCGTATTTTTTATCACGAATGCTTTTGCCTCGGCAAATAACCACGTGAGTGATAAAAAATGATTTTAATGCCGAGGTGCATATTAAATTTTATCCGTAATCACATTTAATAATACTAATAATTAATATCGATGATTAAATCAAATGTCATTTTATAATCAAATCAAAATTTGATGACATTTAATGTCATTTGAATGTAGGAAGTGTCTAAGTATACTGTTTGTTGCGACGGTTATCATTTATCAATTAATAAAATTAACTTTATTTTTATTAAACAACATTTTATGAAAGGGTCTAAACGACCTCCGCGAAAATGTATAATGGGTTGCATACAATACTCATATTAAATCGGCAGTTTCTACTTTACTGCCGATTGTTGACCAGTGTTGCCAACAGTCTATTGTGAAAAGTCTCAACCAAGCTCTTCAAAAGTCGACAGAAATCGCTAAATTATTTGGCACTTAAAAATCGCCAGATGTCGCAAATTTAAAAAAAAAGAGAAAAAAAAGTTTAAAGTGGTTGCAAAATTTTAAACAGAATTGATTTTTATAAAGAAAGAATTTTAACGTGGTTGTAGTCTCATATACCTATAACTCTATAACCTATAAGTTAGTTATTACCCTGTGGCATTACCTTATCATTACACAAAAATAATTAATAATTATAATTGTTAACAAATATTTTATTTAAATAACATAACATTAAAAAAAAGTCATTCTAAAATAAGAAACATAAATAAAATATATAAAAATAAATAATTCTTAAGGTAAATAAAAAAATTAAAAAAAAAATAGTTTATTAATAAATTTTCCTCGAAATTTTCAAGAAATTCAGTCGATTTTGCATCGTCATTAATATAAGCCTGCAAAGTGCCAAAATCCCTTAAAGCTGGGTTCTAACAGAGAAATAACGTAATAAAATTTAATTTAACTTTAATCGTAATTTAATTTAATTTACTTGCGTTCATACAAAAATTAACGTAATTTAATAGTGTTTGAAATTAAAAACAATATTTTAAAGAGTAGGGTTGCCAACTTTCGGTTATTGAAATAAAGGTCAAATTGGGATTTTTTTTGGGTGCCACGTCTACGAGGTGGTGTAGAAGGGGCACCGCTTGACGTAGATGTCTGTGACTTTGGGACATCATCACTTGCATCGACGACTTTATCACCATTCATGATGATTTGATTGATGATGTTTAGCAAAAACCTGCAAATAAATAATGATTTGGCATTTAGGCAACTACTTGTTTAAAATAGAAAATGCTACTTTTTATGAATCTGTTTAATTTAATTTTTCAATTAAAGTTTAAAAATATATTGCGACAAAAAACTGAAATCTAATAATATAATTTTAATATTGTATTTTCCACTTGCCGTTTCCTGTTAAAAATTTGTAAAATAAGGTTAAAAAAACACCTTACACACAGGGACTAGTCGACTACACACAAGGGCTCAACACAACGATGAACAAAATAAAAATACAAGGTATGCTGGATAAATTGGAGCTCGGGGATTTACCAAAATATTTCAAATGTTGCCAATTTTACATTTTATGGTATTTGTATGGGCCTTTTTTGAAATAATTGTGGATTTATCTGTATTTCCGGATTTTAAAGGACATTTGCCGTCCTTTGACACTTTTTAAAAGGACAAAGGACAGTATTTAGAAATAAAGGACTGTCCTTTGAAATAAAGGACGGTTGGCAACCCTATTAAAGAGATTGCTTACTTCATGTACCTATCTAAAACTTAAAGTTTTAGATTTATATGGCTTAAGCCAAAGTAATTACTTTGGTAATTACAATCGAAATATTTTTCTTATTATTAAAACCGTTTACACAAAATAGGTTAGATTCTCCCAAAATAGGTTAGATAATACGAAATAACCTTGAAATAACGTAATTTAATTAAAAAGATAAAAGTTGGCCAACTATTAAATTAAGTCTTAAATTACATCACTGTATGAACGTTTCAAAGGATTGTTGGGTTTTTAACTTTTAAGTTAAATTAAATTAAATCTTAAATTAAATTACTTTTCTGTTAGAACCCGGCTTAAGATTTTCCATAACACAGATTATAAAAGAATAAATAAATAATGGGATTTGACAATTGCCCGGCTATTTTTGCAGTTTTTGACATTTGACGGATGACGTACGGATGCGTCGTTGCCAAGTTGGCCATGCCAACGTAACAAATTTTAATTTGAAATTTTTTAAACTAGAAATTATTTTGTTGTTTTGTTTAAGAACAAATTTCATTATCAATGTTAAAATGTCTCCAAAAATGTCGCCAACACAATGTGAAAAACGCTAGGTTTGAGACACGTCGCAAATCATAAAAAAATGTCTCAAATGGCTACCTCAAAACGCTAGATCTAGCGACAAAGTCGCTAAGTTGGCAACGCTGTTGTTGACTACTTTACTGCCGATTTCGGATAAAAGTTTTTATATTTTTTTGTGATACGCCACTGGTTACACACTTGTGTTCTGTGAGTACATAGATACGTAAACATTTTTCTTGGAAATAATAAATAAAAACTCAATAAATACAAAAGTTTTATGCCCTTAAAGCTCTAATACCCTTCTGTATTTATTTACTCATCCAGCTATTAGCTTAAGCAATGATTAGAAATTTTTTCTTTCTGTTTCTGATGAAATTAGGTCAAGTTAACAGGTTAAACTTTAAACATTCAATTTGTGTAAATTAATCCAAAAGCACTTCCCTTGGTTAGGATATTTACAATTTGAGGACATAACCTAAAATTTGAAAGAAATGCACTAGATTCTGTGATAAAAGTTGCCAGATTTTGTTTGAATTTACCTTCATCACAAAAATGACATAATCAACAATTAATAAAAACGTCAAATTAACTGTTGATTTTGTCATTTTTAAATTTAAATAAAATTTGGCAACTTTTTTTGACAGTTACCCGCCAGCTTTTGGTTCGCGCATGACGTCACACGGTGCGAGAGAGATAGCTATAACATGCGCATCAGCATACCTGGTTTTTGCGTATCGTGACTTCCACTTGTCGGCCAGCGGCGTACATTGTTTCTTTTCCAGGATGTACGGGCTATTTCAGACGGCCTTCTACTTCGGCTACATGGCCCTGTTTAGCGCGGGGCTGGGCATCATGTGCGGCACAGTGGGCTACATAGGCACCAGCCTGTTTGTCAGGAAAATCTATTCCACAGTGAAAATTGACTGAAGTGTTTATTTAATTGGGCCACTTATCTGTAAATAGTCGAGTTTGTTCGTTTGATTCCCTTATTAATTGATACAAAGTAAAAACAGTGGACTTTTTTACATCCCGGGGGACGCACACCCAGTTTGATTGATTGATTGATTAATATTACTGTGAATGTGTATTATATGCCTAGTGCTTTTCACTTTTAATTTTATTGTGATGATGTTAATTATAATAATAATAAACTTTATTTATACAACGTTTTTTATTTATCTCCATACTATGGCACGCCGTTTTAGCAGATAGTTTTATTAGATAATAGTTTAAATATTAAAGTTTAGCACTTTAATGATGTTTTAAATATAAAATACAACTGTAAAACTTTTTGATTTTTTAAAATTTTAGTTCAAATGTTTTATTCTAAAAAATTTTAGGTTTAAATTTGTTAAGACATTTAAATGATAAAGTCGATAAATTTTTATTACAAAAATTCTCACATTACATTTAAATTAAGTAATGTAAGTTTGAAATTTGAAGGTGGGAATTTTTGTATTAAAAATTTATCGATTTTCATTTAAATGACTCTTTACAAATTCAGCAGCAGCAGCTAAAGCAGCGTTTACACTTTGTGAATTAAAAATTATCTACTTACATTTAAATGTAATGTGAATATGTTTGTGTTAAAAATGTATCAATTAAAATTTGTTAAATATAAAAGTTTTTGGTTTAAATTTCTCAAGAGTCATTTAAATGATGGTCGATAAATTTTTAATCCAAAAATTACCACTTTAAAATTTAAAACCAACATTTAAATGTAATGTGAGAATTTTTGTGTTAAAAATTTATCGACTATCATTTAAATGACTACAAATTTAAACTAATAATTTTGAACAATAAAATATTAAAACTAAAATTTTTAAAATCCATTATTTTAAACTTAAACTTTCACATTTGCATATTATATTTAAAATAATAAAATTAACTTTTTAAACTATTTTGGTAGAAAATGTTTTATTTGTTTTTTATTTTAAATGTCTTGACACTATTTTTAAATACTAAAAAATTTAACTAAATAATTATATTAAAAATTTATTTAGGATTTACAAAATTTTGCCCAAATAAATTATGCTTCAGAAATTATTTTCATTAAAAAATGATATATCATATAATTTATAAATTTAAAATTTTATTGGTTTAAAATTTTCCCAACTAAAAATTTAAGATTTTCATTTATAAATTTAAAATATTTTCAACTATCATGTATTAAAAGACACAATTTACTAACAGTTCACTTCACAATATTATTTCCAATCAAGTTTTGCAAAAATTTCTAACTAAATATACTATAAGCAAAATTGTAGTAAATTCTACTTATATATTATTTTTTCTGCAAAACATTTTATATATCGAATAAAATAATTATGGAACATATGGCGCCTCATACTATATGGTTTCTCTATAATGTATTTAGTCTATGGAGTAAATCCGGCAACGCCGCATTTATTTGTCGCAAATTAAGGTTATGTGGCGTTGCGCAGGCGCGAAATGTCAACAAACTGTGATTTTTGATGCCTTTTCAAAAGAAAATCGTATATTCAATAATATTCAACAAGTGCCCATGAAATATACAATATTATTTATTAATTCAGGTTATAATTAATGTCAATACTACAACCTTACAAATGGAATCTGTTGAAGCGGATTCAAATGGTTTATTAAAAGATGAAGATTTATGCTCTGTAGAAATTAAAGCAGAAGGTATTTTGCCAAAATATCATTGTTTGCACCTCTGTAACAATATTTTTTAGATGGGGAAGCAAACACGTGTCAAATTTGTTTTAAAACCTTTATGAAAAAGAAGGCCTTATTCTCGCACTTAAAAGTCCACAAGGGTTCTCTACGGGGCCCGAAAAAATTCACCTGCGAAGTCTGCTCAAAGGAATTCAAAAAATTCTGCGACCTTGAGCGCCACAATCGTGTACACACTGGCGAGAAGCCGAGCGAGTGCCTAATTTGCCACAAACGCTTTCAGCAAAACCACAATTTGAACAAACACATGCTCTTGCATGTCGAGGTGAAACATTTTGAGTGCCAAACGTGCGGCAAGCAGTTTCACAGAAAAGATAACTTAAATAGGCATTCATTGGTTCATTCCAATGAAAAACCCTATTATTGCCCACTATGTGAGAAGGGTTTTATCCGACAACCTCAATTGGAGCAACACATGAAGAAAAAACACATTGAAGATGGTAAATTTTAGACTTAAACCAAAACTGACCTTAAATATTGGTCTAAACCTGTCCTAAAACTAAAACTGCCTTAAAAATTTCTAAAATATCCTAAGCTGTTCTAGAATTGCCTGTCTAAACATGTTCAAAACACTTAATGTTCTAAAACTAACCATAACTGTTCTAAAACGCAATATACTGTCAACATGTTTTTAAACGTTGATAAGTAATGGCTTAATGTTCTAAAACAGTTATGGCAACTGTAAAATGTTTTAAAACTGTCTAAACATGTTCTAAAACGTAATATACTGTCTAAAAATGATTTAAACCATTAAAAATGTTCCTAAACGCTTTTAAGAAATGTCTAAATGTTAAAAAACGGTTACGGGAACTATACATGTTTTAAAATTGTCCAAACATGTTCTAAAACGCAATATGCTTTTTAAAAATGATTTTAACATTGAAAAATGTTTCTAAACGGTTATAAGAAATGTCTAAATGTTCTAAAACTGTCTTAAATATGACCAAAATTATCTAAACATGTTTCCAAATGTTCTTTAACTGTATTAAATCTAAAGAAAACTGTCTAAAAAAGGTCTAAAACCCAATATACTGTCTAAAAATTATTTAAGCCATTAAAAATCTAAACGGTTATAAGAACTGTCTAAACAATCTAAAACGGTTATGGGAACAGTCTAAATGTTCTAAAAACTGTCTAAAAATGTTCCAAAACGCAATGTTCTGTCAAAAATAATTATATACATCCAAAATTTTCTCTAACGGTTTTAAAAACTGGTAAATGTTCTATATCTGTATTAAATCTGACAAAAACTGTCTAAACATGGTCTAAAACCCAATATACTGTCTAAAAATGATTTAAACCATCTAAAATCTAAACGGTTATAAGAACGTTCTAAAACGGTTTTGGGAGCAGTAAATTTTCTAAAACTGTCTAAGAATGTTCCATGTTCTGTCAAAAATGTTCTCCAACGATTTTAAAACCTAGCTAAATGTTCTATAACTGTATTTAATTTGACGAAACATGTTCTAAAACCCAACATAATCACTAAAAATGATTTATACCACTAAAAATCTAAACGGTTATAAGAACTGTCTAAACAATCTAAAACGGTTATGGGAACAGTCTAAATATTCTAAAACTGTCTAAAAATGTTCCAAAACGCAATGTTCTCTCAAATGATTAAACTGTATTAAATCTGACAAAAACTGTCTAAACATGGTCTAAAACCCAATATGCTGTCTAAAAATGATTTAAACCATCTAAAATCTAAACGGTTATAAGAACGTTCTAAAACGGTTATGGAAGCAGTCTAAATTTTCTAAAAACTAGCAAAATGTTCTATAACTGTATTTAATTTGACGAAACATGTTCTAAAACCCAACAATCACTAAAAATGATATATACCACTAAAAATCTAAATGGTTATAAGAACTGTCTAAACAATCTAAAACGGTTATGGGAACAGTCTAAATGTTCTAAAAATGTCCCAAAACGCAATGTTTTGTCAAAAATTATTAAATCCATCAAAACTGTTTTCTAATGGTTTTAAAAACTAGCTACAACTGTATTTAATTTGACGAAAACTGTCTAAACATAGTCTAAAAACCAATATACTGTCTAAAAATAATTTAAACTATCAAAAATCTAAACAGAACTGTCTAAATGTTCTAAAACGGTTATGGGAACAGTCTAAATGTTCTAAAACTGTCTAATCTTATAAGAATGTTCCATGTACTGTCAAAAAAGATATAATCCATCAAAAATGTTCTCCAACGGTTATAAAAACTAAATGTTCTATAACTGTCTTAAATCTGACAAAAACTGTCTTAAACATGTTCTAAAACGCGAAAAAGTCTAAAAATGATTTAAACCATCAAAAATCGAAACAGTTATAAGAACTGCGTTAACGTTCTAAAACTGTTATGGGAACTATCTAAACATGTTTCAAAATGAAATGTACTGTCTAAAAAAATGATTTAAACCACTAAACATGTTCCTAAACAGTTATAAGAAATGTTTAAATGTGCTAAAACGGTTGTCCTACATCTAAACAAATTATACTAAATCGGTCTTAAAATGTTTTAAAACTATCCTAGAACCCATTAAAAATGCCATAAGATCCCAAAACAGTTTAATAGCCTAAATGTTTTAACACTGTACTTTAACCATCTTAAATGTCCTAGAATTGCCTAAAATATCCTTAACCCCTTAAAACCTGTATTAAAAGTATCCAACTAATCTAAAACTGTAATAGAACTGTAAAAAAAATGTTTAAACTCCTAAATGTTTTTTTAAACCATCTAAAATATTACCTTAAACCTTAAAGAAATATTTAGAACTACCTGAATTATCCTAAAACTGTTTTAAACCTACTAAAACTGTCCTAGAATAGCCTAAAATATCTATATAGTCTAAACATGTTCTAAAATTGTTCTAGAACTGCCTAAACATTTCCTAAAACCCTCATAAATTAGTCATTTTCAGCTGTCAAATAAATTTGAGTTTTGAGAGTTTCTTGTTTTTAGAAAAAGAAGAAGAAGAAGAACCTAGAGCATGCGAAGTATGTTTAAAAACATTCGGCAACTCGAGGGCTTTGCTCTCTCACAAAAAGTGTCACAAGGACTACTCGGTGAATCCCAGAAACGCGTGCGACGTTTGCTCGAAGGAGTTCAAGAAGACTAGCGACCTGACGCGCCACATGCTGGTCCACACCGGCGAAAAAGCGAACGAGTGCGCGGTTTGCGCGAAAAAGTTCAAGCACAAGCACAACTTGACCACTCACATGAGGACTCACGTGGGGGACAAGTTGTACGAGTGCGACGAGTGCGGGAAGAAAATGTTGAGGAAGGACGTTTTGATGAGGCACAAGTTGACCCATGCGCAAGAGAAGCCGTTTTCTTGCTTGGTGTGCAATAAGGGGTTCATAAGGCAAAATCAGGTCGAGATTCATATGAAGAAGAAACACACCCGCGGGGTAAAATAGCCGCCCCAGTTTTGTTATCTAAAACATTTAAGTTACATCAGAGTTTAAAATTTTTATATATATTGTTTCTATAGTTATACAGAATCAAAATTATATTGTATTTATATGTACCTATGTAATTTATGAAATTAAATTACTATAACAAAAATAATGTATTTTTATTACCAAGTCCCATACTTGGATTTGCGTGTAGTGGACTGTATATTTGTGTTTCCTCACCTTAAATAATTCAGGGGTCTAATATTAAACTCCAATATTTTTTAACAACAAATTTCATCACATCTATCAAAATTTTCCAGTCCTTTTATTATTGCATTTAATTATAATTTAAGAAAAATGCACAAAAGTTACAACAAACTGGTATGCGGTATCGAATGGGCAAGGTTGGATGACAAAGAATCTTTACAAAATAGTAAATCTACGCAATAAAGCCTACAAAAACATGTTAAAAAATCCTGAGTGCAACCTGCTAAAAAACAACTTTATCACACTAAAACGAAAAGTAAAAAACATGATAAAATATGAGAAAGGAAGGTATTACAAAAACAAAATAAAAGCAGCAGAAGGAAACAGTAGAAAAATATGGAAAATAATAAAAGATGTTAAACACACTGAGAACAACTGCAAAACAGAAATTAAAGAGCTTATCATAGAAAATGGAACAAAAACAAAAGACCCAAAGGAAATAGCAAATACTATAAACCACTTTTTTGCAACAATTGGGCAAAAACTTGCGTCACGAATAAGTTGGGCTGAACTACCAGATGCCATCATACAAAAACCCATCGCCTCCATGTATCTTAGACCCACCACTTTGAAAGAAATAACAAACATAATACAAAACATGAAAAGCAACACATCACCAGGCTATGACAACATCAAACCACTGCTCTTAAAAAACCTGACAAACACACTAGGTCCTACAATAGTTACCCTCATAAACAAACATATAAAAAGTGGCATTTATCCCAAGGAACTGAAAATAGCAAGAATCACACCAATCTGGAAAAGTGGAAATAAGCAAGACCCAAGTAACTATAGGCCAATAGCAAATCTAACCGTACTAAATAAAGTCTTCGAAAAAGTTATACACAACAGATTGACTGAACACATTGAAAACATTAACTTTCTCACACAAACCCAACACGGCTTTAGAAAAAGCAGAGGGACAACAACGGCCTTGATCAATCTGTTAGACTATATACAAACACAGCTTGACGATGGAAAATGCATAACTGGGCTGATATTTGATTATAAAAAAGCATTTGATACAGTAAACCTAGCTATCCTCCATAGAAAACTAGAAGAAGCCGGAATACATAAAAATGCCCTAAACTTGTTAACCTCATACACAATGGAAAGAAAAATGTACACAACCCTGGGAAAAATAAAAAGTAATTTACAAGACATCACCTTCGGAGTTCCACAAGGGTCAATACTTGGCCCTTTCCTGTACATAATCTACATAAACGACATTTGCAAACTCAACCTTAATGGCAAACATATGATGTATGCAGACGATCTCGCAATTTTCTATCTTAACAAAAACGATGAATCGGCCAAACAAAATATAGAAAAAGACTTAAACAAACTACAGAAGTGGACAAATACTAACTTTTTGACACTCAACGAAAAAAAATGCTACATAATTCACATAGAAAAAAGACCAAAGACACGCAATCTCACAATAAAACTAAATGGTCAAAGCCTACAGGAAGTACAACAAATAAAATACCTGGGACTTATAATCGACAGACGACTCAATTGGAAAGATCACATACAACAATTAACAACCACACTAGTCTCTTATTTATCCCTAGCCCACAATTTAAGTATTACCCTACCCAAACAAGAAAAAGGCATAGTCTACCACGCTTATATTAAGTCAAGATTAACTTATCTTATACCGTTCTGGGCAACAGGGGACAAAACCTGCTTAAAATATCTCCAAAGAGCACAAAACAAAGTTATAAAAGCCCTTTATAATTTAAGAAAAGATACCCCAACTGAATGTGTCTACAAAACAACAAAATTATTAAACATAGAGGAACTAAGGCAGGTCGAAACGCTAAAAATTATGCATCAAGCCAAAAGCTTTAAAGCCATTAAGAACAGTGACTGTCATAATCATAATACCAGGAGAAAAGACAATTTCAGACCGCAAAAATCCAGAACCAAAATGGGAGAGACTAGACTAACATCAGAAGGAGCGAGATTATACAACCAACTCCCAAAAAACTTAAAAAACACACCAGAGAGCAAATTCAAAAAAATGGTACTCGAACACATAATAAGCAAGAGAAATGAAGATCTGTGATACAACTGTGATAGTATTTATTAAGTACAAATGCTTTATTTTACAATAAATTGTTATATATACACATTTTACATATATTTTAAGATATTTTGTTATACATGCACATGTTACATATGTACCTGTTAAAACCCGAAATGGGTTATTTAGGTTTATTTCCTCAATAAAAAAAAAAAAAAAAAAAAATTGAACCAGGTGTATGGGATACATTTTATGAATTGGACATTACATAAAATCTGCAAGAGGTTTATTAAACCTGTGCGCAGACCTAGTTTAAAATACAAACTAAATAATACTTATAAACTAAAAACTAAGAAAACTTGTACTTTTAAGATTGATTGATTTACTAAACTTTTTGATGTTATAATATAGAGTATAATTATTAAGAGGGTTGTGTTATTGTTTTAATAAGTCCTTTGCTTTAATTACTTGAAGATTTAGGAGTTTGTGCGTATTAGGGTGATACATTTTTTTTTACTAATTTTGTAACTCATTGAAAAATAATTATTGTCAAATCAGTATGAGCTTTTTTGTGGAAAATATAACGCTCTACAAAAAATCCTTTTTCTATGAAAAAAGGTTTGAGGTGTTTATTTGATTAATCTAGCCGTTGAGAAAATATTCGTTCAGTACGCATTGTGAACCTTTTAACTCCAATTCATTGAACACTGTAAAACGACACGGAATTGTTTTCAAAGTCGCTCAAATCTGTCAAACTTACCTTGAGAACTTTACTATTTAAACTGATTTCTCGCTAAAACAATTGAATGACAGAATTTGTGGTTATGTTTTTTCATTTAATCTGAAGCGCAACTACGAACGCCATCTATTCAAATTAATCCAAAGTTGCACGAATTTCGATTTTTAGGCTGTTCCTTTCGGTTTTTCCTAATATATTTTTTTTAAGCCACCCCTGTATTGAGTCGATCAAATGGAGCATAATTTGACAGTTTGATGACAGCCCTAATGGATAAGGTTTATTTTTACCAAAAGAGGAGTAAAATTGTTGTTCTTAGCACTTTAATACCTCATAACTTACACCAAAAAAGATGTGTTAAAAAACAATTTTTACATTTTGTAGTTTTTATTTGGTTTATAAAAAAAAAGCAGCATACAACTGAAAATTATATACATCTTCTGAAAAACGTTAAAACAATACATATTACTACTAAAGTATAGGATATAATAGTAAAAATAACTATGAACTACACTTATTTCATAATAAAAATAATAAGGTATAATATTAAAGGTAAAACTAAACAATAAATTACGTAATGTTATATGGTGGGTTAATATTAATAAAGTACAAATGAACAAGGCACATGTATTTTGTAAATTACCAAGGCACTGGCTGGTCTAAAACTATCACAAATAAAAAAATACTCTAGTTTTTAAATGATTTTTTTCTTCAGCAATTTTAACAACCCATATAACAAAATACAGTAAGCACCTTCAAAATGAGATATTATACAATCGGAAAGAGTTGGAAGTAAAAAACATTATTTTTAGATTTATATCTTCCTACTGTACAGCTACACTAAATCACTTATTCTACACGGTAGAATAGAGAAAATCACAAAAATATATAGTTATATCCACCATTTTTTTGAGAATTTTAAGTAAAACCATTTTTTTAAAGCTTACTAATTGACCAGGGTGTTTTGTGATATGAGCTGTTTGAAAAATAAGTACTTACTAGTGGATATAATTATTAATAGTTATTGCCTTAAATTTTTATTGTCTATTAAAAAATAGATGTACATAACACAAAACCAAAATATGTACATTTTTAGGTTTTGTACTTAACTAGTTATGGTTATGGTAAACAGTCTGGAGATCAAAAAAAAAAAAGTATGGTGTAAAGAAAAATGATGAATATCATTCGCAAAATCTCGAAATGGTACAACAAGTACATTATAATTGGTAATGTGTATCAAAACTTAATGAAAATTGACTAAAATTAGTCACAGAACGAGATAAAACAAAGAAAACTGACACGTCGTTTTAGCATTTATTAGATATTAGTTTAAAGTCAAAAACTCAAAAAATTTATAGTCAAAAAATAATTTAAATATAAAATACAACTGTAAAACTTTAAGATTAAATATATTGATTTTTAAAATTTATAGATCAAATATTTTATTCTACAAAATTATCAGTTTAATTTTGTTAAGAGTTATTTAAATAATAGTCAATAAATTTTTAATTCAAAAATTCTCAAATTTCATTTTTAAATTTTATAGTGGTAATTTTTGTATTACAAATTTATCGACTACCATTTAAATTTAAACCAATAATTTTTTAGAATAAAATTATTAAAAACCAATATTTTAAGTTTTACATTTTTTCAATTGTTTTGAGTTTTAAACTATTTTTGGTAGAAAATGTTTTTTATGTGTTTTTATTTTAAATCCCTTGACACTATTTTTAAATACTAAAAAGTTTAACTTTACCAATTTAATCTAAATAATTTTATAAAATATTTGTTAAAGATTTAAAAAATTCTGCCCAAATAAACTATACTTAAGAAATTATTTTTATTTAAAAATAATAGTTAGAAATTTTTGCGAAAATTGATTGAAAATAATATTGTTTAATACAAAAGTGAACTGTTATTTAGTAAATTTTGTTAACCCAAAATTTTTAGAAAATTTTAAACCACTAATATTTAATAAATGTTAAAACGGTGTGCCATAGAAAACAGTACTTACCAATTAAAACTCAACAAAAAAATTATACTTCTCCCATTTACGACTCGCTAGTCAAAGGGTTCTGAGGCGGTTCGGTACCTTCTGCGGCTTGCTTTTTCTCGTGCATTTTTTTGTGGTGCTTTTCCAGCTGGGAGTCTCTTATAAAACCTTAAAAAAACATAATTATCAAAGTTATCGCGTCGAAAAAATCACGGAGTACCTTTCTGACAGATTTGACACTTGAAAGGTTTGTCCACGGAGTGCGTCAACAGATGGCGCTGCATGACGTCGTTCCTGCCGAACTGCTTGTTGCATATCTCGCAGGCGAACGGCTTCACGTGGAGATGCGTCAGCAGGTGTTTGCTCAAGTTGTAGGACTGTTGGAACCTATTTTTTTTTCATTGTAAACGTCAATTTTCGGTGCTTTTTGGACGTTTTACTTACCTTTTGTGGCATATGTTGCACACGCACGGTTTTTCTCCGGTGTGGACGCGCATGTGCCTCTCCATCTCGCTCACTTTTCCGAACTCCTTGGCGCAAACGTCGCAACGGAATTTTTTGTTTTCCACCTTGATCTTCTTCAAGATGTGCACCGGCGCGTGCGCTTGGAAAGCTTCTTTGCTCATGAAGCCCATTTTGCATTTTTTGCAGCTGTAAGGTTCTTTACCTGGAAAAAAAAATAGCTTTCAAGTTCGCAAAACTTACAATCGTTAAAATACGCTAAAGTATCGAGTTTTCGCAACGTTGCGTACGCGCGCGCCATCTGGTGGACTTCGATAGCATTGCGTGAATTTAAGAATTGTCAACAATATCGAAATTCATTATATCGAATTCAAAATATCGAACACTTTTTATCGAAAATCAAAATATCGAAAATACAAAATGCCGAAAATCATAATATCGAAAATTAAAATGTCGATTAGAAAATGTCGAAATTTTATTTAATCGAATTTTCAATTTATCGAAAATAAAATCTCGACCGCTGTCATACAGGTTATGACGAATAGCTGTCATTTTGGTTATGCAGGTACACTGCATTGTGCCATACCAAACCAACCCAAACTTAACAACCCAACCCAACCGACCCCGCCCCATTGGGTCCCTCCCGCCCCATTGAGCAATAGAGGTATAATATATTTAAGGGCAGGCTGGATTGTGACAATGGGGCGGGAGGGGCCCAATGGGGCGGGGTCGGTTGGGTTGGTTTGTTAAGTTTGGGTTAGTTTGGTATGGCACAATGCAGTGTACCTGCATAACCAAAATGACAGCTATTCGTCATAACCTTGAGGAATACTTTGCTACATTTAGCCTCTAGTTGAAAATGAGGTTAAAATATGCGACGGTTGAGCACACACATTTCTACGTCCGTCCGACGGTCGAGCACACACTTTTCTACGTCCGTCCGACGGTCGGGGAGACACTACCTTTAATTATTCGACATTTTCAAATCGACATTTTAATTTTCGATATTATCATTTTCGACATTTTGAATTTTCGATATTTTGATCTTCGACATTTTGTATTTTCGATATTTTGATTTTCGATAAAAAGTGTTCGATATTTTGAATTCGATATAATGAATTTCGATATTGTGAATGGCACCCCAACAATACATTCAAAGCACAGATTATACATCATTTTTAAATAAATAGGTAGTTTTTTTTTACAAAAGAGAGGAAGGCAGAAGTCTTACTCGACAAATTTTGTTCTCCAAGTTTCAATTGCACAACTAAATCGCGCACGTTATTTGTGTTTTACGTTGCAAGCATAGGCCTTTTTTTATCTATGGTTGCAAGGAAAAAATTTAAAAACTTTTTTAGTAAAAGTTGTAATGATTTTTCGATGTAGATCAAATTCAGTCTAAGCTTTACACCTACTTGTATTGACAAAACTTATGTAGGTACCTATACTTTAAGCTGGATTAGAAAAACTACCACAATTTTTTAGAAGAAATTGTCAAGTAAATATACTAGATACTGTGGGATTTATTTAAATTTTGAAAGTTACAAGGTTAATAACCTTAGGTTATAATGATTATTTGATGTAGATCAAATTCTGTCGAAGCTTTTATAGGTACTTGTATTGACAGGATGGGTGTATATTAGCTGACAGTGTAAGGAACTTTAAGAAGGTTAGCTTCTGAATCTCCAAAAAAATAGTGTAAAAATAATTAACGGTTTTAAATTTAACAGCATATTTTTTATTTACTAAAAAAAATCCCCAAAAACTTATTTTTCATGTTTTTTATTACTAAATAAAAGGGCTTTAAAAATATTTTGTCGAAAAACCCTCGAACTGATATACAGGGTGTCCAAAATGTGATGGGATAGTATTACTATCTCGGTAACGGTTATAGTTGGAATAGGGCATCAAGAGTTCAAAAGTTGCGTAATTACATGCCTTTTAATATGGCATAGAAGATTGCAAAAAAAAAATCAGCGGTTCTCAAAATATTAAAAAAATATAAAAATCGGTTAAAACTTATTATCGCTATAACTTTTTTATTTCTAGGAATTTTATAATACTGAAAGGTTTACATTAAAACATATAAAATTACATACATTTTGATCCAATTTGTGTATTTTTACGCCAACTAGATTTTGAGATACGGCTACTATCTTTTGTTTCTCCTATGGCCGCCATATGTGGCCATATCTCAGAATCTAGTAGGAGTAAAAATACACAAAAAGGATCAAAACGTATGTAATTGTGTATGTTTTCATGTAAACCTTTCAGTTTTTCAAAATTTCTATAAATAAAAAAATAAAAGCGATAATAAGCTTTAACCAATTTTCAGTTTTTTTCAAATATTTTGAGAACCGCTGATTTTGTGTGCAATCTTCAGATGCCATAATAAAAGGCATGCAATTACGCAACTTTTGAACCCTTGATGCCCTATTCCATCTGTAACCGTTTCCGAGATAGCAATGCTATCCCATCACATTTTGGACACCCTGTATAAGTTGAAGTATTCTTATACAAAATTTCATAAAGATTGGTAAAGGCGTTTTAGAGTTAGAATTTTTTTACTTATGCGTTAATTTTGATGCGCAGTGTATTTAGCAATTGTAGTGATAAAAAAAAATCAAATGATAAAATACCTATTTTTAAATTATTTCCAATAAAAAAGTGATATATATTTTTATTGCAATGTTTTTATATATATAAATATTTTGTTTTTTTCTGTTATTTCATTGTATAAGGCTGTTAGCTACTAGGAACGACCCCTATGTTAATATAACATTAAATGTAAAAACTTTGCTGTATAATAATTTTTTTTTGTAATAAATGTAAAAAATAAGCCATTTTTATTCAACCCCCGATACATTAAAGTTGATTATTTCCCTCATTATAATATGAACCAATCAAAAGCCTTGAATTTTCGAATAAATTTCGTTTAAATAAGCGATTAAATCATTAGAACTATTTAACAGCGATTAAATTTATGTTGTATATTGGATTTTTGTTTACGATTTTATGGTGTTATTTACAAGTTTTAAGAAACATTTTTTAAAAAACAATAAAAAATATGTTCAACATATTATGTTGTCTAGTTTACGAAATATCAATTATTACTTATTACATACCTTAAATTAATAGAATTTTCTTTAAAAAAATATTTATAAATTTTGACACATACGTCAGATTTTATGAATTGTCAAATAGTTTCCTTTAATTCGAGAAATAATCTAGACGTATATCACTCAACCTATAAATTTAATCTGTCAAACTATGCTCAGTAGTATTCTTATACAAAATTTCATAAAGATTGGTAAAGGCGTTTTAGAGTTAGAATTTTTTTACTTATGCGTTAATTTTGATGCGCAGTGTATTTAGCAATTGTAGTGATAAAAAAAAATCAAAGGATAAAATACCTATTTTTAAATTATTTCCAATAAAAAAGTGATATATATTTTTATTGCAATGGTATACAGAGGCGAAATCGAACAAAATTGATTTTTTTATTACAGCGCATCTTTTACAAATATAAAAAAATGTTTTAGAGAAAATGTAGGTACCTATTTTTAGTTGAATAAAGGGTCTTCCATTGGAATTTTTAAAGTTACCCCATGTCCTCCCTATTAGGATGAGAGTATGGAGAATAATTTTGGTACTAATTTATTTCCCCCCTACAATCATTTAATTTTTATTTCAAACATTTTGTCGTAAAATGCCTATTTATTTCAAGGTTTCAAGTTTAAAGACCCGCCCTGTATAAAATTGAACCCGGCGCATTCGCCATTTTTTTAAACAACCAAATCATAAATATTTTTTCAAGCAATTGTTAAATCCATAAATTCTTCAACAAACCGTATTAAGTATTTAATTAAAAAAATCCCTAAAATGTTAAAAAGCTGGTAAACTTGACAACGTCGCAATCAACCCCTACGCTTCGCGCACACTCAAACGCGATGTTTTTATCGAACAATAATTAACATCGAAATGAAGTTACGAACAGGGTCGTCATAAAAAATGACTGAATTAAAATAAAATGTAAAAAAATGCATTCATTTTTACGACAGGCGTGAAAGAAAAAATAAGTGAGGGGTGGAATTACAAGGAAAATAAATATAACCTAAATGGCTCAAGATATCGATTTGAAAATTACCAACGACAGCGACAAAGAAACTATGCTATTGCCGGCATATTCCAGTTTGGAGATACAACTAATTGAACATGGTAATTTTTTGTTTCATTAATATTATTAAAACAATTAAGTTAAAGTGGAAACTAATCGTCTTTTGTTTTAGAAGGCGAGCCAATCAGCTGTCAAAAATGCACCAAAGTGTTTTGGTCCGAAAGAGCCCTGACCTCGCACTTAAAGTGCCACAAGAAAAAACCCCTGACGTGCGAGAAAAAATTCGCTTGCGAAGTGTGCGGTAAGATCTTCAAGAAATACTGCGACCTGGACCGGCACATGCGCGTACACACTGGAGAAAAACCCAGCGAGTGCACCATATGCCACAAAAGGTAACATCTCACCACTGTCGAACTACATAAAGAGTATATAGGTCGAGTAACATCTCACCACCGTTCAACTACATAGAGAGTATATAAGTCGACTGGTTGCGCATTTTTTTTAGGTTCCAACAGCCTCACAACCTGAGCAAACACCTGTTCACGCACTTGCACGTGAAACCGTACGATTGCGACGTGTGCGGTAAAAAGTTTGGAAGAAATGACGTATTGAACAGACACATGTTAACGCACTCCACCGACAAGCCTTTCAAATGCGAGGAGTGCGGTAAAGGCTTCATAAGGCAGTCGCAATTGGAACAACACTCGAACAAACATCATAAGATTGGCAACGTGTAACAAAAAATAAGGGTACTAGAGTTAGTTTCAAACAGTATTACCTAGTTAAATTTTTATATATAAATATTTTGTTGTTTTCTGTTATTTCATTGTATAAGGCTGTTAGCTACTAAGAACGACCCTATGTTAATATGACATTAAATGTAAAAACTTTGCTGTATAATACATTTTTTTGTAAATAAATATAAAAAACAAGCCATTTTTATTCAACCCTCGATACATTAAAGTTGAGAAAAAAATATAACAAAAAACTATTAAAACTTTTGTAAACTAGATTTAACTGATTAACGATTAAAAATTTCTCTAAAAACTGCTTCTATATCAGGTTTTAATTTACACATAAAAATTTGACATTTTGACCCAAGTTACCAACTTGAAGTTAAAATTTACCCTATTGTATTTATCATTTTTAGATAATAATAATTTAATTAATCACCCGCTCGCAAGCTCGCTCATGCCTGATTTAAAAAAATTGATGTTTGTAACTAAGTGAATAAGTGCAAGCAATACATATTCATAATTCGTATAGTAAAAGGCCTTGATCTTTGGAAAATTTATGAAATATACCTGGTAAACAAACATTGGCACATGTGTATTTATTTTGAATGTAGTAAAAAAAAATGTATCGGCGTAAAGTTTATAAAAACAGCTATCCATCTATAAATAGACAATCATAAGACATTTAAATGAAAACAAAATGGCCACATAGAATGCAGAAAGACATAATGAGAAAATGTTATTATAAAAAAAAATAATATTGTTATTTCTTAACCCACGTATGTAAATTACGTCCTTAACATTAGCAGGAATTTTATCATAAATACTGATAAACATTTTTTTAAAGCAAAGTCGATGATTCATGTAATCTTTTTACGTGTGGTATACTAAAAATAAATACGTTTTTAAAAATATGTTATTACAAACATGGTTTTCATATAAAATAAAATTATCTTTGAGACCATTTTTTGACTTTTACCTTATTTATTTATAGCTCATACGATAGATGTTGTTTATTTTTATTGCATTGTTTTTTATGATAATTTTATCCAATTTTTTTAAATAAACTATATTTTAAAATCCCTATTGTCCGCTGTTAAAGGGAAAAACTTTTAATGCATGTTGATCAAATAAATAAAAGATACGTGGCCAAAAATAGAACAAATCCTAATTTTTGCATAATTCTTCGACTTTTAATTAGTCCAAAAATGGAAAGACAAGTGCCAATAGGTTTCACAGAAGACAGGATCATCCCTATGATACTTCATCTTAGATACTTTTTATATTGGACAGAAAGTATCTTTAACTTTGGAAAAGTTTCTTGCAACTTGTATCTAAAAAAGTATCTAAGTTACTCGGTAAAGTAACTAAGATACTTTTTAAAGTAACTTAGATACTTTCTTAAAATTGGGGGAATCCCAGAATGATTCAAAGTAATTACCTAACCAACAACTTGTTGAATTTTCATAATTTTCTAGTTTTTATTCATATATTATATCACGAGAACTATAAATTTAATCGGTTAAACTAGGCTCAGTAGTTTTTTGTTTGGTTTTTCTTGGAAAATGTTAAATGCAAAATAATTTAATAAAATCACGAGACCGCGTAGCGGTCGAGGGGTTTTATTTTTAATTATTTTGCATGAAACTATTTTTCAAAAAGAAAAATCAAATAAAAAACTTACTGAGCATAGTTTGACAGATTAAATTTATAGGTTGAGTGATATACGTCTAGATTATTTCTCGAATTAAAGGAAACTATTTGACAATTCATAAAATCTGACGTATGTGTCAAAATTTATAAATATTTTTTAAAAGAAAATTCCATTAATTTAAGGTATGTAATAAGTAATAATTGATATTTCGTATACTAGATAACTTATTTTTTATTGTTTTTTAAAAAAGGTTTGTTAAAGCTTGTAAATAACACCATAAAATCGTAAACAAAAATCCAATATGGAGGCTAAAACTTAATCGCTGTTAAATAGTTGTAGTGATTTAATCGCTTATTTAAACGAAATTTATTCGAAAATTCAAGGCTTTTGATTGGTTCATATTATAATGAGGCAAATAATCATACTTAAAAGTATCTTAGTTACTCAAAAGTATCTTAGATACTTTCATATAGTATCTTAGAAACTTTCGGATAGTATCTTAGATACTTTTTAAAGTATCTTGTAACTAAAGATACTTTTAACTCAAAGTATCTAGTTACCAGAGGTAACTAAGTTAATTTGTTTAAACTATCTTAGAAAAGTAACTTTTCAGAAGTAACTTTCCCAGCTCTGGTTGTACGTTATCACCAATCAGGATCGTTTCTTCCAGCGTTAATGGTATTTTTTCTGGATTAACGTTTTCTTGGCGAGTTCTAGTTGTAATATTATCATTTGGTGATGTTGGTACATGGTTACCGAGAACCTTCAATGACGTTTTTGGAGGTTCACCAGCAGAATCTGCATCTGATGTTAAATTTGCTTGCTTATCACCACCAATAATTAACATGCGGGACATCATCACCAACTACTGGCAACTTTCAAAAACAAGTATGGACTCTACGTAGGTAAATAATTTAAAAATGAATATATACGATGACTTTTAACTAGTCATCTAGCCCAAATAGTAAACTGCCTTCGAAAAAACTATCAAATATGGCGAATGCCCCGGGATACGGATTACTCCCGGAGCATTCGCCATTATTGCAAATATCACACGAAAACGTCTTACCTTTGTGTATCCTGAGATGGGCGTTGAAATCGTCCACCTCCTTGAAGCTGTCGTTGCAGCTGGGGCACACGTACGGATTCTGCTTCTGCTCGTGCGTCTTGCGATGCTTCCTCAGCACGTAGTAGCTCTTGAAGACGCGCATGCACACCTTGCACTTGAAGATCGGCACGTACTTGCCCACTTGCGTGCTGATCTTCTCCGCGTACTGCATCTTGTACTCGGCGTAGTCTTCCGGCAGCCACTCCATCGCGCTGCGCGAGTCGTCGTCGTAAAAGTCCTCGTCCTGGTCGGAGGAATCCAGCGCGATGCTGTTCGATTCCGTCGGCGCCGGTTTCGCGGCTTCGTTCTTCAACGAAATCGTCACGTCGGGCGCCAAATCCGCCGGTCTGGTGAAAATCGCGTCGATCTCGGCTTGGCGCTGCTTCTTCAGTCTCTGCGCCTCGAACATCACCACCAAGCTCTGCTGCCTCAGCGGCGATTTCATCGGCGATTTAACGGTGCTCGGCTCCTTTTTCTCAGTCACCAAATCAATGCACTCCCTTTTAACCTCAGAACTTCTCTTTTTAGCTTGTTGCACCACAACACTTGGTGGCGATTTTTTCGGCGACGGCAATCTTAACGAAACCTCTTCGATCTCTTCGTCGACGAAGTCGTACAAATCTTTCGGAGGCTCTTTTTGCGGTGTCTTTTCCTTAACCACCATCATAGGTCTAACTCTCGCCACTTTAGCCCGAATTACATCGACATCCTGCGCTTTTTCTTCCACAACGTTTGGTGAATGTTTGACATCTTCCTCCACTTCGAAAACGCTAGTTTCTCCACCGGTAAGTTTGTTGATTTGCTCGACAATTTTCTCAGGGCTTTGGTACACGTCCAATGTTGGTTCAACGGATACTTTGGGTTTCCTGCCGCGCTTCTTTTTGGTGACGTTTTCTTCAACTGCTATTTCTTCACTCTTAATTTTGGAAACAGCAGAAGGTCGTCCACGCTTCTTGGCAGTTTGCACTTCTGGAACAGCCTCAACCTTAACCGTCTCCTTCTCCAAAGACACCCTGGACCTCTTTTTGGGAGCCGAAATTTCCATTGCTTCTATGGCTTTACTCTTAGCAGATCTACCAGGTTTTTTGGCCACCAATTCTGCGTTATTTTCCACTGTTTCGGCAACTTGTTGCACGTTATCTTCAGTGTTGTCTAAAAGAGCTTGTAATTCCTGCATTGCGGCTTCGAGCTCGTCTTGTATCACCACGATTTCGTCCATTTTGACGGCAGATTTTCTTTTTCTGCCTCTCTTATTAGGCTTGTTAGTATCTTCAGTTGTGTTATCCACCAATGGTACTGATGTTATTGCGGCTTTTTTCGGATTTTCAGTTACTGGTAATGACTTGCGTGTAACTTTTTTAGGTTCTACCTCTATTGGTGATTCTTCGACTTTTTTAGGAGAAGTGGCAACTGGCGTTTTGTCTCTTGGTGATCTTCTTAACGGCGGTTTTACAGTTTTATCCACTTGTGGAGTTGATTTATCAACATGGGCAGCTTTTGCTGGTAATTGCTTCTTTGGAGGTGTTTTCTTGGCGAACTTTTTGGGATCTATAATATCAGTACCTTCTCCAATTACCACAGTGTCTACGGTTTTTGATTTTTTCCTGCCAGAAGCTTTTTTGGTAGGTGTTTTGGTTGTTTTGTCATCAGGTTTGGGGTTTGATGGCACCTCATCACCAATCACAGTTGCTTCTTCAATTTCGCTTGTTGGTGGATCATCACCAATCATCACAGTGCCTTCTTTCCCCATTTGAATTTTTTTCTTGGCAGAAGCTTTTTTAGTAGGTGTTTTGGTTTTTGTTTTTTTGTCATTAGGTTTGGAGTTTAATGGCAAGTCATCACCAATCACAGCTGCTTCTTCGATTTCGCTAGTTGGTAGATCATTAACAATCATCACAGTGTCTTCTTTCCCCATTTGAATTTTTTTCTTGGCAGCTTTTTTAGTAGGTGTTTTGGTTTTTGTTTTTTTGTCATTAGGTTTGGAGTTTAATGGCAAGTCATCACCAATCACAGCTGCTTCTTCGATTTCGCTAGTTGGTAGATCATTAACAATCATCACAGTGTCTTCTTTCACCATTTGTAATTTTTTCTTGCCAGCTTTCTTAGAAGGTGTTTTGATGGTTTTGTCATCAGGTTCGGGGTTTGATGGCACATCACCCATCACAACTGCTTCTTCCAAGAGAGGTGGTGAATTTTTCTTGCCAGATTTTTTTGTTGTCGTTTTCGGTGTTTTATTATTAGTTGGTGCAACTGCTTCCTCCAACATAAATGGTAATTTTTTCTGGGTTAACATTTTCTTGGCGGGTTTTTTAGTTGTTACATTATCATTTGGTGATGTTTGTACATCGTCACCGACCACCATTGCGTCTTCAATCTTCAATGGCGTTTTGGCATGTTCAGTGGTAGATGCTGAACTTGCTTGCACATCACCCCCAATAACCAATGGTAATTTTTTATTACGTAATATTTTCTTAGTAGGTTTTTCAACTTCACCAACTGATTGTATATTATTATCAATAACTACTTTATCCTTTTCCTTTGGTGATTTTTTCTTTGGTGAAATTTGCTTGGGTTTAGGTTCAATGGCAGATGTTGCTTGCACATCAGTATTTTTTTTCGGACGTAGTGTTTTCTTTGTAGAAGTTTCCTCAACAGGGGTTATACCATCACCAACTACTACTAGTGGTTTTTTCTTTGCGATTGTTTTCTTGACAATTGTTTTGGTTCGTACATCATCAGCAATAACAACAGTGTCTTCCACTACTATTGGTGATTTTTTAATTACTAGTGCTTTCTTAGTGCTTAGTGCATCATCACACAAAACATTAGTTGATTGAACATCATCACCAATTACCACAGTCTCTTGAATCACCACTGGTGATTTTTTGTTTGCAGCCGCCTTTCCAGCCAAAGATTTTGTGCTACTAGATGCATCATCGACACTCGAATTAAGTGTTTGAACATCATCACCAATCACCACAGTTTCTTCAATCACCATTGGTGATTTTTGCTTTGCTGGCGCTTTTTTGTCCGAACATTCTGTATCAACACTTGAATTAACTGATTGAACATCATCACCAATCACCACAGTTTCTTCAATCTCCATTGGTGACTTTTTCTTTGCTGGAGCTTTTTTAGCCCACGTTTTGTCATCATCATGCACAATACTAGATGATTGAACATCATCAGCAATCACCACAGTTTCTTCAATCTCCATTGGTGACTTTTTCTTTGCTGGAGCTTTTTTAGCCCACGTTTTGTCATCATCATGCACAATACTAGATGATTGAACATCATCAGCAATCACCACAGTTTCTTCAATCACCATTGATGACTTTTTCTTTGCTGGAGCTTTTTTAGCAGACGTTTTGGCATCATCTGGCACAATACTTGATTGAACATCATCAGCAATCACCACAGTTTCTTCAATCACCATTGGTGACTTTTTCTTTGCTGGAGCTTTTTTAGCAGACGTTTTGGGATCATCTGGCACAATACTTGATGATTTAACATAATCAGCAATCACCACAGTTTTTTCATTAACCATTGGTGGCGTTTTATTTGCTGGAGCTTTTTTAGCAGACGTTTTGGCATCATCTGGCACAAAACTTGATGGTTTAACATCATCAGCAATCACCACAGTTTCTTCAATCACCATTGGTGACTTTTTCTTTGCTGGAGCTTTCTTAGCCGAAGTTTTGGCATCATCTGGCACAATACTTGTTGATTGAACATCATCGGCAATCACCACAGTTTCTTCAATCACCATTGGTGACTTTTTCTTTGCTGGAGCTTTCTTAGCCGACGTTTTGGCATCATCAGGCACAATACTTGATGATTGAACATCATCGGCAATCACCACAGTTTCTTCAATCACCATTGGTGACTTTTTCTTTGCTGGAGCTTTCTTAGCCGAAGTTTTGGCATCATCTGGCACAATACTTGTTGATTGAACATCATCGGCAATCACCACAGTTTCTTCAATCACCATTGGTGACTTTTTCTTTGCTGGTGCTTTTTTAGCCGACGTTTTGGCATCATCAGGCACAATACTTGATGATTTAACATCATCAGCAATCACCACAGTTTCTTCAATCACCATGGGTGACTTTTTCTTTTCTGGAGCTTTTTTAGCCGACGTTTTGGCATCATCTGGAACAATACTTGATGATTGAACATCATCGGCAATCACCACAGTTTCTTCAATCACCATTGGTGACTTTTTCTTTGCTGGTGCTTTTTTAGCCGACGTTTTGGCATCATCAGGCACAATACTGGATGATTGAACATCATCACCAATAACGACTGTTTCTCCAATCACCATCGGTGATTTTTTCTTTGCTGGAGCTTTTTTAGCCGACGTTTTGGCATCATCTGGCACAATACTTGATGACTGAACATCATCACCAATATCCACTGTCTCTTTAATCGCCATTGGTGATTTTTTCTTTGCTGGAGTTTTTTTAGCCGACGTCTTGGCATCATCAGGCACAATAATGGATGATTGAACATTATCACCAACAACCACTGTCTCTTCAATCACCATTGGTGATCTTTTCTTTGCTGGAGCATTTTTAGCCGACGTTTTGGAGCAGGTAGAGGCATCATCAGGTACAATACTTGACTTTACCGATAACAAATCATTTTCAATCACCAAAGGTGATGATTTTTCTTTTGGGGATTTTTTCTTGGGGGTTTCTATAAGTTGTACATCCTCGGGTACGACAATGGGTTGAAGTGGGCGTTTTTCAGTCCTAGGTGGTGTAATTTCTTTCATTGGTAGCCTTTCAGGTATTGGTGATTCAGTGTAACCGAAGAGAAGGTTAAGGGAGGCTTCGATTTCGTCGTGTGGCTGCAGGGAGGAGTTTAATTTTTCATCGTCTTGGATTATGATGCTTTCCTCCAAAACAGGAGCCTTTTCTGCCATGATTGATTTAGGACTTGATTCAGTATCATCAAGAATAACAATAGCTTGCTGTTGTTTTTTAGCTTGAGTCTTCTTAGTAGCTGGTAATTCTGCAGTTATATCTGGTGTTTTTGATTTTTCAGTGGTGGCTTCAATTGAATCACTACTTTTGTTTCTTGGACTTGTCCGTTCTTTAACTTTCTTTGCTTTAACAACATCCTTTTTGGGTTCCACAACTTCATCGGCCTTATTTCTTGGTGATGTTCTCTCTTTTGCTTTGCTCTGCTTTATTTTTTCAGTTTCAGTTGTGTTCTCTTCAGTTCTAACCTCACTTGAGCTCAGCCTAGGCGAAGATCTTGTTGATTTGGGGCTGGGATCGAAAGAAACAAAAACTACGTCCTCTTCTTCTTGCACCTCTGTTTTAGCGGTTTTTTGAGGTTCATCGTCTAAAATTAAAATGACGTCATCGTTATTTTTTTCCGTGTCCAAAATCAGTGACTTTTTTGATTTTTTGGGGGTTGTAGTTTTGCTGTCAATTAATTTTCTTTTTTCCGTGTTTTTGGCAGTTTTTTTCGCGCCTTTGGTGGCAAATGTGGGCAAATTGCTTTGACTGCTGCCTGCAGGGGAATTTGCTTTTTTCTTGTTTGTTTTTGCCAGGTTTTCTTTGGGCTTTTTGGTTATTTCAGTGCTCTGTTTGTTCTTTATTTTGTCGAATAATATTTGAACTTGGTTTACTTTAATCGGTGGTGGTGGTGGTTGGTAGATAGGTTCATCTCTTATAACGCTGGTTAAGAGTTTTTTGGGTGAGTTAATGATTTTGAAGGTTTGTTTTTTCTCAGTCATTGCTGTGTTGACTGGCAAAGGTAAAGGTGTTTTTTTGGCGGTTTTTGCGGGCTTTTGTTGTTTCTCTTTGTTGTTGACTTTTTTCTTGGGGCTTAGTTTGATTTTGATCACAGTCTTCTTTTTATCGCTGTTTTTCACCTTTTGGCTGATTTTTTCAGCGTTTTTCTTGACGATTTTCCCTTGAGCTGCTGGCTTTTTGTTGCTGCTGTTCGATTTTTTTATTTCGTTTTTGTTGACGATTTTCACGTTGGGGTCGCTTTTTAGCTTGTTTATTGTTCTGGAGGGTGCCGATTTGGTAGGGGATTGTTTTTGTGTTGGCTTTAAGTGGGGTTTAAACACACCAATCACTGGTTTTAGCCTTAAACAACCTAAAAATACGCATTGAGTTATTTGCTTGTTATCGTAGTGCAAATCGTTTTCTTTGAGATTTCGTACGAAATGCCTCAGCGTCAGGTTCGTTCTCACCGGTTTCTTGTACAGTTGAGCCTTTTTCTTCGTCATTTTAAACACAACAAACCGATGCACAAGCTGAAACTACACTCGAACTTCACGATGGCATTTTCGCGGTAATGCGTGCGTTAACCTCTCGCAAACCTCGCCCAACGCACTTTCACAGTCTTTGGGGCTGTTTTTTCGCGATGCACGTGTGTATTTTTGGAAATTTTACACAAACACTTGTTGCGTTCACTTCCACAAATCTGACGATGACATTTGGAAAAAACGACTAGAGGGCGCTTTGCGCGGCAAGGATACCGGGTGCATTCGCTTCGCATACCCAACGGTAGATACCGAAAACAGGAGTTATCCAAAATTCAACTTATACACGTTAAAAATAAGATTATACTGTACTATTAATTTAAATTATTCAATATAATTATCATAATATTATATGTAATGAATTCCAATACATAAATATTAATTTTAACAGAACAAACTAAATATCAGCCATTTTGATTATATCGCCTTAAAACACTTTCTGGTAGTTTATATTTTTGAAGATTGCTGATAAAAGATTGAAAATACTCTTTTTACGTGGAATTAATAAATAAAAGTGATTATTTTTGTATCTTTTGGGATTATGACGTCACTTTTGGTATAGTTGTCCTGTCGAGATACCTGCGACGTAAATTTACCTGAATATTCATTTATTTTATTTATCAAATTTGGACGTTTTTCAATGCTTTATCCTATTTATAGAAATTTTATATTAGGGTGCAATAAAACAATAAAAGCAGATTTTATATTTAATGCAGATTTTGAATAATAAAACACATGTTAAATAAATAAATATTTATTAAAATGGAATGTACTTAATACATAGAATATTTATTTCTTCTTTTTACTTTCTTCAGCAGTTTCTGTAGCTCTAGGGTCATCGGTACGGGTCTTATCCACGGGATACAACCTACAACCGCGAAAAAATAACACAAAACTCCCCACATTTCTTTTTTGGGAAAACTTACCATCTTTGGTAGAGATAAACAAGGAAGATAATATCATCCCTGAAACACGCCAATCTATGTGCAGTTGGCATGGTGATAATAAACGCAAAAATATCGTCTATGAAAGTGTTGAACGCCCTGTACGTGAACGCTCTCCAAGGCAGGGCTGCTACAGATTTTAACCTGTAGTTAATAAATAGTTGGGGTAGCATAAACAAAAACCCGAAGGCGTAAACCCCATTAACGAGGCTGTTTATTGTCCACGAATACCAACTAAAAAAAATACAAATAAAGTTAGTTGTGAAATACAAAACAAAAGATAGTTTGACGGCTTAATCAAGGGGTTTCATTGGTACCAAGGGTTGTGCCTTCTAGATGCAATGGATAAAATGTAATTACTACGATGTAATTGTAGAAAATTGTTTTATTCGTGTTAAATTAGAAATTTTCAATGCTCAACTAGTTCATTAGGTATCAAATATGGCGGATAGACAGACCAACGACCTTTAAATGTTTTAATGGCCTCATGGCATCTAAATATAAATGAATAAAATAAATGTTTGAGGGTTTGTTTGTCAAAGTTTTACTGCGATTTTTATGGAATAATTAAATTAATTTTACGATTCACGAAAATGGCGAATGCGCCGGGATTAATGATAAAAATTATCGTGTATGTGCAATGCAATAAAACAAAACTTTCTTGTTTGTGTAATTGTTTTTTTTTTCTTGAAAAAAATGTTAATTTGATGATAAAAAACGCATCAACATAATTTTATATAAGAAAAGGAAATATTTAATATTTTTTAAAATATACAGGATGTTCCAAAAATGCCATTACAAAAATTGTCATTTCAATATGTACAAAAAAAAAATTTCTGAATAATTAAATAAAAAAATAATACTTCTAAAAAAAATGCACATTTTCACGACCCCCCTTGTTACAAATGGTCTTTATGGGCGACCTCTGGAGGGAATAAAATCGATCAGTCTTGGATTTAAATTAATTAATTTATATACAGGGTGCTCCAAGTTTATATGCAAGGATACATTTTTTTATTTTTTGCAAGAACTCACAGAACACAAGTGTGTAGACCAGTGGCGTATCACAAAAAATATAAAAACTTCTAATGCATATTTTTTTCTTTATCTTTGGGAAAATGATTTTTTAAATATTTTTCCGTTACACCTTATATCAAAAGGTATTCAGTATTTTAATATATTACATTAATTGCATAACACCCTGTATACTACAAATATAGGTATAAATTATATAAAATCGTTGTTTTTATAAAATTAAATTAAAGACAAGTCGATTGTTTTAATAAAACAAAATACCCAAACTTTTATATTATAGCCCAAAAAGTAGTTTTTGTGTAAAATATTATATTATAACATAAGTATTTTATATAAATTTTTTACCAAAAAGACCATATAAGTAAATAGAGTCAGATGTAACTGTAACTTTAAAATAACACAAAAAATCATAAAAAATGATACTCACCTTTTGTGTGGCTGGTAAATCAAGGAATATACAGCCGCAGCTAGACAAAGAGGGTACAACAGATAACTCAAATATTTCATGCACTCTTCATCGTATTTCCTCGTCATCTTTTCCTCTTCACTTTCGTTGGTTTCCTTGCTAAAAGAAAATCCGCCGTTCCACGAAACGGTCGTCTTCAGGACTTTGCTCACTTTCCAAAACTAAACGAAAATGAAAATCGTGGAAATTTAAGTGAAAATTAGGGTTCAAGTTAAACGTTTACTTTAGAAAATATAATATTAATTAAATTAATCCCGGCACCTCCGCCATTTTTGAAAAAAATTGTCTAATTTTTACTTTGTTAGTTCGTTTACTCTGTAAGAAACATTTTTTCCTAAAAAATACTACCCCTTAACCAAAAATATCACCTAATTTATATTATATTAAAAACCGAATATAATATACAGCATGTCCAAAAAAAAATTAAAATTGCAAATGTACTATGCTCCACACCTCAAAGTCCCACCACGTGACCACGTACGGAACGCAGTCTTTTGAAAATTTGGCATTTAAGGATTTTCAGGTTATGTATCTGTCAAAGTATAGTCAACGAAAGAAATAATATTATGTTTAGTCGTTAAAAATGTATAAATCTTTATAACATTACAATAACAATGGATGGTTTAAGAATTTAAGAATATAAATACTGCATTTAATGAAATTCTAAAGTGTATGGTGCCAAATAAGTAATATTTTTGTGCATTTGGTCCAAATATCTGGTTTTCTCTATAAAATAATTTAAACTAAACAGCATTTATTAAAAAAAATCTAGCTTCGCTATTATGGAATAAGAATATCTGTATTAAAGGTAGGTTAATATATTATAACAAAAATATCATCTAATTTTGTAATTTTAAGGTTAGAAAAACTTATTTTGACCAAAATAAATAAGTATTTTGGATTATTTAAAAGACAGTATAATATGGTATTTAAAAATATGGTAGTTTTTCTTATCCAGCTTAAAGTGTACCTACATAAAGTTTTGTCAATACAAATAGTTAAAAAGCTTCGACTGAATTTGATCTACATCAAAAAATCATTATAACTTTAATATTTTAATAAATCACATGTCAGGGGAGTATTAAATATTTTCACATTGCAAGTTTCTCTAAAAATTGTTTTTCTTATAATCTAACTTAAAGTAGGTATGCCGAGAGGTATGCACAAGTTTTGGCATTAGAAGTATAAAAGTTTCAATTTAATTTGAACCATATTCAACAATTATTTATTTATGACCATATTAACACACTCTTCCAAATAATCCACTTATTTATTTTGGCCAAAATAGATTTTTCTAACCTTAAAATACAAAATTAGATGAAATTTTTTGTTCTAATTAACCTACCTTTATACAGATATTCTTATTTCATAATAGAGAAGTTATATTTTTTTAATAAATGCTGTTTAGTTAAAACTATTTTATGGAGAAATGTAGACCCAATGCACAAAAATATCACTTATATTGCACCTTACACTTTGAAATTTCATTAAATGCAGTATTTATATTCCAAAATTCTCGGTAACACTATAAATATGATTTCTTTCATTGACTATACTTTGACAGATACATAACCTGAAAAGCCTTAAATGCCAAATTTTCAAAAGATTGCGTTCCGTACGTAGTCATGTGGTGGGACTTTGAGGTGTGGAGCATAGTACATAAAAAAAATTCAGAATGAGAAAACCACTTTTATAATAAAATTTGAGGAAAAAAGTTATGATAAAGGTTTTTATCTACTCCTACATTGACGAGTTGTGACTTTATGGCATTTTAGTCACGGGCTGAAGTTAATAACAGTGGCTTTTGGGCATTTTAGTCACGGGCTGAAGTTAGCTTTATTATAAATTGCGAAAAATTGAGGTTAAATTTGTTAAATGTCAAATTTTATGAAATAAAATTGTCTTTAAATTCTTATTTCTGTTCGTCGTAGATAAAGTATAGTATGCAACTCGTTTTTATTAAACACTCGCTCGCAAGCTTCGCTTGTGCCTAATAAAACTTGTAACTAAAATGGCGTTTATAAAACTTGATACATAATATACTATTTTTTAAATATTTTATACCTTTATGTTATAAAATTAATATTTTTTTTACAAAAAAAAAATGATTTTTTAAGCTTTAAAATATTTTTGCTATAAAACTTATATTTCTACAAAAATAATTAAATTTCGTAAATTAACTATGATTACTGATTTTATGAATATAATTGGGTTAAAATTACTTTTTACAATATTAATAGTAATTCTTATTGTATGTCATAAAATTTATATTTTTTCGAAAAAAACCGATTTTTTTCTCTTAAAAACACATTTTTGCCATAAAAAATATTAATTTTATGAGATAAAAACCTTATTAATATTAATTTTTATTTTGTTTCATAAAATTAATATTTTTTCTAAAAAAGCTTACCTCAATTAGTGTAGCAATTCCGCTCGGTATCAACACCAAAAGAGACGTACCTTCATCAAGCAAATATGAAAATATAATAGTTTGGGAAAAAGCCCTCCACAAAACTGTCCTCGAGGATAATCCTGCCATTGAAGTCTGCGATTTCCAAAAACTAACATCACTTTTGAAGGAAAGAAAATCAAGCAGCAACTAAAAACAAAAAAACCTTGTTTGTGAGGAAAAACACGGCTACTTTTTTAAATCTCACATGCACACTCCCAATAAAAACTGTAGCACACAGCAAGTACAAATTTGTATCTGCGAAAACCCCCTTAACTTCATCGACATCTTTTTCCGTGAACCCCAGAGTCATAAACTGCACCAAAGTGGCTTTTATTTGCAGTAAAAACCGCATTTTTCCCAACGAAGCAGGATTATAACTGTACAAAAACTTAGCCTCTCTGGTACTCATAGTGATCTCTTCCAAATCCTTCAGCCTCATCTGCAGGCTGTCCTCTTGCACAATGGGCAAAAATTCACGTTTTGAGCTAACTCGGAAAAAATTTAAGAACTCTGGTGGTATGTTCGTGTGAGGTAAATTCAGCTCCTCTGTCAGCATGAGGATGTAATATCGCGATCTTAAGTGAGACACCGGTTTTATAACCTCATTTTTACCCGATTCGCGGAGTAAGTTGAATGTAGCGCTTGCCGGAATGGCATATCGTGTGAGATAACTTCTAACGTATGTTGATTCCTTTTCGTTAGCTAATTCATGTAGGGAAGGTTTCGTACGCTTTTTACTTGGAAGTATCACAGAATGCAAGAATATGCTGCCGTTATTTCTTGATGTTTTCGACAACTCGATGGAAATCTCTCTAAAAGTTAAAGTAATGAATGAAAAAATAATAATAAATCAAAATTAATCATTACCTTTCAAAGTTCTTTCTGAAATCGAACTTATTCTCACTAAAAACCAAATCATAGTTGCCTGAACGCGAATTATCGGAAATAAAAACAAACAAATCTAGGTTAGGATTTTTGTTTAGGATGGAATTGTAGCAAACCTCATCGCTATTACACGTCGGAGCTTGGTAAATGCTTATCAAACTGTAAATTGACTTTAAAATAAACGCGAAAAACAATGTCGTCAGTAAATAACCGTAAACAGCCCTCATTTTAATATATATAAACACCCGACACGTCAGACACCGGCCATTTTTGACGTTTATAATGACAAATGTCAACGATCTTGGCCTCCACGTTGCCAAATCGTCCCCAATCATAAATCTGATATTTTTCTTTAATTTATTTTTATGTTATGTTTTACGTTTAAAACGTTAAGAAAACATCCCTATGAGGCCTTTTCCCTTTCTGGTTGTTCATAAACATCGATTTCTTAACATGTATGTTCACCCAACGACAACCCAAACATCACCTATGTTCACTCTGTGCCTATGTTTGAAGGTAATTTGTTTCTCATATGTTGAATCTTTCTGAACAGCGATAAATACATAATATATTATATACGTATATATATAGTATATATATAGTATACAGGGTGGTCCAGGATTAATCTGAAAAATTTTAATGATCGATAGAGCCTGAAAAAAACAATAAAAACAAACCCAAAAACATTTTTCAAAAATGCATACTAACGGAGATATAGTCCTTCAAAATAATTTTTAAACCATTAAACCGATTCTTCTCAAATTTTGTGTAGGTTAAGCTTCCGTCGATAATATAATGAAAATTTTCTACAAAAGGCCCAGTGGCGGAGATTTTGGGAGGGGTTTCCCCTTTTTACCCTCATATTTTCGACGCCACTGGATTTTATTAGAAAATCATCAGATTTATTTTTATCCTTTTTCAATCTAAAAGCAAAACTTTTATGTTTATATTTTATCAGATCAACGGAGATATTTCAGTTTAAAATTTCAAAAACACTGTGTACACGGAACTTTTGTTATTATTTTAGTAATAAAAAATTATTTTTTTTCTGAACGATTGTATTGGGCCAATAAAAATTTACCAATGAAATTATGGAATAATCACTTTTAATAGGGTGGTTTTTGGGTTGGTTTGATTTTGTATTATAATACAATTAAATTATTAATTACAGACGTTCATTGTAATCCTCAATCAAAGTTACAATAAAACAACCTAAAAATATGACGGGATCAGTAACAACTGCACGATGACTCCTGGACGCTAGTTTATTTTTATAATATTTTATAAACTGATAACGTGGCATAATTGTTACCAAGTTACCGATTTAAAATAAAATATGATAAAATTCCGTGTACTACCCACACAGAACACGCTATCCAATGGATATCTAATGGCTATCCCAATGTCCATATAACATCCATGCCTTTTACGATATCCATTGGATATCCAATGGATATCCATACTGGATGTTCAAAAAAAAACAAAAACATTAAAAATATTTTTTTCTTTTTTAAAATAGCCCCTTATAGGATAAATTTATGTAATGATTAATAAATATGATTTAAATCGTTATTAACCCAATTTCAACAAAGTATCTCTAATATATATCCAATGGATAACTAATGTATGTCCAAAGTATATCCACTGTACATCTAATGTATATCCACTGGATATCCACTGGATATCCGGTGGGTAACTGATATGGATATCTTGTATATATACTTGTATGTATACATGTGGGATTTTGTGATGGTTTAAACTAGCATATGTAAAAAAAAACGACTTTACGTTAAATTGATTTTTTGCCAAGAGCTACGAAATTTTTAATTTTGAAATATTCACTTTACCCAGATAATAATATTTATATATTAATAATATTATTTCTGTTAATAATATGACTATGACAGTCTGCAATACAATAAAAAATTACTTAAAAAAGTCCTTTTTGTTTATTATTGTATTTCATATATGTACTACGCACGCGCTGAATTTGAGAATCTTCAGTGTTGCCGGTTATAAGCAAAATAACTAAACGAAATATATTTCCGTACTTTATTAAGTTTTAATAAATAAATTAAATAAATTTAAAATAATTATTCACCACATTTATGTCAAATAGGTATACTAGGTATACTAATTAATTAAGTATTAAAGATTTAATAATATAACCGCCATTTTGATGAGCTTTCTGAAATTATTTAAACGTCTGACAACACTGCCGGCGAAAACAGAAGATAAATGTCACCATATTACCTTGCCGCTGCATCTCGCCGCTGTCCAGGTCGCCCAACTAGTATATAGGTGGGCGGTTGCTTGGCTTGAAGCGTGTCTCTCGGCACCAACTGCCTAACACTGATGAGACCCAACAGAGGTCGAAACAGTCTGTCTGTCAGTGTTGGTGGGCATGGTACATTAGTCATTGTGCCATGTCAACCCGAGAGAGGCGTTTCGGGCCAGGCACGGTGGAGAGATGTGTCGGCTTGTGTAATATTTGTCATTTTGGTTGCCTAACTACTGGCGTAGTAGTAAAACCTTGGCAATTTTTAATAAATGGGCTGATGGATTGGCCAAATTTTGGGGATCATAAGGAGACAGGTGAAATAGGCCCTAAATGATTAGGCTGATAAAAAGGCAAATGACAGCTGGAGGAGTGATGGCAAGCACTTCTTTAGTTATATGTAGTTTTCTGTTCTATTTTATGTTTTCATAAAAATAAATATTTAAATTAAAGAATAAGACTTTTATTTTAAAACCCAATGTTATTTATTGAAAAGTAAATATCCAATACAGATGACAACCATATTGCATACAATACTATATCCACTGGGTATCCATTGGATATCCACACTATGTCCAGGAGGGTCGGACATTTATATATCCAATGGTTATCCATTGGATATCCCGGATATCCTATGTATATCCTGGATATCCATAAAAGAAATCCATTGGATATCCATTGGATGTAATTGTTCCGTGTGGGTAGGTGTTTTTGAAATTTTAAAGTCTCCGAAAACAATTATCTTATGAAAATTTAACACACAAGTTTTGCTTCTAAATTGAATAAGAAATCTGATGATTTTCCAATAAAATCCAGTGGTGTCGAAATATGGGGGTAAAAAGGGGAAACCCCCACAAAATATCCGCCGCTGGGCCTTTTGTAAGAAATTTTACCTAGGTACACAAAATTTGAGCAGAAGTTATTTAAAAAAAAACGTTTTTTTGCCTTTGAAGGGCTATTAGTGTGTATTTTTAAAAAATGTTTTTGGGTTTGTTTTTATTGTTTTTTCAGGCTCTATCGATCATTAAAATTTTTCAGATTAATCCTGGACCACCCTCTATATATTTACTATAGTTTTATCTACATCTTTTGCATAATTTTGGGGTTTTTCCGTGAATATTGATAAACATTATAAATTTCCTGCCTAACAACGTGAATAATAAAATTATTATTCACGTTGTTCGCATCTATATGAACTCGGCTCAGGCCTCAGCCAAAGGCATCAGTGATTGGCCGATTTCAATATTCACTGTGTTTTGAACCAATCGGGTTTTAAATTGGAAGAAGGCTACTATAATAACATTTAAAATTGATAAAAAGTGAGGTTAACAATTTGACAGATGTCATATTTAAATTATTTAATTTTGAAAATTATGTAATTATCTCCTTATTGGAATAGATATTACACTCGAGATTATGCGCAATATTCACAATAGCCTGCATTATCTCTAGTATAATAATATACTATTATGACCTAAAAGATCGTAAACTAAAATTGTGTTAAATAATTATTTTAAAAGTCATTGGTGATATTTAATATATTAAATAAAATTAAAAACAACTAAATGACATTGAGGATAGATTACTATGCATTACTATGCATATTTTGTTGTATTTTATTATTATGTATACTTTTGTTTTACTAATCTTTTGTATTTTTTTAAGTAATAATATTTACATAGGTATTTAATATTTTACATTTGTTGTATTTTTTTAATAAAATATATTTTTTCCAAGTTATTTTTTATTCCAAGTTATTTTTTATTCTACCTATATAGTTTTTAGAGGTTGATTTTAGACACATATTGTCAAAGTCTCACCACAATTTAGCAAAGCAAAATTTGTATTTTGATATTATTATAATAATTAAAACACAAATCATAAATATATTTTTAATATTAACAAAAATATTTTTTGTTGTGACCCCTTTATGTAATTTGTCCTATTCTCATTTATAAATAATTATTTATCATTTATAATTATACTTAATATTAGGTATTAATTATGAATAAGTACTTAATTAATTCATGATTACTAACTAATTTAAGACAATCACTATGCTTGATAATGATAGTACCAAACATCGCCGCAATTTATGATTAATGCCAGATAAAAACCTGAAATATTGGAAACGGAATAGCAAATTACACCGATGTTGTTTATAAACATGGATGTTTAGGAAATTCTTTGAGCGCATGCGTCTATAGACGAAATAGTTGAAACGGAATATTATTCCCGGAATAATAATTGTAATCAAGGCAAAGTGGGTTAATATGTACATCTTTGAATTATTTAACAAGATAAGCAGCTAATCGTATTTTCAAAATCAATTAGAAATGATTACGATTATTTATAAGCACTTATAACGAAATTAAAGCATTAGAACTCAAAACGTTGAACATGTTCAAGTGTTTAGTGGCGTGGTTGATACTTTTGAGTTATTCTTGCGAATGCTCGAGAATTTTGGCTGTGATTCCTACCCCATCCTACAGCCACCAAATTGCATTCAGAAAAATATGGGCGGAATTGTCCAAAAGAGGCCATCAGGTTACAGTTTTGACCAGCAATCCAATACGCGACCAGACTTTGACAAACTTGACCGAAATCGACATAAGTTACTCAAAGGATGAGTTATGGGTGAAATATGACGGCGACCATCAGTTGCAAGCCGTGGAAAATGGCGTTTTAAACATATTGGAATTGTTTTATGATTTCATTTATGACGTTAGTAAATCTGTTCTCAGCAGCGACTATTTTCAAAATCTCATACATAATAAGGAAGAAAAATTTGATGTGGTTTTAGTGGAATCATTTTTTCCAGAATTTTACGTACTGGGGAAAATATTTAACTGTCCTGTCATAGGTGTAAGCTCTATGGATGCACCCACAGGTAATAAATCAATATATGTTTATCTTAAGATTTATTAATATTGATTTTAATATATCTATCTTAAAATTAAACAATTGTTGATGTCTTAAAACATTTTATAATAAACATAGATTCTATTAAGCCTATAGGTGCTAAATTTTCTAGTCCTCCTCTTATGCTATCTATTTTACTAGCACTTGGTGTCATTCTTCCGAAAATCTTATGTTTTCATTTGTTTTATAGATTTTATAATAAATATAGATTGTATTAAGCCTATAGATGCCAAATGTTCTACCCCTTCCCCTATGTTATCTATTTTACTAGCACATGGTGTCATTCTTCCGAAAATCAGTTGTCCTATAGATTTTATATTAAATATAGATTTTAGTAAGTCTATAGATGCCAAATTTTCTACCCCTTCCCCTAGGCCATCTATTTTATTAACACTTGGTGCCATTCTTCCGAAAATCTGATCATTTCACTTAATATAGCTGTCTTGATAAATTTTATAATAAGCATAGATTCTATTAAGTCTATTGGTGCTAAATTTTCTACTTCTCCTCCTATGCTATCTATTTTACTAGCACTTGGTGTCATTCTTCCAAAAATCTGATCTATTCAGTTAATATAGTTGTCATGATAAATTTTATAATAAACATAGATTCTATTTAGTCTATTGGTGCTAAATTTTCTACTCCTCCTCCTATGCTATCTATTTTACTAGCACTTGGGGTCATTCTTCCGAAAATCTATTTTTTTCAGTTAACATAGTTGTCTTGATAGATTTTACAATAAACATAGATTTCATTATGCCCATAAATGATACATTTTGTACTCTTCCTCCTATGCTATCTATTTCACTAGCAGTTGGTGTCATTCTTCTGAATATAGATTTTTTTATTTTAATCTTTTTTTTATTTTTAGATTATCATATGTTTATGGGAAACCCATCCCATCCAATAAGCCACCCAGATTTAGTCCTACCATTTTACAGGAATCTAAATATAATTGAAAGAATTATAAGCACCATGTTCAACAATTTAATACCCACTTATAAATATTTTAAGGTTGAACTTGAAAAACAAAAATTGTTGGATAAATACGTCGACTTTAAAACCAACATACTGGATCTTAAAAAAAGTTTGGATTTGTTGTTTGTTTGCTCACATCCCCTTTTACAAGGGGTGAGGCCTTTGGGAGCTGCTACAATATCAATTGGGGGCACTACGAATATTGAAAAACCAAAACCTTTACCAAAAGTAACGTGACAAAAAACATCGCTTGTAATTAAATTTACTAATTTTGTTATATTTAGGAAATACAAGTGTTCATGGAGAAGTCAACACAGGGTGTAATCTATTTTAGTCTTGGTACCAATGTAAAAAGTAAAGCTTTGGGAGAGGAAACAATTAATAAACTACTTTTAACTTTCAAGAATATTCCTTACGATATTTTGTGGAAATTCGAGGCGAATATTACCAGTCTGCCGAAAAACGTCATGTTACTCAATTGGGCGCCTCAGCAGGACATATTAAGTAATAAAACCAAAATGATCGTGTAATTCGCTAATACTATCATACTATTTAAGGACATCCAAAAACAAAACTGTTTATTACACAAGGAGGTCTCCAGTCACTTCAGGAGTCGATATTCTTCGAAATCCCCATGATGGTTTTTCCATTTTTTGGGGATCAAATGCACAATGCTAAAATGATCGAACATAAAAAAATTGGAAAGTATTTCAAACACAAATCATTTCATCCTTTGGAGTTTGAAAGTGCCATATTTCAACTTATAAAAGACCCCAAGTAAGTTGATCTTTTCCGTTAACAATTATACCTTGATAGACTTTAAATTAAATATAGGCTTTATTAGGCCCATAGATGCTAAATTTTATGCTCATCCTACTATGCTATATATTTTACTAGCATTTGGTGTCAAGATGATCTTTATAGTTAATATAGTTGTCTTGATATATTTTATAATAAAAATAGATTCTATTAAGGCCATAGATGCTAAAATGTCTACTCCTCCTCCTATGCTATCTATTTTACTTGGTGTCATCCTTCCAAAAATCTGATCCTTTCAGTTAATACAGTTGTCTTGATAAATTTTATAATAAATATAGATTCTATTAAGCCTATAGGTACTAAATTTTCTAGTCCTCCTTCTATGCTATCTATTTTACTAGCACTTGGTGTCATTCTTCCAAAAATCTGATCTTTTCAGTTAATATGGTTGCCTTGATATATTTTATAATAAACATAGATTCCATTAAGCCTATAGGTGCCCCTTCTCCTATACCATCTATTTTACTAGCACTTGGTGTCATTATTCCAAAAATCTGATTTTTTCAGTTAATATAGTTGTCTGATATATTTTATAATATACATCGATTCTATTAGGTCTATAGGTGCTAAATTTTCTACTCCTCCTACTATGCTATCTATTTTATTAGCATTTGGTGTCATTTTTCAACTAAATTTATAATTTAAGGTACAAATCAAATGTCCTAAAGCTAAAGCAGTTGATTTTGGACGAGCCAATGTCTGGAGTGGAAAAAGCGGTATGGTGGACCGAATATGTAATAAGGCATAAGGGCGCCAAACATTTGGCAAATCCCATTACTGAATTGCCCTTATATCAATATTACCAATTGGACGTTTATTCTATTTTGGGTGCACTTTGTATTTTAATTGTGGTTATGATCCAAAAATCCGCCAAAATTGTATTTCATTTTTGTGTAAAATTGTTTGGCCGATTCATAATAAAAAAGGAAGCTAAAACTGCTAAGAACAAAAAGTTAAGATAATATATTCGTTTTAGAATACTTTATGTTACAATAAATAAAAAAATTATCAGTACGTACGTGAATGGTTTAATTTAAAATTTTACAGTAAGTAAATTTTTTATGTAAAAAACATAATTAAATTATAAAAAAAATTTAGTAGTTTTAATTTTAGATAGATTTATGCAAAATATAAAATACTATTGTTTAAGTTATTTATTTTAAATATTTATTGTTATGGTATGGTGATGACCAATTTGGGTTTCTAATTTGATTTTAAAAATTACGTCATAGATATTTATTAAGTACTCACATATGCATAGATAACTGTGTATTAAACTTTTTGTTGGTATTATTACTTTATGGAGTTTTTAAAATTTATTATCATTGCGACTTTCAATTTTAACCCAATTTTATTATTGTGCATCCGCCATTTTTGAAAATAATCAATATAATTTGAGAATAAGACTATTTGCTTATAAGTATTTAAATTTAAACATCATTTAAAAGGAAATTCAATACCTGAGATATAATATTCAATGATTTTAAACATAGCTATTTTATTGAAAAAAAATTGAGTGATTTACTTGGTATAATAAATAAAGCAATTTAAACAAAGTGGATATTAATAGAAATACTTTTTAAACAATCTATGTATTTAAATATTTAGTTTCAAGTTTGATGTTGTAAGTGGATGTAGGACTTGGCCAATGTTTTATTTCACAGACATGTTTATTTTAGTTGGGATGTGTTGTGCTAAATTGGTTTAACTATCTTAAAAATTACTAAAATGAAGGTAAGTTATATGTGTCATAACTTTGTATGTAAAATTTTTTGGAGATTAAATTTATGGATTAAAAGATAAAAATACTTCCTAGTATGAATTATACTTATTTATAAATATTCAAATATCTATAGATATTTGAATATTTATAAATAAGTATAATTATAGTCTAATAGATCTGGAATTTTAAATTTGTGTAATATTTAATTAATTACATTCCATTTTTATCTTAAAAACACCAACCAACAATCAATCTAAAATTATTGCTAGATTCGTCCGCACTAAATAAATAAATTAATTAGTTTTTCATGTTTTACATTTTTTGTAATGACTGGCTCGGGAAGTGTTGTGAATAATGAAATTTAAATATTGACACTCGGTGCTTGTGAAAAAATTGGTAATAAAATTGTAAAACATGCGCGTGAATAATACAATTTTTTTCAATATTTTATAAAAAATTTATATTTTATTTTAACTGATTAAAAATTATTATTAACTCGGGAATGTTTACGTTTGTTGTCAATTAAAATATTTGGAGTTTAATTTTATAATTTCGTGGAAATTTCGATTAGTAATATAGGTTATCTTATCCACCAAATAAAATTATCTTTATTAGTTTGAAGTTTGAACAATTACTAAAAGTATAATGAGAGCTGTCATCAGTTACCGATTTTTTTGCAGACTAGGATGTAAAAACTTAATATTATGGAACGCTTGACGATAAAATATTATTATAATAATAGTTTTTTAAGTGAGGGCCTGAAACAATTATTACAATGATATGTACAGTTAGGGAAAATAGTAATGTCCATTTGAATGCTCCATTGTAAATTTTCGGAGACATTAGGGTTTTGGTAATAAAATTAACATATTTATTTTTAAACTCAATAATTCTACCTATCACTCATTTCTACGCACATTAAATTTGACTTTTAAACTTTTATGCAATAATTTAAACCATTTAAATATTTAAGGAGTAAAACTGATTTTAAATCCATTTTAACTTATTATGAAATATTGGCCAAAAATGTGTATACACATTATAATTTTATCAAAAGTTTTTTGATAAATCCTAGTATTTAATTAAAATATGTACCAAATATTTTAACACATAAACGTGCAACATGTAATAAAATGTGTTTTTTATTCCTATGATGTAAAATAGTGTATTGAATCATTGCTAGTTCTAAAAAATGTAAAGTAAGTTTTAAAAAACTACGACTTGATAATATTATTTTTAGCCTAAAAAGTTCTTTTTAAAAGTATTTCAAACTATAAAAAAATATTTTAAGAAATGAACGATTTAATAAAAATACGGTTAAATATGTAATACACCCAAAAGTTACAATTGAGCATTCAAATGGACATTACTATTTTCCGTAACTGTACATTTAGATTATTTTATACATTTTGAGTTTTTTTCTATATGTATTAGGGTTCAAAATAATTTGATGATAAACTTGTTATTCAAACTTCCGCTAGTTATTTACTTAGAAACACACTCCTAAACCGAGATTTATCAGCATTATTTTTATCAGATAAGTAAAACCCCACGAAAAACCCAGTAAAATACATAATATCGATTTTATATTTTGCGTTTAGAAAAAAATTATTAGTTATCATTTCAAATTTCAAACGTTGATAATGTGGAGGTGCAAAGTAATCATTGAAATATTTTTGGTTGAATCATTGATCATTTATAAAATGTTAAATTTTAGAAATCAAAAGACCTTATGGACGATGATTGTTATTCAGAGATGGATTCTTCGGAAGGTCATCCAGAGAAGCGAATGGCATGTTGGGTTAAAGTACTCATTTGGATAGGAGGCGTCTTGTAAGTTTCATTTTTAACTATTTTAAAATGCGGTAGTAGATAATATTTTAAGTGATCTATAAGAACTGAAGTATTTCAATATCTCTGGTTGTTGCCATGGAAACTCATCTAATAAAAGACACAATCCTGACAGAAAAAAAAGGTTATGTTTTTCCTGTCAAAATAATGAAATTGTTATCTATCACGTGGTATATCATACATACGCACACCATTTAAAAAAATGAGACTTTGGCTTAAGATTTTTATATGGATTGTAGGAGTACTGTAAGTTTTCTTTTCCAATGTTTTTAAGGATAAAGTTAGCATACCGCGGTTGTCTATGTATAAAACATTTAACAGTTGTTAGGAAAACAAAACTGTTGGTGGTTGTTATTTTTTTTGACAATCAGAACATTATATTTTTGCCACTGCTTTAAGGTGGTGTAAAAAGTGGTTGTAACAAATACCAGACTGATATACCAAAAAGTTATAGATTTATGCAGTTTATTCTGCTAGTGCAAATCACATTATTACAACTATGTTATTTGAACTGTATCGTAGCAGATTTAGTTATATTCGTCACTATAATGCTACAAAAAAGGCATTTTTCGTTTTTTTTAATTAAAAACGAAGCCAGCTTCCAAAACTAGTCACATGAGAAACTTCATTTCTGGATATGTATAAGCATTTTAAAAATAATTTTAATATGATTTTTTTATGTAGATTTAACTTTGTAACAAAAATTTCATGTCTCCTCAATATTTTAAGTTAGCTAGTACCGAGGACTCAACCCTGATTTTTTATTTTCAGGCTTTCATTATCCTTCTTACTATTTGTTCTAGTATTTATAGTATTCCCAATAGTATTTATGCTATCCTTGGTAGTAGAGCGACTTTTTATGTTCTGGAACAGTAAGTACTCCTTAAAATCCCCAAAAAACCCTTCCCAACATTTTTTTTTAAATTTTAGTCGACAATCCCAAAGACCCGGAATTCGGGAACCCTGCCAAATACGGCATACAAGGAGTGAACAATTTTTACCTGCCCACAAATGATTCGGACGGCAATGGAGTTTTATCCATCGGCGTGTGGCAGATTTTGCCGAAAGATATGCAACACTCGACGGAGACCAACGTGGAAAAATTACTGATGGAGGAGAAAAAATATCCAATTCTGCTGTACTTGCACGGTGTTGCTTGCAACAGGATTTTGCCCATTAAAAGTTACCAAGTTATGAGGGAGCATTTCCATGTCTTTGCCTGGGATTATAGAGGTAAAGATTTTAGTTTTAAATTATTATACAAATATTAGAAATATTCCTCAATATATTATTTCTACTTTTTGTTTAAGTAAAACCAGCTAATGTGGCCATATTAAATGTTTATAAATACTGATAAATAATTGTTTGGTTGCCATGTCAACAAGTTAAAAAAAACACATATTTCGAACAATAGTAAACTGTTCTACAAGTAAAGGAAAGTGAGTTTTCCACAGGCTATTTTTTTGTATCCTTAATGGAAAAAGTGAAAAACTTATAAGAATATTTTAACAAAAATTGTTTTTTTACAATCTTTAACATGTTTTTGAAGAAAATGAGGGAATTTTGGAAGCCGCGGGAGAAGCGACTCAAAATCTGCTTCCATCTAAGTCAAAAGAAAAATATGATAAAACTTTTGAACAATTCTGTCAATGGAGAAACAATCAAGGGGTATAAGGTGTCAGTCAAAATGTTATATTATCATATGATAACGTTTTTTTGGGAATGGTAATAAGATAATGCTTTTAAAAAATAAATGTTCCAATTTTTTCTTGTATTTTTAGTCCAAAAATCTGAAGGCATCATCACTGTTGTCAACATATTTGATGCTGAAGAGTACATTACAAATATATGAAGGCAGTGACATTTCAAAATACAAGCAATTAATTGCATTTTTGAAAAAACGGAGTGAAGGATATGAACCTAAAAAGTCAAAAGTGTTATCAATTGAACAAATTATGAATTTTCTGAATGACGCTTCAAATGAATCGTATCTATTTATGAAAGTGGCATTAATTTTTGCTTTAAGTGGAGCAATGCGAGGGGAAGAATTACGAACAGAAGAGAATGAATCAGTTAATATCGTTACACTACGTAATACAAAAACGAAAAAAAAACGAGTTTTTACCATAACTTCGCAAGCGAACGGAATTGAGTTGTATCGGAAGCATCGTAAATTAAGGCCACAAAACACGAATCATTCCAGATTTTTCGTTTGTTACCGGAATGGTAAATGCACTGTGCAACCGGTGGGGATCAACACATTTTATGGTTTGCCGAGAAAAATTGCTGAATATTTGAAGCTTCCTGATTCCAATAGCTGCACAGGGCATTGTATGCGAAGGAGTGCAGCTACCATATTGGTTGATAATAATTATTATAATTGATTTGAAAATGGTCTTCAACATCTTCTGCTGAGGGTTATATAGGAGAAAGCATTGGCAGCACTTATCCTCACCAAGTTCAACTATCATGGATGTTTAATTCAACGAATTTTCCAAAATATATCCAATTGTACATTTAATATTTATGAACATAAAAATTGAGAATAATTTTTTTCGTTAAATGTCAAATTTGTGTGTATGGTTGTATTGCTAACGAGTCAAATGTTGCTAACTATTAAAGTGTTGCTTATTGGTAAAATAAAACAATTCTTTATTGAATTCAAGCTAATCAAATGGCTGTTTTCCATTAAGGATACAAACAAAATTATTAACATCGAATTTTTTCATGGGAAGAAAATCGTGTTGAACTGTGTAATATTTACAAAAAACTCATTTTAAGGATACGGTGACTCCTCGTATTTCGACATGAGTGAAAGCAGCATCGTTCAAGACAACATCCAGATCTACGAGTGGGTGAAAAAACGGACCAACCAGGACATTTACGTGTGGGGACACTCGTTGGGATCGGCCCTGAGCATCCACACCGTTCGAAAGTTGCACGAGGAGAGGAACATTGTGCCCAAAGGGCTCGTAATAGAATCCGCATTTACCACCATGAGGGACGAGGTCGTATCCACATCGATAGGAAAGGTAACATTTTGTTAATATTTGGGAGATGTCGAACTCTAACCTTTGACCTGTGACCTTTCACCCTTTTTAGTTCTTCGCATGGCTGGCTTATTTTAACGCAACAGTTTTGGATCCTCTGGAGGAGCATGGGTTCAGGTTTTGGTCCACAACGAACATACAACACGTGCAGTGTCCTACAATGCACTTGCATGCAATGGATGATAATGTAATTCCTTGGACTTTAGGAGAAAGGGTACTGGTGAAGAATACTTAAACCTTTGACTGATTAATTTTTGTTGTAGTTGAAGGATGTCGCCCTTGAAAGACCAGGATTATCAAACTACACATTTTGGCATCTTTTTTCGGCGTTACACGGCTATAAACATACAGAAATTACTGATGATCAAAATATTCCAAAATACATAGAGTAAGACTTAAATTGTTTTAAATTAATATAGTTTTATAACAGTTTTGTTTCCAGGTGGTTTAAAGGAAACTGCACAAAATTTGTTTAAGGTTTGGAATTAAAAAGAAATATAACACATAAATAAACATTTGTGATATGTATAGACATCTATGTAAATGCTAAGAGCAACTAATTTCCATCAAGGCATAATTTGTGAAGAATAAACTATTTTGTATAATATTTTTTATTATTTTCTAAACAATTTTAACACCTTTTGGGGTTACAAATTTTCTATTATTATACCACAAGAAAAACTTTTTGCATGCAATCACAATAACTTTTCTTAAATATCTCAATAACATTTTCAAAGGTCTGTACATAAAAACAAGTAAAACTATGGTAATGGCTAAAAATAGCATTAAAACATCCAATAAATAATATTGATATAAGGGTAAATCAGTGGCGTTACTACTTAAATGGTGGGCACCCTTATACCGTATGACGTGTTCAACCCAATAAACTGCTTTATCCAGATCTGAGCAGTATTTTGCCCAACTCATTAGCTCGTTCGCGATACCTAAAATAAAAAAAAAATTAAAATTGGTGGTATTTTTGGATTCTGACTACATCTTCTAGTAATTCCAAATACGTTTCTCCTGTCAGACAATCTCCGAAAATACCTGCTCAGAGATTAAGTTATTAAGTCTTACGTAGTTACTTTTTCCTTTACAGTTTCGGTGGTAATGTGGTGTTTGTCCCATTTTAAGCCATACCCCATTTTTATGGCTTTCTGTGTATTCCTTAATTGGTCCCCAAAAAATGGAATTATTAGTACAGGTACACCTGACGACAAAGATTCTGTCAACGAATATATTCCACCTTGTATGACAAACAATTTTACATTTATATTCTAGAATTTTACCAAATGTTAAGTTGATTTGCAGAACGGTGATATCCAATGCTTTTTAACATAAGTAGGTAAAGCTATTTCATTGAAACAAAAATATTGAGTGATTTTCGTGAAATAAATAAATAAACCAATGTAAACAAAGCATGCTTAGGTATTTGAAGATATTAATAAAATACTTTTTAAACTCACCACGTGACTTTGATACAAATTTTATGTTGGTGCCAAGCTAATTTCGTCACAATATAAGTATTTATTGTATTCTAAATAAGGCCTTAATTTATTATAATTAATAGGTATAAATTTAAACAGAAAAAAAGACATATATTAAATATATTATATTGCATTATTTTCACAAAATAGGACGAAATTAGCTTGACACGGACAAAAAATAATCCTGATTATTTTTATCAGTCACGTGAAGGGACTTGTGTGTGTATATATTTAACAAGCGGATTTTTTAATTTACATAGATTTTTATTTTACATTTTGTGATTTTGTATGATTTGATGTGTTTCCTCTATCTTTACTAAAATTACTGAAAGGAAGGTAAGTTATAAGTGTGTTAAAATAATTTTAATATTGAAAATCTGATAAAATTTAAAATAAAATTGTAAAACATGAGCATGGAGGCTTAAAACAATTATTTCAATGATTATATATATATATATATATATTTTCTATATGTATGTTATATTTCAGAAATCAAAAGAATTAATGGGTTATAATATGTATTCAGAGGTAGATTCCTCAGAAGGTCATCCAGAGAAGCGAATGCCATGTTGGGTTAAAACACTTATTTGGATAGGGGGTATACTGTGAGTTTCACTATGTTTAAATAAGATCATATAAAATATTATCTATGGATATATTTTAAGGGGTTTGAAAAGTGACATTTAGATAAAAATTGTTTACATTTACAGTTTTTTGCTAGTTTAACATTACCGAGGACTAATTCTTTTATTTTAGGGTTTCATTATCCCTCCTACTATTTGTTCTAGTATTTATAGTATATCCAATAGTATTTATGTTATCCTTGCCAGTAGAACGATATTATGTATTTATGAACAGTAAGTATTTCTTAAAATTATCAAAAACCTCTTAACAACAATTTATTGTTTGTTTTTAGACGACGATTCCAAAAACTCGGAATTCGGAAATCCTGCCAAATACGGCATAAAAGGGGTAAACAATTTTTACGTGCCTGTAAACGATTCGGACGGCAATGGAGTTTTATCCATTGGCGTGTGGCAGGTTTTGCCGAAAGATATGGAAAACTCCACGGAGACCAACGTGGAAAAATTACTGATGGAAGAAAAAAAATATCCCATTCTGCTGTATTTTCACGGCATGAATTGCAGCAGGGTTAAGCCCCTTATGAGTTACGAAATTGTAAGGCGACATTTCCACGTTTTTGCGGTGGATTATAGAGGTGAAGATTTTAATTTTCAATAGTTATATTCACATCAAAATCACTTTAAGGGTACGGCGACTCCTCCGATTTTGTCTTGACAGAAAGCGGCATCATCCACGACAACATTCAGGTCTACGAGTGGCTGAAAGAAAGGACCAACCAGGACATTTACGTGTGGGGTCACTCCTTGGGAACAAGCGTGAGCGTCCACACCGTAAGGACTTTGTACGAGGAGAAGAACATTGTGCCTAAAGGGCTCGTCATCGAAGCCGCCTTTCCCACCATAAGGGAGGTATTTGTATTATCACCGATAGGAAAGGTAACACTTTATTTAAATATTTGGGCGATGTTTTAAGAGGAACTGTGTCTTTGAACCTTTAACCTTTGACCTTTAACATTTGACCTTTGAACTTTCACCCAAAAAGTAAAAAATAGATACATTTTTTAAGTTCAACACACTGCTCCATGTTTTTTTAGTTTTACGGATGGCTGGCTTATTTTAATGCGACAATATTGGATCCTCTGGAGGCGCATGGGTTCAGGTTTTGGTCCACAACGAACATAAAATACGTGCATTGTCCTACAATGCATTTGCATGCAATGGATGACTTTGCAGTTCCGTGGACTTTAGGAGAAAAGGTACTATAGTGAGAAATACTTAAACGTTTGACTGGTTAATTTTTGTTGTAGTTGAAGAATGTTGCCCTTAAAAGACCAGGCCTATCAAACTACACATTTTGGCATCTCTTTTCGGCGTCGCTCGGCTATCAACATACAAATATTCTTAAGGATCCGAATATACCCCAATATATAGAGTAAGACTTAAATTGTTTTAAATTAATGGGGTTATAACTGTTTTGTTTCCAGGTGGTTTAAAGGAAACTGCACAAAATTTGTTTAAGATTTGGAGTTAAAAAGAAATATAACACATAAATAAACATTTGTGATATGTACGGACATCTATGTAAATGCTAGGAGCAACCAATCTCTACCAAAGCATAACTTGAGAAAAATAAACTACCTATTTTGTATAATATTTTTTATTATTTTCCAAACAATTTTAACAACTTTAGCGTCACAAATTTCCTATTATTATACCACAAGAAAAACTTTTTGCAGGCAATCACAATAACTTTTCTTAAATATCTCAATAACATTTTCAAAGGTCTGTACATAAAAACAAGAAAAACTATAGTAATGGCTAAAAATAGCAATAAAACATCCAATAAATAATATTGATATAAGGGTAAATTAGTGGCGTTACTTCTTAAATGGTGCGCACCCTTATACCGTATAACGTACTTAATTATCTGTCGTTTTCCTTTTCTACCCTTCCTATTACCCTAATTCCTTCATTTGGACCTGACATGGACATCTTGGACATCTTGAAACTTCAGGGTGCGAGTTAATCTTATATGCGAGTATGTATACATATTATACAATACGTATTGGCTGGTCCAGCAGTATTTTGCCCAACTCATTAGCTCGTTCGCGATATCTAAAATAAAAAAATATTTGTTAAAATTGGTGGTATTTTGACTACATCTTCTAGTAATTCTAAATATGTTTCTCCTATCAAAAAGCGTGAACTTGTGAGTCAATATATTTTTAAATAATTTAGATACCAAAAAAACAATCTTTTTACGAAATTTTTTGGGTACCCCCATTTTGTCCCCCCCGCTGCCTTGTTTTGCCCCTTTCACCTCCCTTCTGCTAATTTTACCATAAAATTAAAAAAAAACAGAAAATTTGATGTTAATCAAACTTTGACCTCGAATAACTCTAGAATAAATCAATTTATCGAAAAATAATAAGAGAGCGTTACATTTTATATAAGAAACTGCAATTGCCATAAGTTACTTTGATACAGAGGTATAAAATTCCAAACAAAAAATTATTTTTTCCCATGTTAATTAAATGGATAGCTAAAATAAAAACAGCGACCTCTTAGAGTTGAGCTGGAACGCCCATATTTGGTGAGGATTTTCTTTATATATAATATATTAAATAGAAACATTTGAGAGGGTAAGAGCGAAAAAAAAAATTAAATTTTATTTTTTGAAGCACCCTAATATGTATTTTACATTATTTTCAGAAAATGGGCTAAAATTAGCTTGCCACTAACAAAAAATAATTAATTAATTATTTTTATCAGTCACGTGGGGGGACTTGTGTATATAAATATTGAAGCAAGTGGATGTTTTCATTCACCTAAATTTTTATTTTATGATTTTATGATTTGATGTGTTAAATTGTTTTCTATATCTTATAAATTACTAAAATGAAGGTAAGTTAGATATGTAATTATTATAATTTACTCTGCATTTTAATCACCCCAACATAATCGGAACCTTAGTGTTCCTCTGAAAGTTCTGAAACTTGAAATTTGCCTAATATTTTATTTATTGTATTCATGTTCTTCATTTTTTGTATTGACTGCCTTAGTCTTGTGTTAAAATATTGAAATTTTCTTAATGTATAACTACATAAAACAAACACGGTTTTTTAAGTCTCACGAATTTATTTTAATTTAATTTGACAATTGTTTCGCTAACACAGTAGCTTCTTCAGAAAATTCTTAAATTAAAAAACTGTTTGTTTTTATTTAGTTATACCTACATTAGTGACATGGTTTCATCAAGTACACAGAAAAAACGCTAGCATAGCATGAATGGGTGAGCCATTAAACCAATGGGATCTTGTAATCCGTATTCCTGAATAACAGTTCCTATAATAATAATAGGTAGTTAGCATTGGTTTATAATCGTTTACTGTTTTTAAATTAACAACAAAAGTTATCGCTCCTAAATCTATTGATATTCATATTGATATTTATTTGTTAGAATGTTATTGAATTAAATACTAATTTGATTTATTTAATAACGTTAGGTACTATAGTATGTATACTATGTATAAATTTAACGCAATAAATTCTTTGACATTTAGGCAAAATGTTTCTCTATTTTGTTTTAATAGTAATTAATTGAGCAAATAAAAATTTAGGTTGCTTCAATTTTAATGCATTGGTACCTACTAAGTTAGATTTTTTTGTGTGTACCTAAATGTTGAAACAATAAAATATTGAAATTTTAATATTGACACAATTAAAAATAAAATTGTAAAACAGGCCACCCACTAATACTATTTTGTATTAATATTTTATAAAAAATGCATATTTTATTTTAAACTATTAAAAGTTAACATTAACACCATCTATAAAATATTATATAGGTAGTTTTTTAGGTGAAGGTGAATTTTTTGGGTTTAAAATAATTTAATGATTGTCAATCATTAATTGGTACTTATAAGTACATATACATAGGTATATAAACTTGTTATTCAAACTTGGGCTAGTTTTTTAGATAAAACAGCAATGCCAATTAATCTGATGATCTGCTGATTCAGCATTATTTTTATCATATAAATAAAATCCAACGAAAAACACAATAAAATACATAATAATTAATGTATATTTAGAGATTAGAAAAAAATTTCAGTTCTTATCTCATAGTTATTAATACGAGGGTGGTTTGATGAGTATTTGAAACATTTTCGCCTGTCTCCTTTTAGCTCAATACATTTAGTCCAGCATTTTTTCAATTTTTTTATTCCATCCAAATAATAGGTTTTCTCAATTACCTCAAAATAGGCGTTTGTTAACCCTTTATAACTTTGTGGTTTATTCATATTTTCTATCGGGTAATATTTAGTTTTAACCAATGTCCTTTTTAAATATATGCCTAAAATTATACAAATGTTTTTACAGTCTTTAGTGCTAAATTCACGCTTCTTTTAACTGAAAGTGTCAATTTTCTACCATTGATATTATGTAGTACTTATAAATATTGATTAAAATATATAAAATGCGAAATTATAAAAAAGTATCCAAATTGCTGGAAATGACATTTTAATTATGAAAACTTCCCATTTTTGGCGAAAAAAATGCATTTTTCAAAATTTAACAGAATTGTTAGTCCGGTCAAATTAGACCAAAACATAACAGTGAAGGTACATAAATTTACAACAGGCTGAAAATCAGTAAAATTGTTCAGAATATAATTATAAATAAAATTTCAAAGTTCCCCATCATACCCCTGTATGGAAAAAATTTTATTCAAGGTCAAAGGTCAAAAAAATTAGTTTTTCGCGATTTTCAGCAAAACGGGAAGTTTTATCACAAAAATATTTCTGACAAAAATTGTAGATCATAAAATTGTCTATAAAAATATATCGAAACTTTTTTTCCTAAGAGCCACCGTTTCTGAGATATAACGATTCGAAAAGTTGTAATCGTCATAATATACATGAGTACGTCACGTATATACATCTCTAGAGTTTTAATATATGTTAATATATTTTTATATCGGTCATTTTCACTTACACTTAAAATATAAAATATACCTACATAAGTTATATATAAGTTATAAAGTTATAACTATAAGAATATCAAGTGAAATAAAACTCAGTCCCTTAAGGGACTGGGTATAAATTAATTAATTTATACGCCATCGAGACAACATCTGTGACAGATGACAGATGATGTGTCATCTGTCAACTTGACATCTGTCACCTGTCATCTGTTACCTGTCATCTGTCACCGGTCATCTGTCACCTGTCATCTGTCACCTGTCATTTGACCCTGTCAAATGCCACCTGTCATTTGCCACCTTATCGATTTGATTTCGGGGATTTTAATTGGTTAACTTTTTTAAATTCACAACAAAAATTAAACGGGCTTCTGGCCGATTAGTTTTCATTCGATGAAGCTCATCTTTTAGTCAAACTTTGGTCTTTTACCCGTCGATTCGTGTATTTCGTTCGGCCAATTTCGAAAATTTCTCTCGCCCTAAAAAACGTTTAAAATTTTTTTGAAAAAAATAAAAAAGATCGAAAAGTTTCCAGCGGATCCGGCCCGTTTGCAATATTTATTTTTGTCTGCTAGTCTGTATATCCTTTTTTTTCTAAAAGCCGTAGCTCGGAGGCCGTTGAAGGCGGACACTCGAAATTTGCATCCTTTTTTCTGCCCACGAGACCTATCCGCGGACCAAATTTTTCCGGTGTTGAAAAGGCCCAAGTCCACTTTTTTTTCGATTTTTCCGTCAAATTTGGCACGTTCCGTTGTCTTCGCTTAACTTTCGAATGAGCGGAGATTTTTCGGCCAAACTCGAGGAAAAGGTGCTTCGGGACAAGAAGTTATCACCAACGGCATTCGATTTCTTCTTTCTATATACGGAGCTCCTAAAAAAACTACCTGCTTTGATAAGTATCGATATGCATGTTTCGTTAAAAATACTAAAATAAAAAACAAGTTCAATTAGCTTGTCTTCCTCCGACCTCAGTTGCTGCTCATCAAAATATTTTTTGGGTATATTACCAAGTTCAAGTGTGGCTTGGTTATCAGCTAGACCCTACAGACTGGGGTTGGAAGTTGGTCAACAACCCATTAGAACCAGTTCAAACTTTACTCCCACCTGCGCCGGAAAAAATGCTGAACACAATTTTTTGCAACTGCAAAAAGGGATGCAGTGCTAAATGTGGTTGCAAAAAAGTCGGACTGTTTTATTCTCTGGTATGTACGAATTGTCAAGGCCGGTCGTGCTCTAATGTTGAATCACCAACAGTGGAGGATTCATTTAATTCCAACGAAGTGACATGCGATACATCGCTACTGACGCAATTTACTTGTAACCAGGATGAAGATGAAGAAGAAGAAGAACAAGAAGAAGAAGAACAAGAACAAGTAGAAGAATAAGAAGAAGAATTTAAATGTTACGAATCAGACTAATTAACTTCAGTACTTTTTTTTAATTTACATCGCTTTTATCTTTTCCAATCATTGCTAATTTCCGTTATTTTGCAATAGTTTCAAATTAAACCGGATCACAACTGACCCGTGGAAAAGGCTACTGGGGAAACCACGTTAAAAAACGCGCTAAGTACACTACCTAATGGGTGGCGTGGAAACGTGTGCATATTATGACGATTATAACTTTTACAACTTTTAGAATCGTTATATCTCAGAAACGGTGGCTCGTAGAAAAAAAAGTATTGATACATTTTTTATAGATAATTTTTTGATCTACAATATTTGTCTGGGGTATTTGATGATAAAATTTACCGTTTTGCCGAAAATCGCGAAAAATCATTTTTTTGAATAAAAAATTTTCCATACAGGGGAATGATGGGGAACTTTAAAATTTTATTTATAATTATATTCTGAACAATTTAACTGATTTTAAGCTTGCTGTAAATTTATGTACCTTCGAATGTCTAGATTGACCGGACTATGTATGGAATATGGAATTACTTTTATGGTATTTTTTATGAAGATGGCTTTGATAAAAAAAGTGCTATCAAAATGTGTTGTTTGAAAAAGTAATATAAAATAGTAAAAATTACATAATACAGATTATAAAATAAAACAAACAATATTTTTATTGTAATCTTAAGGTACAGAATGATTACATATTGAGGGCTAGATGGATCGCCTATGATATTTTTAATACTGTTGATTGATGATTTCAACCAAATGAACGCTCTAAAAATGAATTAGTCAAAAATGACTAATTTAATAGTTATTAGTGGCTGCTTTTTCACTTGTACCATGGAATACCATGGTATCCCAAAATTTAACAGCTAATTCTTATGTAAAATTGTCCCCTGAATCCGAAAAGACCGTCAAAAGTATAACAGTTTTTGAGATATAATCAATCTTCCATTCAATATGGAATTGACTATATCTCAAAAACTGTTCCACTTTCGGTATTTTCGGATTCAGGGGATAATTTTACATAAGAATTGGCTGTTCAATTTTGGGATACCATGGTATTCTATGGTTAACCATGGTACAAGTGAAAAAGCAGCCACTAATAACTATTAAATTAGTCATTTTTGAGTAATTCATTTTTAGAGAGAATGAAAACCTCTAGTTTTTTTAGTACTGTAGCCATTTTATATCTCGTCAAGATCTGATAATCTTGATCTCTTTAAAAAAGGTGCAAAGTAATCATTGAGATATTTTTCGTTTAATCATTGATTGTTTATTAAATGTTACATTTTAGAAATCAAAAGAACTTTTGGATGATGATTGTACTTCAGAGGTGGATTCCTCAAAAGGTCATTCAAAAAAGCAAATGCCATGTTGGGGTAAAACACTTATTTGGATAGGAGGCGTACTGTAAGTTTCATTCTTAACTATTTTAAAATGAGAAAGTTACTACACAAAATTTAAACAAACAAAATCTGTTTGCAATAAAAAAGGAACCAACCTAGGATACTCAATGAAACCACCCATATTAAGGTTCATGAACAATAAAATAACAAATCAAATCCAAATACTAAAAAACATTTGCTTTGGCGATAAGTGTACTTTTTATCTAAATAACAAACAAAATTGTCATTATTTGAGCAATGCAAATACTCATCTAATCAGAGAAAATCATACCCTAAAAAACTTATTGCCAGTGAATTGGTAGAAGATGACCAATAGCCTTCCAGATATCTACATCTGACACCATTAGACTTTTTTTTCATTCAAATCTCTGGTCTACAAAACTCATTCTATACAATAACCATCAGAGATGTTGCATTTGGTTATTGTAAAATGAAACTCAAAGAAAAGTTTATTGCAGTTCAACACAATAAAACTGTGTTGAACATAATTATATAAGGTGTAATAATAACAAGTGATCTGTATGTTTACAAACTAAACGTAGGTATGTCTCGACTGTTTTACTGTGATGGATTGAAATAAACTTGGCTTACTTATATTGTAAACACCCCTTTACATTTAAGTTAAAAATATATTTAAATAAATAACAAAATTTCAATAATTTTACTTAATTATTATGAAAAGTAACATTTAGATGAAAATTGTTTACATTTACACAGTTTTTCGCTAGTTTAATAGTACCGAGGACTATTGTTTTATATTTTAGGTTTTCATTATCCTTCCTGCTTTTTGTTGTAGTATTTATAGTATTTCCAATAGTTTTTATGTTATCCTTGCCAGTAGAGCGATATTTTGTATTCAGAAACAGTAAGTATTTCTTAAAATTACCAAAAAACTCTTAACAACAATTTATTGTTTGTTTTTAGACGACAAAAGCAAACACTCAGATTTTGGAAATCCTGCCAAATACGGCATAAAAGGAGTAAACAATTTTTACGTTCCTGCAAACGATTCGGACGGCAATGGAGTTTTATCCATTGGCGTGTGGCAGGTTTTGCCGAAAGATATGGAAAACTCCACGGAGACCAACGTTGAAAAATTACTGATGGAAGAAAAAAAATATCCCATTCTGCTGTACTTTCACGGCATGAATTGCAGCAGGGTTAAGCCCCTTATGAGTTACGAAGTTGTAAGGCAACATTTCCACGTTTTTGCGGTGGATTATAGAGGTGAAGATTTTAATTTTCAATAATTATATTCACATCAAAATCACTTTAAGGGTACGGCGACTCCTCCGATTTTGTCTTGACAGAAAGCGGCATCATCCACGACAACATCCAGGTCTACGAGTGGCTGAAAGAAAGGACCAACCAGGACATTTACGTGTGGGGTCACTCCTTGGGAACGGGCGTGGGCGTCCACACCGTAAGGACTTTGTACGAGGAGAAGAACCTTGTGCCAAAAGGGCTCGTCATCGAAGCCGCCTTTTCCACCTTTAGGGAGGGATTTGTATTATCATCGATAGCAAAGGTAACACTTTGTTTAAATATTTGGGCGATTTTTTAAGAGAAACTGTCTCTTTAAACCTTTAACCTTTGACTGAACGTTCACCCAAAAAGTTAGAAATAGATATAATTTTTAAGTTCAACACACTGATCCATGTTTTTTTAGTATTACGGATGGCTGGCTTATTTCAATGCGACAATATTGGATCCTCTGGAGGCGCATGGATTCAGGTTTTGGTCCACAACGAACATACAAAACGTGCATTGTCCTACAATGCATTTGCATGCAATGGATGACAATGCAATTCCGTGGACTTTAGGAGAAAAGGTACTAGTGAGAAATACTTAACGTTTGACTGGTTAATTTTTGTTCTAGTTGAAGAATGTTGCCCTAAAAAGACCAGGTCTATCAAACTACACCTTTTGGTATCTCTTTTCGGCGTCGCTCGGCTATAAACATACAAATATTCTTAAGGATCCAAATATCCCCCAATATATAGAGTGAGACTTAAATTGTTTTAAATTAATAGGGTTATAACTGTTTCGTTTTCAGGTGGTTTAAAGGAAACTGCACAAAATTTGTTTACACATAAATAAACATTTGCGATATGTACGGTCATCTACGTAAATGCTGGGAGCAATCAATTTCTACGAAAGCATAATTTGTGAAGAATAAACTATTTTGTATAATATTTTTTATTATTTTCTAAACAATTTTAACACCTTTTGGAGTTACAAATTTCCTATTATTATACCACACGAAAAACTTTTTGCAGGCAATCACAATAACTTTTCTTAAATATCTCAATAACATTTTCAAAGGTCTGTACATAAAAACAAGTAAAACTATGGTATACCACTATAGTGGCTAAAAATAGCATTAAAACATCCAATAAATAATATTGATATAAGGGTAAATCAGTGGCGTTACTTCTTAAATGGTGGGCACCCTTATACCGTATGACGTATTCAACCCAATAAACTGCTTTATCCAGATCTGAGATTGGCTGGTCCAGCAGTATTTTGCCCAACTCATTAGCTCGCTCGCGATATCTAAATTAAAAAAATATTTGTTAAAATTGGTGGTATTTTTGGATTCTGCCTACATCTTCTGGTAATTCTAAATACGTTTCTCCTTTCAGGCTGCCATCAAGAAAAACGGGTCCAACCAGACGATCTCCGAGATTAAGTTTTTAAGTCTGTGTACTTACTTTGAATTTTTTATCAAAGTGGTTACTTTTTCCTTTACATTTTCGGTGGTAATGTGGTTTTTTCCAATTTTAAGCCATACCCCATTTTGATGGCTTTCTGTGTATTCGTTAATTGGTCCCCAAAAAATGGAATTATTAATACAGGTACACCTGACGACAAAGATTCTGTCAACGAATTTATAACGCCTTGTGTGATAAACAGCTTCACATTTTTACGTCCTGAAAACGAATATTGTAAGGTAAATAGTATTTATTATATATAGTTCTCGTGTAGGTACTTAATATATCGTGTTGAGGTAGCCATTTTTCCATCCTAACATTTTTGGGAATTCGAATATCAACCCATTGGGCTTTCATTAAAACATTATAGGGTAATTTCGCAAATACTTCTAGTATGGCATTTTTTTTCTCCGAATTAAAAACGCTGTCTTTAACATTGGTTCCCAAGCTGAAACATATCACGCCCTTTTGGGATTCCTCCAAATATTGTTGGATACTCTAAAACATCATTAATTGTTAACCTATATTTTTATTAAAACAACGCAAAAGAGCTTAGAGTACAACCTGCCGTTGGCAATGTTTTTTTTGGTTTTAAATATATGGTACTAAACGTAATGGTATGAGGGTTAATGGGCCTGACATCATGGAGAACCGGGTGCGTTCCAATAAATAACATGCTGACATTTTTCGTCATCTCCCATAACAAAGGCATTGTACTCCCGAAAAACCCCCTCAACACATACTCCTGTATGGGGTAATAATAGTTGCACATTTAGTAATTCAAGAGTACACTTTACAGTGTACACAGTACTTTTAATCCTTTCAAAGTAATTCAAGTGGTTGGAACTAATAAGGGGATAATTTTCTGTCAGTGTTAAGCTATAGCTTTATATAATTATAATTAATAATAATTATAAATAATTAAAAACGAAATTTCGTCTTAATTTCTAAAAGTAATAAATTAATAAGGACCTTTATACAGAAAAAAATACATATTAGGGTGTTTCATTTAAAACGACTATTTTTTATTTTTTACCGAAACTACAAAATTTTGTATAAAACATAAAAAAAATGTCCTCCAAGTACTTCCTTTTTCATTTTGAATTTTTCTCATTTAAAAAGCATGTATGTATTTCTATACCTTTCTCGGGTTTTAAACTGTGCAAAAAGAAAAAAAAGACTTTCAGAGCTGATACCACCAAGGTGAATCGAGTTAGAGAAAAATTCTTTAAGGCTTTTTTAAAAAGCAGTAAATACTCTGTAAGTAACAATAAACCACAATATAATAGCATAAAACCCGGCAAAGATGTAGAAACTAAAACAAAGTAATTAAAAATACATGCTTTTTAAATGGATAAAATTCAAAATGAAAAAGGAAGTACTTAAAATCAGTGGCGGCTGGTGGATTTTATGTATACCAATATCTCAGTTATTAGACATGGGACCCACACCAAATTTATAATAGTTTATAATGACATTAAATAAACTAGTTTGGCGCACAAAATTTAAATTGAAGTTTGCGAAAAAAAAATAGTTTTTCCTGTCGCCTCACCCGCCTCCAGGCCCCCCTATTTGAGATAATTCAAATTAAAGTGGTACAATTTATAATCTACTATAATTTATAAAAAAATTTAAAATTTAATTTAAAAAATCCAAATATTACAGGTTTTATACCATTTTAAATATTTTTTTAATTTAATAAAATAAATAATAAAAATCGAAAATCGAATAAAATCTGTAATATTTGAATTTTTTAAATAAAATTTTAAATTTGTTGATTAATTATAGTAGATAATAAATTTCACCACTTTATTTTGAATAATCTTAAATAGGGGGGCCTGGAGGCGGGTGAGACGACAGGAAAAACACTTTTTTTTGAAAACTTCAATTTAAATTCTGTTTGCGCCAAACTTGTCTATTTAATGTCATTATAAACTATTATAAATTTGGTGTGGGTCCCATGTCTAATAACTGAAATATTGTTATACCCAAAATTCACCAGCCGCCACTGCTTAGAATCAAAATTAAGGGTTTTGAACAATATTTTGGAGTTTCGGTTTTAAATGAAACACCCTAATACATATATTGCATTATTTTCAGAAAATGGGCTGAAATTAGCTTGACACTAACAAAAAATAATTAATTAATTATTTTTATCAGTCATGTGGTGGGACTTGTGTATATAAATATTGAAGCATGTGGATGTTTTCATTCACATAAACTTTTATTTTACGATTTTATGATTTGATGTGTTAAATTGTTTTATCTCTCTTAAAAATTGCTAAAATGAAGATAAGTTATATATGTTTATATGTAATAAAATAACATTTTATTATAATTTAATTTTTCTGCATTTTAATCACCCCAACATAATCGGAACCTTAGTGCTACTCTGAAAGATCTGAAACTTGAAATTTGCGTAATATTTTATTTATTTTATTCATGTTCTTCATTTTGTCTTAGTCCTGTGTTAAAATAATGAAATATTATTAATTTATATCTAGATAAAAACAAACACTGTTTTTTGAGTTTCACGAATTTATTTTAATTTAATTTGACAATTGTTTCGCTAGCACAGTAAGTTCTTCAGAAATTTCTAGTTACATGGTTTCATCAAGTAAAGGTCGTAACAATAAAATATTAAAATTTTAATATGGACACTGGCATTATAATAGCCTGGCATTATAATAGCCGTAAGAAAATTAAAAATAAAATTATAAAATATGCCATGCACTATTTTATAAAAAAAGCATATTTTATTTTAAACTATTAAAAGTTAATATTAACACCATATTAGGTGAAGGCCTAAAACAATTATTATACTTTTCCTATTTTATTTCGATAAAACACTCTCTCAAACCAAGATTTATCAGCCAAGGTATAAATCTGATGATCTGCTGATTCGGCATTATTTTTATCAGATAAATAAAATCCAACGTAAAACACAATTAAATACATATTATGTATATTTAGCGTTTAGAAAAATATCAGTTCTCATCTCATAGTTATCAATACGAGGGAGGTTTGATAAGTCAGTGAATTTTTGAATAAAAAAACATTTTTTCGGCAAATAAACGTTTTATTTCTCACCATAGTCTCCTTTTAGATCGATACATTTAGTCCAGCATGTTTCCAATTTTTTTATTCCATCCAAATAATAGGATTTTAACCCTTATTATTCATATTTTTATCGAGTAATATTTTTTAACCATAAGTTAATGTACTTTTTAAATATATTTCTAAAATTATACAAATGCAGTTTTTTAGTGCCAAATTCACGCTTCCATTATTATTATTATTCATATTTTTATCGAGTAATATTTTTTAACCATAAGTTAATGTACTTTTTAAATATATTTCTAAAATTATACAAATGCAGTTTTTTAGTGCCAAATTCACGCTTCCATTAACTGAAAATGTTAATTTTCTTCCATTGATATTATGTAGTAGGCTATGAAGATTTGATTTGGTATATTTTTTTATTTAAAGTAGGTACTTATTAATTAAAATATATAAAATGCGAAATTATAAAATATTATCCAAATTGCTGGAAATACCATTTTTTGGTCCGGAGGAGAATGTTCTCCTTAATAAATCTAAAAACTGTAAATAAAATTGTGTGCACACATGTATTTGCTTTGCTTAGAAAATACCATAAATTGTATAGAATATGGAATTACTTTTATGGTATATTTTAATAGGTGTTGTTTAAAAAAGTAAACATTATTAAATATTTTATAATTTAGAGAACTTTTTTTAATTAACGTGTTACTGCAATTTTAATACACAACTATGTTAAAGGTAATTTTTACATTGTGTTTCTATCTAATTTTTATATTGTTTTTCTATCTAACTATCCATATTAATTATTAATATATTAAGGTTTGATAACATTCCCTATTGCAATATTGGGCAACCATAATAAAATTAAACATAATTTATTGTTTTTTAACGCTGAAAATTTCGTTCTTTTTAATATTTTTTTATTTATAAAACGGTTTGATTCCGAAGTACCGAGGTACAAGTATTTCTTGATACTGCAGCCATTTAAAATCTCGATCTCTTTAAGAAAAGTGTTGACAAATGTAGAGTTACACTGAGAAAACAGTTTGGTTATAGTAATGGTAATTTGTTTGACACAAAAATGTCTTCTTTATATTTGCTAACTATTACCAAATGAGATTTTTATTATAAATCTAATTTTGTAAATATAATTTTATGTAAAATAAGTATTATCGATTAAAAGTTTTAATGGAAATATACGTTTCTGAATATAATTTTACATAAACTAAATTTTAGCAAATTAGCTTTTTATAGTAAAATAATTTGTTAAATTATCATCTTATTATAATATTATATACACCCGTATAGTTTCGTAATATAAAAATGAATAGGTTATTGTTAAAAAATTATGTTTGCTATATTAACTGATTTATTTATTGATACAATATTTTGTTTTATTAATAAAACTTATATTTAACTATAATAATCATATATCGTGTTACAACAATAATAATAATATATCGTGTTACAACAAGTATCTATTTATTTACTATAATAGTAATTATTAACTCAACTTTTAAATAACCACTTATTTTATTCACAGTTTTAATTACTTATTCCTTAAAAGCCAATCAGATTCCCATTTTTGAATAAATTTGACTGATGACAAGTATTTTTAACTTACCAAGAATTTTTCCTAGACACCTATTTTTGTTGACACCTTGAAAATGCTTAAAAATATGTTTACCGTTTAGTTATTGTAATGTGGATCTTGATACTTAAAAATATTATTAAAGGAAAAATATGGAGTTTGCATAATACAGCAAAACATTCTACGAG